ACTTTCCAAGGAGTGAGCAGTTATGTGATTTATGCTGTTTCCTTAGTGCAATATGCAGGAGGGTCTTGAAGGGAATCCCATTGCCCGAACTATGAAAAACTATTCTAGAATCCTTGCTGCCATTTCAGTTCCTGTAATGATGAGTTTCCCCAAGGTTTGTGAATTTGCTGAATTTAATGTGTAGGAGTAGGGTATTTTGCTTTGTTGAATCCCATGTCTTTGCAGGCACTGTTCTGTTATTGGTTCACCTCCAACCTCTTCTCCCTTACATATGGTTTAGGTGAGTGCTTCCTGCAAATCACGTTGCTTGTGATATGTTAGAAAGATTGTAACCTAACCCATTAGATGAACCATTTCCGTTTTAACAAAATTTGGTGGTTCTAGTCAGCTCTGGAGCTGAGCATATCTTGTTTCCCGCGTATTGACAGACTGTATTGTATTCCTGCAGTAATTAGGCGCCCAGAGGTGAAGAGTTTCCTTGGTCTTCCTGAAATTCCGGTGCCACCTCCTGCTCAATCACAACCTCAATCCTTTTTGTCTTCGGCAATTGAACAGGACACTACAGTTGAATCAGGACCTTAGTTACCCAACGTTCCATCAAAGGTTGCTGGCAAAAGAATATCACGGACTTCAATTCTCAAGCAGAGACTTAAAAGTCTGGAAAATCAAATCAAGGAAAGAAATAAACAAAAGAAGATGTGAAAGAACTGCTCCAACTAAGTTTATGGTGCACCGGATGATGGAAAGTTTTTTCCTAGACGGCTATAAATCAGTTAAACAGTGGAATCCCTTTTGGTAGAAGTAAATTATGATCTGTTTCTATCTGTATTGACATTAAGCTTGGTTTTATGCATCCTTTCCCTCGATGCTGTAGAGCACACACAGTGAATCACACATGAGTTTTTATGCATCCTTTCCCGGATGATGGAAAGTTTTTTGCTAGACGGCTATGAATCAGTTAACAGTGGAATCCCTTTTGGGAGAAGACACTCTGAGGTAGAAGTAAATTATGATCTGTTTTAAGCTTGATTTTATGCATCCTTTCCCTCGATGCTGTAGAGTACAACGATTCAACTATCTCACACAGAGTGAATCACACATGAGTTTTACAAGATTACAAGTTTTATGGGCAATTTTTGGAAATAAAAGTTGGAGAGCTCTAAAAGGCACGTATCTTTTATATACCTTTTGAGTTATATTGATGTTCTTTTATACACCTTTTGTGACTAGTAACAGCTAAAAAATTTATTAGCAACCGAGAGGTTGATGTTAAGGGAGCTGAGCTTGCATCTTATCGAGTTGAATGACCGACTTAAGCAGCAAAGAGATGTTTTTGACTTGAAGGGAATGATTGGCAGAAAATTTCCGCTTTATTCCATGTTATAAAATAATATATTTTTTATACATAGAAAACTATCTGCTATGAATGTCATATCACACATGAAGGTTGGCTCATAAAACAAATGAACTCTCAATGGATCAAAAAGGAGAAATTGAGAAAAAAGCTAAGTTAGATACAGAGGGAGGGAAGTTACACCAAGTTACCAATATTTTAATACACAGAAACCTCCAAGGATAAACTTGTATCTGGAAAGCAAAACTTAGACGCTAATCACTTCATAACAATGTACTACTAGTCATGACGTTCTGCGGTAAAATCAGGCTCAGCGGGCTTCTGAGGCAGCAGTGGCAGCAATGTTGGTGAAGGTCTAGTGTTGCGCTTACCCTTTTGTCGCAAGTTTCGTAGTGCATTGGCTGCAAACTTTGATGCATATACAGTGGCAAGTAGGCTTGGTGAGCTTCCAGCTTCTCTTGTCAAAGCATCTTGCAGCCTGTCTTCTGCTTCACGTAATGACGTCTCATGCTTTCTCTTGCAGTGCCGGCGCCAAGCTGCTTGTATGAAACAGGCTGACCATGTCCTCCACTGCAGGGAGTAAAACCTGAAAAGTAGACATTATGGCATGAGAAAACTACATACTGAAATCAAAACAATCAAGAAGAATGGTAATCGCATTCCAAATATAATGCTTTGCTTTTGCATAACATAGTTGCATACTTGAAGAGAAAGCAATGTTATGACATATTTTGCTTAAAAATCAAATGAAGGTGGAAATATGAATCTTTCTTTAACTTTTCTCCTTTGTTTCAGTTCATATTAGTAGTCCATGATGAAAAAGGAAAAAGCATGGTTATTTGAGCCTTGCCTGAAAGTGTGCTGGAGCTGCTTGCTGTGTAGGCGCCGAAACTGGGAGGCAACAAACTTCAAATCATCAGCCATGAGAGCAAAGGCTTCAACTTCTGTTTTAGCTTCCACTGTCCTAGTTGAGATGGGAAGATTGGTGGAGGAGTTTGGATCCAAGGCCCATGTAAGAAGCTCTTCTCCACAAAAGTCACCAGCCTTAAGATCAGCAGTGTTGAAGAAGCCAGTTCTTCCACCATTGGTAGTCATAGTTGCTAAATATCCACGCATGATAAATAGCATCTCATCAACTGGATCGCCTTCTCGAGTGATAACACTCTTGTCTGTGTAAAGAACTGGCTTGAGACGATCACACATGGCGTCCATCAGTTGTTCATCCATTTTCTCAAATATTGGCACCTGAGATAATTAAGTGAGCTGATGAACACAACCGCTAATAGTTGGAGAGAAAATGATGCATAAATTATTAGTGAAAGCGCTCACTCTATTGAGAAGAGCCAGGCAAAGATGGCGCTTTATGTCCTTCCGCAGGTCTTTGGGAAGGTTACAAACTAGAGTTTCTTCCTCAACACCTCTTGTTTCTTGCCATTTATACTGATCATAGCATCTAATCCTTTCCCTCAAGTTCTCGGGGAGCATTCGGTGTGACATCCACTGTTCTGCATCTCGCCTTTTCACTCTCATTTCTTCAACTCTCACAGTTGTGGACTGCAGAAATTTCTATAACATCACAAGAAACAAGGTTAGAACGTTAGGCTTTAGCTCATTCAATCCAAGAAGAAAGTACATCAACTAAGAACACTGCTAGCGCTAAGAGATTTGATTTAAGACAGATATCGATGTGTTAATTTCATGTGCTCAATCCGTAGTCTAATTTTTGGCCAGGATGCCATGCATAAGCACAAAGCTGCGTACATCTTTAGTGTTACCCCATAATGCTTACAACATATATAGGTTATCAAGAAAATAACGGCATCAAATATTACCTGCATATTGCCAATGAGCAATGAAAATAGCACCAATCCAAAGACAGATATGAACACGGCAAAGATTATCTCCCAAACAAAAGTGCTTGTTTTGAGGTTTTGACCAAGAGAACTGCAAAACCAGTACAAGTTTAAAACGGCAACATGTATGTACATGAAACCTTAAGAAAATTTTAACTGCTAAACTCAGCATGCTAACTGATTAAGAATAAATTTAAAAAGTTTATGATTACAAACCTAAGGTTGCGCAAACCCCACCAGAAGCAGTATAAAAATTTCTTTGGAAAATCTCTGGTCTCTAGCACACCAGACTGCAGAGCATCAGTAAATATTCCAAAGTTGAACACCGTTGAATTTTTTATCTTAGGATCACAGTACAGGACTTTCTTACAACCATCAGCCCCATGACACTTATGCCAGCAGCTATACTCTCGTTTCACGGAGAACAAGTACCAAAAGGCTCCAACTAGCTGGTATGACACATTCCTTATCAGATCAGAAATCCCACATAATTTCTTGGAGATTGTTGAGGATTCAAAAACTATCAAATCAAAGACTTACGTGACTAGCTAGCATGTAGAGCAAAAGATTGAAAGCAGCTCCAGCCTGTGCTGTTTCAGTCAGGAAGCCTAAAGTTCTTGTTACTTCTTCCCATAATGGATAGATCCGCAAAAGCCTTGGCCCATATTGGGCAACAATTACAGTCAGCAACAAGTCCTTTGTGACGCGGGGAACTGGACACGATGTTGGGATTACAAAAACAACAACCATCTGAACAAATTAAGCAGAACAAAATCGTCGGTATTGTGAATTATGGACATAAGCTACAACCAGAGATACGGTTAATATAAGTCACTCTGTTCTAATAATAAAACCATGTAATAACTTTAAAAACCTTTCAGATATTAAACAAAGAATTCAGTTTTCTGCAATTGATAATGATTGGACATTCTGTAAAATGCCTGCAAATTCAACCTCCTGGCTATACACACTTTTACACACATTGTTTCGAGGACAAAAGATTAGGACCCCAACTTCTAGTTTGTTCCACTCAAGGTGGTGTTTTTTCTTTAGTTGTTTGGGTGTAAAAGAACCAAAGGAAAGGTATTGAAGTGGAATGCATATCACTAGAAAGCATATTCTGAGTTCTACCAAGGATACAAGGAGACAGGTTGGGAAGAAAGCCTATTCTTATTTTGTATTAGCATAAAACATGAATGTCATTATAGCATATTTGATTGAAAGAACGTTTTCTGAGAATATCTTTATCAATATAACTCAAGCAAATAAAAAAAGGGGGAGTCTGACAAGCAAAAGAAAAGTTAAAAGAATGGTTTGCAATAAAAGGTTAGGGGAACATAATCTGAACCTTCCATAATGTCATCAACCTAAATCTTTCTATGAAATAAAGGGAAGGGCAGCTACCTGTGGCAGAGGAAGAATAGCTAGAACGTCAATGATGAAGTATGAGGACAAGTATCTTTTTGCAATGGCCACAGGATCGTCAATAAGCTCACCCCTTCCGAATACTCGAGAAGAGGGGGCAATAAAACCAGTGCGAAACTGAAAGATGATATGAAGTATGTGAAAGACATCGATGAAGGAACGAAGAACACAAGTAATGATCAGCAACCTTTTGTCCACACCCACGCACTTATTTTCCCCATCGACCACTGCAGTATAAAGAAACAACGGGTCCACGGACACAGCAATAACACAAGTGATCACAAATATCTTGTTCCAGTTCTGAAGAAATGACCCCTGAGGGTCAAGAATTTTCCTCCTAGAGCCTGACTCCCTTGCTGACCAGTTACCTACAGAAGTGGAACTTAGTGGTTTTTTCAAGCTTCTAATCCGATCAGAACCTCTCTCTAATCCTCTCCGGAGACCCCTAAAAACTGCATTCACAGATGGTCTAGCTCTTCTTGGATTCCGTCCATGACCGGTGGAAGCTTCGTGCTCAGAGCTTACAGATCGATCCAAATGCCAATCTTCAAACCTGGATAAAACAACAAACGTAACACAAAGTCACATGAATTTGTAACATCACAGAGGTGCACAAACGATTGTATAAAATAAGATTAGATACAAAAAGTAACACCAACAACATTGGACTTTATTGGTACTCAAGACTTGGACAAACTAACCTTACAAACTTATGCCCCACGGAATTCATATTTTGGTATCCGGATTTGGTTCTTTTACTGCTTGAACGAGCTGATATCCAGGCCCTGCAAGAACCCAACTCCTATATTGAAATTTTCTTCACTAGAAACTAGAAGAGGCACACAATGATAGACTGAATCAGTAGAGCATTAGTGATTAAAACAACAGCTTTCAATGAAAGTTTCAATATGAAAAGCCAGTCAATGTTTCGATACTAGAAACAAAATAATTATGCAGTGATCATATTCTTCTAGGGATAGTATTACTGTAAAAGATCATTGTAAAAGCATTGACTGAAAAGACTGAACCAAAGATAGAAAATTACCAAAATAGGAGAAAGACAATGATGAACATAGCAATTGAAAATAAGTCATAAATCATTCTAAATAGCATTAAACATGAAAATAGAAACAATCACCCCTTACACAAGTTAACTTTCTTTTTGGTTGCTGAGATAAACAAAAAATCAACAGTTATGTGCTTTATGTTGTACCTTATATTCCTACAGCATGAAAAGCTGAAAACCCATGTCAAAAAAAGCAAGACTGCTGCATCAAATCAAACCCAACTAGATGAAGTTTCTTTCATTTATCAGATTCTAGACTTTTTCTTTTTTCAGGCCTCAAACAGAAACCCAAAACCAGAGAGAACCTGGAGAAATTAGAGCAACAACAAGATGAAGAGCTTGTAGAGAAATTTCGTTCTGACAATCAAGAGATGTTTCGCAGAGAGAAACTATAAATGGCAGTTAATATTGTGTGAGCTTCAAAGAGAGAGATATAATAAGTAGGGAGGGAAACAGGGTACAAAAGGACACCACAGACAAGAGTCCACGCTTGAGAAGAGTCGCAAGTCAAGCCCAACGAAACTCCAGAGAAATTGATGATGGTTAAGCTATTTTATTTTACATGATTTTACTATATAATATATACTGGTGGCCCTGTGGCTGTGGGCCATATTTCTGGGGCCCACAAACTACCATGTTGAACATTTGACTATGATATTTTAATTAATAGTAGCCTAAATGTGGAAATCACTTAAATGAAGGTTAAAATTGGTTTTTTTTATTAATAGAGTTTTTCTATTTAAACCTCGTACTTCCCTTTATTAACTCAATATTCTAAGTTCACCTTAATTTCTAAATCAAATTTTCACAATTTCTAAGAAAACTCAACTATCTTATCAAATTACCCCTAAATACACAACCAACAGAAAAAGAAAAAAAAACTTATCAATCTCACACCCCACATCCCGCTATCTTGCCCTTCACTACTCTAAGTTTACTTCAACCTCATGTTATTTAAAGAGATAAAAACAAGGTTATCAAATGTGTAGCAACATTGAGAATGAACTAGGAGGTTTTGTGAAGAGAAGATGAGAGTATATTAGGTTTTTTGAATTGAAAGATGAGTAATCTGGTAATATGGTATAGATGAGTTTGTGTTTTTCTAAAACTTAATATGAAGAGTGATGGGGTGTGTGTATAGATGTACTAGGGTTAAGTATTAAGTTAGATGACTTTTTTGAGATTTTCTATTTAAACCTCACACCTCTCTTAATTCACCTCATGTTCTAAGTTCACCCCAACTTTTAATTTAAATTTTCACAATTTCTAAGAAAACCCCACTATCTTCCCAAACTACCCTTAAATACACCCCAAACTGGAAAAAATAAGAACTAAAAGAGATTTTCTATTTAAACCCCACAATTTTCTTTGTTCCCAACCAACAAAAACACAAACAAATGAAGAGTGGTGGGGTGTGTGTTGTGTGTGTACTAGAGTTAATTATTAAGTTGGATGACCTTTTTTGTCTTTTTACACAATAATAAAACTTACAGCTTAATGATTTAAGTATTGGGGTGAACAAAGAGAAGTGCGGGGTTTAAATAGAAAATCTCTTCTTTTTTTTTATCTTTTTACACAATAATAAAACTTAAGAGCTTAATTATTTAAATATTGAAGTGAACAAAAAAAAGTGTGGAATTTAAATTAAAAAAACTCTTTTTGTATCATATGTCAGAGTCTACTTTGGTTGCACCAAGATTTTATGTTTTAACATTTTTCGACTTTGGGGGAAAAAAAAAGCCCAGTTATATAGGAGTAGTTAAAAGACTTGGTCAAATCAAGTGAAATATTTTCATATAAAAATTTCCCCATAAGATGACCTATATTTTAATTTTGAAATGTCAACCTATATTTGAACATTCGAGTTCCAAAGCTAAGTTGAACTGTCACCTAACTCGTCCAACTCGCTAAGATTTGCACCCTTTTCTTAGGCACCATTTTTTTGGGGGTAAATATTGGATTTGATGTTCTTCAGCCTTAATTAATTAAATCAACATTTTTTATTAGTGGCATTTAAATAAAATTATTCATTTTAAAAATAAAAATAAAAAATTGTAGAAAAATGACCTCCCATCTACATGTACACTAACGATGTTAGCATTCCCCCTACTTTCTTCCACTCTGTGAATGGGAGTCTTGTGGGATTTACATGAGGTGGTAGGGATGACTATATTTTAATCAATAACACTACGTCACATCGGCTGATCACATTGTTAGGAACCTTCATCATTGCTGAGCTGGATTAGTGATGAGCTGGCATAGTCAGTTTGTTGAGAATATTGTACTGTTTCAATAATTCAATAAATAATACTTGTTACTCTGTGTAATTCTAGGGTTATGGTTGAAATGGGTTTAATACACATAATCATATGTGACAACTGTTAAAAGTCTTATATAGTTCTGCTAGTAACTTTCTCTCCGAGGAGGGGCCTTGTGTCTAATTAGGTAGTTGGTAAGGCAAAGCTAACTAAGGCAATTAGGAAGATCAACCACACTAACTGAGACACAACCCATACTCCTATCGAAGGTAGTAGTGGGAAATTCTCCACAATGGGAGAAAGCCCGACAGAGCAATGCCGCGTGGAGGTAGAAGAGGCAATGAAAGCATTGACTTTCTTTGTGCTAGCAGCAGCGGTAAAACAGAGGATGCAAGCATTATTTGTATGATCAAGCTTAAAGCTGTAGGTGGCTAATATAGTCTACTTGCTACTAAAGTTATTTGCAAATTGACACATTATCTACCACATGATGTGGTATAGTCCTCTAGTCTTTCTCCAATGAGTTTTAACACCCACACACACGTTCCCCCAACCAAAAAAGAAGCCATTCATTGGTATTGAAGTCTTCCTCTAGTCTTCATTGATTGATTGGTGAAGTCTTCCTCTAGTCTTCATTCATTGATTGGTAAAAGCCTTTCTCAAAGTCTTATAAACACCCACTTTTGTCCCACTCCTCAGAACAAAGAAGGAGCACATGTATTTTACTTTTTCATTTATGAGCACATGTATATCCTTTTCTGATAGGTCTACTTTAGAATTTTCTTCGTCATTTAATATGAAAATTACATAAAGAAAGAGCGGATATTCCATACATTATTTCATTGACTAATCTGTCTTCCTCTAGAATTTTCTGAGTCATTTAATATGAAAATTACAAAAAGAAAAAGCATAAATTCCATACATTATTTCATTGACTAATCTGTCTTCCTCTAAAATTTTCTTCATTGTTTAATATGAAAATTACATAAAGAAATAGCGGAAATTCCATACATTATTTAATTGACTAATCTATTTTCCTCTAGAATTTTCTTCGTCATTTAATATGAAAATTACATAAAGATAGAATGAAAATTTCATACATTATTTCATTGACTAATTTGTCTTCCTTTTTGTTTGTTCCCCCACTACACGATAAGAACTCATACACATCAACAAGTTTAGACATAATAGAAAATTGACAGACCAGTTAAGGAAAGGCAGTGTGCATGTGAAGAAGTGAGAAATGTAAAATTTTCCACATGAGAAAGAACTAATTGTTAGCATTTTCAAACCATTAATTCGGTAAGTCTGATTATTGATTTTTTTTTAAAACCATTAATTAGGTAAGTCTTATTTGTTGGAGTCTTTCAAAAAAAAAACTAATGTTTTTTCTTATTTAATTTTTAACAAGGTGATAAGAAAGTTGTAATAATAAATTTAAGGAAACATTAAAATCAATACAAAAAATAAGGGCAAATTTGGAAACAAATGTTATCTTATTTGATGCATTAATTACATTGTTTTTAGTGTAAGGAAAGTGACACATGTCATAAGGAAAATAGAGGAGGTCTAAAAAAGAATGTTAGAGAGAATGTTGCTAACTTGCTAGCATTAAGGAATATTCAACTTACTCTACATGCAATGCACCACATGTCATTTATATCTTTTTTTTTATATTTTTGATTTATTAATCTCCTCACCATGAAATTCACTGAATGAGATTTTGACGTCATGTTTGATAAAATAAAAAAATCATAAATCGTAGCTTAAATCGTTACATAAAGTTCAAAACTACCATTTGATTACTTAAGAAAATGAAGGATTAAGATAAAATTGTTACATATTCTGAGGTATTTATAAAATTATTTTATCGTTTTACCTCTTGAATTATGATCCTTATAGAAATTAATTCCTAAACTAAAATTCTTTCAACTTAGCATCCGAATTAATTAAAATCGCCCATTTAGCCCTTATTATTAATGTTTTAGAATTTCATTTATTTTTCTGTCCAAAAAGTCCTGTGTGACGTGCCATTCACGTGACTTACTATTTGATTTTTTTATTAAAAAAAAAAAAAAAAAAAAAAAAAAAAAAAAAAAAAAAATAAAAATATATAAATACAACAACAAAAAAATGCAACCAAAAACACAACTCTTCTCTCCCTTCTCTTTCTCTCTCCTCCCCATACTTCCCTCCACCCGTCTCTCTCTCTCTCTCTCTCTCTCTCTCTCCCCGGTCTCAGAGGAATGTTGAGACAGACAGAAAACAAACAAGAAGAATTGCTCAGGTAAACAATAGGTATCAGACCTTAGATACCTGTTGAAAGAGAAATGATGACTGGCTTGAGGAGCTGGAGCTCGGAGAAGGTGAGGACCAGTTCTCGAAGTCGCCGGCTCCGATTAAGGCGTCGATTATGTTGTTGAGTTATTGGCTGAGGATGCCAGGGATGGCAGTAACGAAGGTGGGGGGCTATTGGGTGGCTGAGATGGGTTGTGGCAAGGGGAATAGGGATGGGATGGGTGGGTGGATGAGGAAGAGGTGGGTTGTTTTTTATTTATATTTATATTTTTACCATTATAAATAACGTTATTTTATTATTATTATTTTGGCATTATTATTTTTTCTTTTTATTTTAAGTATTGACTATTATTTTATTCAAATTTATAAATTTATCCTTATTACTACCGGAAAAATAGATGAAATTCAAAAAATCTAACAACAAATGTTAAATTGACAAATTTAATTAATTCGGGTGTTAAATTGATTGACTTTTTAGTTCAGAAGTTAAGTTTGATTGGGTCCTTGTTCGAAAGAGTGTACGGCCAACCCATCAGCTACTTGGAGTCACAATCTGGACCTGGGCTGTTACTATTTTGAGGAGAGTCTTGCCTAGCTTGGTTGTTCATTGCTTAATGATTCTTTGGGAGCTGTTAAGGCTTGTCTGATTAGTACTAGTTAGCTGTTGTGTTGGTGGTTGGGGGTTGGGGGTTTTTCCCCATTTTCTTCATAAAAAACTAGCCTCTCCGCATGCGCTTTCGCGCCTACGAGAGGCTTTATTTAATTTAAAATTTAAATTTTATTTTAGAATAAAAAAGATAATGGATAGTTGTGTTCCATAAAAATAGGTCTCATTTTTCTTTTAATTTTAATTTTTTTAATATGAAAAAGTATGAATTTACTATATTATCCTCATTTAATAAATAATTTTAATTCTTAATATTTGCATTAACCAATGACATTTTCTGATATTTTGAATGTTTCACCATTCTCTATCTTTTGCTTCATTTTCCATATGTGAACATGTCATGGTTGTCCACAAAACATACGTTGTAAGCTTCATTACCAATAGTCCCAATTTCTTGGACCACATGAGTCCAAGAGATTGTGGTCATCCACTGTTGGATATTAATCCAATGGTTCAAAAATATTTCTTAAAATGAGTGCAATAGTAGGTGAACCGTTGAAATTACATCCAACGGTGAGTGATCACAAATCTCTTGGACCCTTGTAGTTCAAGAGATTAGGACTGTCATTTAGTCCCGATCTCTTGGACCACAGGAGTCCAAGAGATTGTGATCACCCACCGTTGGATATTAATCCAATGGTTCAAAAATATTTCTTAAAATGAGACCAAATAAATTAGTAGAAATTGTCTTGTGTGTGGGTTTGCTTTAATTAATCAAAAGGCAGTCTTTCTAGATTGAGAATTAGTCAATTTTAACCATTTAAGAAGACACTTCCGCTGTCCACAAGTTTTTTGGTTAAAGATAACGAAGAACTACGCTTTCTCGATTGGGAGAAAACAGAAAAATACAGCAATGCTTTAATATTAAAATTAGGACTAGGGGGTTTGCACCTTAATAAAAATATGTTATTTGCTAATCTCAGTTTGTGTTAAAATTTGCACACACAAAAATAATCACGTGATATGAGCGTTGAAAACAATCTGAAAATTTGGCAAAGTTTCACCCATCATGCATGGTACACGAGTTCAGTTGGCTATTAAAATTTAAAATGATATATATAATATATCTGAAAATGCCTGGTCTTTTCCCTTGGATTCGAAGTCTCATGTTCGAGTCCCTCATCTTTCAACATCACTTGTATCAAAATATTGGTTTTCCGTTATGCAAACCATGGATGCAGGAGAGTCTTAACGCTTAAGCTGTTAGAAATAGTGATAAACTGAAAAATAAAAGGTACCATAAGGCTAATTTAATTTCTCCAATTCACGAATATAAAACCAGCCAAAGCACGTTAAGTTATTTTCTGCAATTAGCATGGCGGGAGGGTTTGAAACCCAAAAAAGAAAGCAGATTTGAGGTTGAACCTCCTTGGGAGTCTTATTAAGCACTCATTCATTGACAATAAATCAGCATCCATCAAAATTGTGTGTTGTTTGATGAGGTTTTGATCACTATAATAGTTCTCTAGCTAATGTCCTATTATTACCAACATAATGCATATAACATGTCAATTTTCGTAGCATCGAAAGTAAATCAAAATCAATTATGTTCAGCTCTAATGTCCTACAAAATGGGAGAAAAATCAATTTAACATTCAATCAGATTATTATGGCTGCAAATAGATGCCAATTTATCCAAATACATGACAAAAGCCAATTATGGTCCTCAATGTTCTCAGATACTTTTCAGGGAAAAGAAAATTACAAATGCTAGTGATGTAACAACTTTCCTATCTCTATTCTAATACAGATCAAACTAGCTATCCAGAAAGATTCAGCTGTTGATGACAAGACCCTGAAATGCCTAGTAAATAGATATAACAAGTTCTAACTGATTGATTGTCCTTCCCTAACAATTTAAAGTGAAAAGGGGCTTTCCTCACCTTTGTTTAGGGTTTCTCCTCGTCTGATTGAGAGCACGGCGGCCCAGGGACAGAATCAACAAAGAACTCCTCCACTGAAGCAAGGTAAAGCAATTAATGATCTTCTGAGGGTGTATTTGCACATCCAACAATACTTAAATCAGTAAAACCAACAAGCATGTAGAATAACTTATGCAATTCCAATTACCTATACCCTCTTGCTCTGGAGAGTCAAGTAAAATTTCCGAATCAGACGGCAGAAAGGGGGAACCAGGATAGTTTCCTAAGGCTCCTAAATCTGCAAATAAAATCAAGTCAACGCATTAAAGAAACATTAGATATAAGCATTATTCAAAAGCAGCTTTATTGCTAAATTCATGCTTGGATCCAGCATGTAAGACCGAAATGCTATAAGCCTTTCAAACATCTTTAAACGTAAACATATGCTGCCATGGCAACGGCAGTTTTATGTTATTCAGAAGACCATTTACATAATGTAAAATAGGAAAGGGAAATATTCAAAAATTTGTTTCAATGATTCTAAATGTACGCTTCCTGCTATGCTTTTGGAGGAATATGAAAGCCTGTCTAAGCTTTTGTAACTTAGCATGAATGCTTCCTGCTATAACTTGGAGACAACTTAAGTGTGACTAGATGGATATTATGTGTGGCCTTCAACAATTTATTCGCTTTCTTTTCTCTGGGAACTTAGCTTGCTTTTATGTATTTGCAACTATTTCCTTTTTAAGATTGAGTATTTGCAACTAATTATAATTAAAATCTGAGACATAATTGTAGATCTACAAATTGCTCGACACTACAAATTACCTCCCAAGTTTGACAAATCTGCTGTAAGATCTGATAGGCTGAAATTCCACTGAATCTGGTCCAGTGATCTGAGAGAATCCCGAGAATTTCCAGCCCCGCCATCAGGTGCAAGTTGCAACCCAACAGAACTTGCCACATCAGAAGTAAATGTTGTATCAAGTGTTGATGTGTCTACTCCAATTCCTGATATGTCTGACGCGGAGAATGGGAAGTGACCACTGGATGCAACTGATGTAGGACTTACAGGAATCTCTGACATGGATGACATGGCACTGTTTGGTGGAATGACAGGAACCACATCAGCACCACTGCAGTCCATCATCATACTTACAAAAAGGAGAAAAAACAGCTGCCATTAGCAACATTTCTATCAAACAAAACAGGATACAGGTGCACAGACAAGCCAATGTCATCCAATAAACATGTTCCCCAGGGAAAAGAACATGCTTGAACAATTGTATTTCTTATTAGAATGGGAAAGGGGGTATCAGAGGAACACAAGCGTCTTTATGGTTTTGGAAACAAATTAACTGTCATGTTAAATAGGCAATTAAGAGAAAATGGGCAAAGGACAAATTCTCACTCATTCCCAGAATTCATCCGCATGGGATGAAAGTTGCTAGGTGCAGGTACTCCATTAACTACATGACAGTTAGATATTCCACAGCCCATGGAATCAAGATGGGGTTGACCTGCTGCTGGCATTGGAGGTTGCTGAAGGACAGGGTATCCCATTGGTAAGTTGTTAACTGCACTGCAAACAAGCAGCAGTGAGCACTTTCTTTTTTTGGGTCAACTATTATGAAAATTATTATATAGAAATGTCAAATTACACATTACCGCAAACTCGCAGGCTTATATAGATCTGTACCCACAATAGAACTCACAGAAACAATCATGCTTTAATACTCACTATCTAGAATCACATTTTAACTTTTAAAGTCAAGCAAGAGTTTATCCAAAGTTCTAAAGAAGGAAGCACAGCTCTGTTAGCATTGAGAAACCAACTTATGATCCCTATTCCTTCCTTATGCATCCAACAAAGGAGTAATGGTGACAAAGTAGAGCTACTGCTAAAGAGCTTGGGGAAAAAAAAACCATAAAAGGATTAAGTCATGCTTTTCCACCACCATGTTACTGCAAGCGGAAAACTTACCAGGCATTGGATGAATCCCATTTTGTATAGGGGCCAAAGGAACCTTTGGAGACATGGGATTATACTTTGAGAGATGATAATGATGCTCCAGTAGATGATTGAACAGGAGGATTTGTTTTTTCAGTTTTAGTCTTATGTAATAAGCCCTGAAAAAGTCCGCATTTTCTTCTTCCAACTTCTGCCATACTGAATCAACAAAATCCAAAAAAAAAAAAAAAAAAAAAAAAAAAAAAAAACAAAAGGCAAGTCATTTTCTTCCGACTTACTTTTGAAAAGAAAATCATAAGCATGTAGCTCCTCGAGATTACATATTTGTTCATCAATTTCTCTTTGTAAGAAGAGAAAAGGTCATGTATAGTAGTAGTAACATGTCTAGTTATAATCATAACATGTCCAGTTCCACTTCATGGAGTCATGGATCCCTATGCCAAAAGAAAGGCAGCGAGAGAAAATTTTAAATGAAAGTTCTGGAACATTCTATCTACAATAGCTAATGGAAAACAACTACGTCAGGATCATCTTTTAAGGAATCAATCAACTTACAATATAAACATGTAATGGCAGTAATCACAGTATAAATAAGTTTTAAGTTGCCTACCCAAAGTTGTAAATCCAGGATCTATCCTTGCGCGAGTCAAGAGGGTTTTAACTACCTCATCTCTATTCATATATAATTGTAAACACCGCTCTATTAGATTCTGGACCTAAAACGTTCATTTTGCAGAATATTCCATCACAAAGATGAGAAACAGATTAGTCAAGCTACTTCACAAACATTATTTGGGGAAAAAAAAGTAAAGAGTAAAAGAGAATAAAAAAGCAAATGTACAAAAAGGAAAGAAAAGACTGCAAAATTAGGTTGAATTTGATATCTTACAAGTTCGATATCTTGACGTGATACTTTCTTACTGTCATTGCCTGAAGTGGATACAGAAGCTGAATCTGTTGCAGGAGCCTCGGTAGTTTGGTTTTTGACTTCACCTTGTGAATCATGTATAACTTGACTTGAAGATTGGATTTCTTGAGTGCTCTGCACATCCCAAAATAGGACTTTCATATTAGTAAAGAGTAGTATGTGCAAGATATGACACACTAACAACTTGAAAAATTATGAAGTGACACCTGTGAGGTCTTCATTTCAGCTGAATGCAGGTGGACCACATGTCTTTACTCTTTAGAATGACTCTGGTATCTTCCAAGCCAAGATCGTGCAGCAGAATCAATATTTAAATAGCAATGTAAACTAATGCAGTCTTTACCTGGAATGGAAGATCAATGACAAAAAAGTCATAAGCTTAACCACTTACATACTTGAGTCAATAAAGTCATGAACACTTAAGAACGAAAATACACAAATCCATCAAAGCAAGATCTCTTCTATCAGTAAAAAATACTTAGTCAAAATTTAGAAGCATTTAGATTATAAGTTTCTACAGGAACATAACGATCATAGATATGTTTTGCATTGTGAAACACTCATCTAAACTTTTCCTCTACTAGGCTCAGTGCAAATCATTAACAAAATTTGGAAGTCATTATGGGGTGTTTCATCTACTATATTGGTCAGGAAAATTGGCCACTATAAGCCTGCAAAAACACAAATAGTGCTCGCAACAATCAGAGAGAGATTAAGCAGACACTTGAACAAAGTTATGTTGAAAGTTGAAAGCCTACATATGGTAAACACTTAATGTATCATGTTTCAACACATTGCATTAAAAACTCAATTTTATACAATTGAATGAAGATCCCAACTGCTTTATTAATAATAGTTGCCTAGAAACACTCATTTATCAAACTGGCTATGATTTACCACAACAAAACGGCGAATTACCGTCCCAATGACAAGCATTGATGCTTAAGCAGCTTCCTCTTTTCAATGACACTAACAACACCAAACCTGAATAGATGTATTTCCAATCTGACAAATTTTATTCTCAAATCTTTGGAGTTTTCAATTCTGAGCAACAAAAACAGAATCCAAAGGTTGCTTGGAATTTTATTTTTTGCTATACTCTTTAAAAGGCAAACCAAACCAGCTTTGTTACCACAAAATCCTAGTGTTTAATACTATATAAGAATGCCTTACACTCTCAATAACTGAGAAACTCTACAAAATTTACAAATTTATAAGTACATTAACAAAAAGGTGCAACCTTGTAAATCTCAGGCAGATAAAGAATTTAAGAAACAAAAATAACTTCAATCAGATCTCAGCTTAGTCTATAAATTTTGCTACCTTACACATTACATACAAGCTTAGCCATTAAATAAACTAATAAATATCTTTAGAGAGAAGTAAATTTAAAATTAGAGAGAGACATACAGTCTGCAAACACAGAGAGAGAGAGAGAGAGAGGAGAGAGAGGAGAGAGAGAGAGAGAGAGAGAGAGAGAATACACTCAATAAGTTCAAATAATCAATAGAAGAAGAGGTGAAGATCTAGCATATAATATATTACCTCACAAACCCAGTTTCCAAATCTCCAAGAAAACAGGCAAAGACACTTTATTTCGACGAATTAAGAAAACCCAGTTGCTCTTTCAAGCTGAAGAGTCAGCAAAAATCCAGCAGAGACCAGTGTCTAGCAGAAAGAAAAAAGCTTCAGCAACTACAAAGAAACACACTTGGAAGCTCAAATTTACAGCTAGCTACTATTAGTTCAAGCACTGCTTAAGAACAACTTCCCCCATCAACGCTTAAAGGAAAATAAAAAATAGAAACATTGGAGGAGGCCCTGGAATGAAATTTACACCAAATGACTGAGGAAAAAGAAAGAGTTGAAAGGTTCCTAACTTGCTAGCTATGACATTATTGTAAAGCTGAAGCGACTTAGAGATGGAGAGAGAGAGAGAGAAACATAGAAAAAGAAGAAAATCACACACCGAATTGAGATGATATTTGGGTTTGGCTTTTATACAGTTGGGCTTTCTATTTTGATATGTATTTTTTTTTCCCGGAAAATAAAAATTACGCGAGAAACTTACTCGAAAGGGAAACGTTTTCTAAAAAATTATAAAAAGTAAAATAATATTAATAACGGTTGATACAGGCTTGGGACACGGGGTTTTTCGAGTGTACGGATTTTATTTTAATTATTTGTTGGTGTAAGGAAATTATAATGAATGGGTCACTGTTCAAGGCTCACGAGGCCTCTGTGCCGCAGGCACTTGTCATGGCTCACGAAAGCAGCCTCCTCTTGTTTTCCCGATTTGTTTTATTACTTAAAGGGAATAATAAAACCTTTTTGAAAAAAGGTTAAAGTTCTGTTTGTTCCCTTTTAGTGATTTACTGTGCTAATTTTTATGGGACGATTGTGCACTTTTGTATACCCTTTGTAGATTTTTTTTGTAAACTCCCGAATTTGCCCCCAAACTAATTTCTCTTAATTTTTTTTTAACTTTTTTTTTTTTTTTTTTTTTGTTTTATCTTCAATCTTAGCCCCCTCCCTCTTCTCTCTCTCTCTCTCTCCCCCCCCTACGGTAAAGGACAACTATGCCCTCAATATTGACGAAAAAATGGATGAAATGTTTGGAAATTTGACGGTAAGGGGGACATTGGCGAAAAAAATTAGTTTGTATTCTTAATTGAATAAAAACAGTTGAGGTGAAATCGAAAAAATTAAGTGATAGTTTGGGGGGCAATTCGGTAATTTACTCTCTTTTTTTAACAGTTCTATAACTACCATTTTACATTTTCAGTTTTCATAGTACTTTTAAAAGGGGGTGAAATCATTTTCTTGATAACTAAAACTCTTATGACTACACTTAGTACAACAATTTAAAAATTCTTATGGATCATAAAAATGTTTTTTTAGAGAAGCACTAATCACTTCCAGGTACTTTCGAAAAATTAAGCACTTAAATTTTTAACAAAAAGTTCGACATTATTGTAATGAAAATGTTTATAACAATAAGTGCTTCATTTAACAACCATTCCAAACGGGCCCTAAATCACACATAAGTCAAAAAGTTGAATTGTTTTTAAATGTAATAGACATTATTCAAAACGCAATAAATTGTTGGAAAAATTTAAGCATCAATAATGGAAAAGAGAACAAAATTTATGGGTTTTGCGGTGTGTATTTATAGACCAGTCTTAATAAGATCATATAAGAAAATGACAACAGTGCTGTAATAATGCAAGCTATCCAAGTTGTTCATTGTTGTTTATGTTTCACTCATTTTCTGGCCTCCACACTAAACACAGCATGGTGCATAATTATTTACCCATTATTTTTGTATATATGCATAGGATAGGAGGGAGGGGCCAATATCAGTGTGGTCCAAAGCCATGGAAAAATCTCCTAGCCCATCAAGCTGATTCGTCATTGTAATTTATACAAGATATTATTCTTCAAAAGGCCAAGGACCACTTTCCTACAGTCATAGTGTCATAGTAAAATAATTTATGGGTAATTATGCATTCCTTATTTGTGAGCGGTAGAGGAGTGCCAAAATCATCCCGTAATACCACATTATTGGTCCGTAAGATTTTAGATTTCGTATCGAATAACCTCTCTAATACCTAATTAAAAAAACACGTAAAATATTGAAAAGATTTTTTTTATAAGTCAAATCCATGAGCCATATAGATCTCGTTTGTTTTTCTTAAAAGATATTTATTTTTACAATTGAATAAGTGATCTACAATTGAACACGTTTGTGAGTGCTTGGGGGGTTGTCAAACGTGAAAGTTGAGTAAAGGAGATATATGTGTTTGGAAAAACCATGTGACTTGGAATGATGGTTTGGGTACTTTTCTCGACTAAATTTCTGATCTTTGTCTTTCCCTCAAGTTAAAGACGAGTCTCATCTCTCAGATCAAACAAAGAAAGCAACAATAATTTGTCATACCCTCAACTTAGAGGAAAGAAAAGGCCAACATTTCTATATGGCCGACCAACTAATATGAACTCCATTTACCTACCAAATCTAAGCCACAAAAATCTACCAACAGCTATAATGTCTTCTCCCATCTTTGTATGTATTTAGAACCATTATTATAATATTATATATTTTATAACGGGATATATTTTTCATATTAGGGTTTAGATTTGTGTATCGGGTCAATAGTCTGAGAGCCTTTTTGCATATCCATAAGCTGAAAACGGAGAATGGTCTCATTGGCCTGAGAAGATTGAGAAAAATGGTGTTGGAGACAATCCCAAATATCACGCGTAGTGTCGCAGCCAATTGTGGGATGAAGAACAGGCTCAGAGAGAGTACTTGTTAGATAGCTAATCAGGAGTTGATCCTGTTGATACCAAAGGGCATGAGCGAGGTTAGGTTGAATGAGAGTGGCGGTGGTGGTGGTCTTTGTATCGGTGATGGGAAGAGTTATAGTAGCAGAGGGTTGGGGATGAGTACCATCAACAAATTTCCATACATCATGGCCAATGAGAAAGGATTTGATTTGACGAAGCCAGAGAAGATAATTAGAATCGGTAAGTTTGATGAAATGGGAGGAGTTTGGGAGGGAAGACATGGTGGAAGAGGAAGAGGAAGAATCGGTGGACGCCATCCTAGGGTTTAGGCTAATACCATGTAGAAGACGTGTTTTTGGTATTAGAATAATTGTAATTTATATGTATACAAGTTGTCTAAACACAGTAGGAAAATAATACATGCCAAGATTACAGCCATGTCCTATAAAGAAACTTAAGCATTCTTTTCAACCATGAACACAACAACACAAACTTAGAAAATGATGGTGCGAAGGAAAGCAGAAATTGTCTTTTGCCTGGCTCCTTTTTCAAATTCTGCAAAAGTCAGTTTTCATGAGCACCAACGTGGCAGCATCGTATTGGAAATTACTGGTTCAGGTTGAAAAGCAATATAGGAAAAAGCAGATTATATAAAAAGTCGTATTGTATGCATCAAGACGTCCAATCTAATTTCTTAGTATGCAATAGACAACTCAGACACACCTCTTGAATCCAAAAAAATAAACCTCTTTGATAAAAGGTTTTGTTATGTTTGTTTGTTTGTAGCAATGTTAGGGGCCCGAAGGTTGTTCAGACCTATTAGGGAATTATTGGAGGGAGGCAGGGACCGCTTTCATTCATATCATCTTTATCTCCTACCTTCTTTCTACTTCATGCTTATGTGACTTTTGTCCATGCTCTTGGTAATTTTGGTTTTTGCTTTTTAACAACTCAAGAGTTGTGTCAGGCCAAATAAGGGAGCATATAGTACCTTGGCCACTTCCGAGTCTTCCTAGAACTTGGTTATAAGCTTAATCAACGGTTGTTAGTCATTCATTATTGATTCTAATAAATATCGCTTGCAGAGTTTTGCCGCTACACATTATTTTTCTCTTTGCCATCTTATATGATTAAAAAAAAAATTACGGGTTTAGTTTTTATTTTATTTTATGATTTTACTTTTTTGTGTGTGTTATAATTTTATATTAGAGACTTGCATATCTAATAGATTCATGTCTAGAGACGGAAAATCAGGGATGAATATGAAGGTGGTAAATTCGACCTCACCCTGCCCAGTGCGTAGTGAATTGTTTCCTCCAATTTTTTTTGTTTGTGGGTAAATAATTAAATCTAGGGCTTCTAAGATCTAGGTCCAAAATGATTAGCTGTCATTAGGTTTAGTCCTCACGTTTTTTGTTTTAGATGTAAGTCCTTTGACATTTATTTATTTATTTTTTGTGTCGATTTTACCTTTTGAGGTAAATAAGGAAAACACATTGAAAATCTAAATTTAATGCATTATTTCCTTATATTTGAATTCGATAATTTAAATTTTGAATTATTTCCTAGATAATATTCCTAATATATGGATAAAATACAATTTAATCAATAAAAATAAAGACCCACATATTATATCAATCTATCAGACAAGCACCACATTAAATTATGTACATGACATACAAGTAAATAGTGTTATTATTAGCAATGAAAAATACTTAGTGATAAATCATGTTACCTATAAGTTAGGAACATAAATTAAAAGATTACCTATAAGTCAGATACAAAAATAGACAAAAAAAAATTGTATGTTACCTACAAATAAAATAAAATAAATGTACATAAATGCTATTATACATTGTCGAAAATATGAAACAACATATATATACCTATGCAATAGGCAATATGACATAAATGATGATTATCCGATTCAAGTCATAAGAGGCAACATTGGAACAAAAAATAATTTTAAAAATAAAATAATAAAAAGATTACATCAAAAAATATTTTAAAAAGAATGTAATTCTATGTGGCACAAAAGTCAAAGGACTTGGATCAAAGTCATCAAATATGAGGATTAAACCCAACTCCTCAATAGAAATTTGGATCTATATCAACTTTTCTATTAACTTTATAGCACGTGTGAGTTAGGCTAGTTCGTCAAGGTAGTGTGCCCGCCTCCTTGCACTCAAGTTTGATCCCCATCTCCTACATATTTGCATTGTCAAATTTTTTTTTAAAAAAATTTCTAATTTATGGTTGGCCAAATTTGGTGATGTGAAAAGCTTGGTATCTCATTGGCAGCAAACAAATGTTGATTTGGGCCAGACTAGTTTTGACAAAATTCTGAGTCTATGACGGGCCAGCCTTTGAAAAAGCAAAAAGGACCGGACATCACTGGTGTGGGTTTATACACACTAGCACTCGACTAAAAAACGGTGTCGTTTATGTTTGGAGCCTAAACCCAACCCTATCCTATCCTAAACTATAAATAAGATAACTTGCATTTCGTAAAACCCTAAACCCTAATCCCCATTTCGGGGACTTCTCACACCTCTCCATCACAAGAACCTCCATGAAAACGACGTCATTTTCGACTACGTTCATGCCCGTTAGACTCTTACCCCAATTCCGACTCCTCAGCACTTCTCTTCCGGCGACCCATTTCCCACCCATGAAGTTCGCGCCTACCCTTTCGTCCTCTCGGGCCGTGCCCCTTTTGTCTCGGGTCTTCCCATTGAGGCTGAGGTACATGGGTTTAGGTTTTCGTCGTTCGTTGCAGACTGAGCGGGCATTCTCGACTCGTGCCTTCCGAGGCCCCAGAACCGGGTCGGGCTCCGAGTTGCCACGTGGGTATGAGAGAAGGGCGGGTGGAGCTTCGAAGAGCCTGATAGAGGACGAGGCTGAGCTCAGTGACTGGGTCAGCGAGTTGAGGAGTGACTCGCCCCGTGGCCGTGAGGACGAATTGGAGGGTCGTAGAGGTAGGGTTAGAGAGAGGGGTACTGACAGAGAATCTTATCCGATGAAAAAGAGCAGGAGAGAGAGTGACTCGGGCGATTTTGGTGAGTCTAGAAGGCGAGATTTTCGGTCCCCAAATCAGTCATTTACGAGAAATGGAGGTATAAGTAAGCGGTTCGATAATAAATCTGAGGGCGATAAGAAAGATAGACCATTTCCACCCAGAAACAATCGCGGGAACTCAAATTCAAGTGGCGAGTTTGGTGATTCGAGCAGGCGAAGATTTTCTAACCCAAATGAATCTTTTTCGAGAAATTCAGGGATAAGTAAGCGGTTTGATAACAAATTTCAGAGTGATGATGATAAGGAAGACGGGTTGTTTCCGCGCAGAAATACTCGCAGGAATTCAAATTTGAAAGCGGATTCATTTACTAGGAATGGAGGTGTCGAGGGTCTAAGAAGAGGTGGAAGAGAGACTGGTAAAATATTGCGTGTGATGGATGATACTGAAGAGAAGGAGGAAAAACTGACCGGTGTTAGGATTGAGGATTTGCTTAGTGAGGAAGAGAGTGATACTGCTATTTCTGATGATGATGGCTATGGAGTATTAAGAGAAAAAAGTGCAACTTCTTTGTTTGGTTCGGATAATGAAGTGAGCGTAAAGGTTTTGCCGAAAAGTTCACCTGGAAGCTCTGACTCTTATTTGAGTGAATCTCGGTATATATAAATCACCATTTCTATAATGAATTTGGGGGCACGTTTCTGGTTTAACTTGTTTTGAATGTTTTCAGGTTTGATCAATGTTCTGTCTCTCCGCTGTCCTTGAAAGGAATCAAGGATGCAGGATATGAAAAAATGACTGTAGTACAAGAGGCTACTCTTCCAGTAATACTCAAAGGTTTGTTTGTTCACAAAATGTTGCACAAACTTTACGATAACTACTGTAAATACCCATCTGGTTTTTTTAACAATGGGTCTTTGAGATGACTACTGTAAGACCCCAGTAACCATCAATTCCATTGTTTAATCCGCAATAACCATAAGGTCAAGTTACTTGTGTCCTCATAAGTATGTTTGTTATTTCTTTGTTTTTTTTAAACCTCTTTAGAGTTTATTGTTCTGCCATGTGTGTCCATTTTATTAAAGTGCTTATTCTAATTAATTATGTTTTCTAGGTAAGGATGTTCTGGCCAAGGCTAAAACAGGGACTGGAAAAACTGTGGCGTTCTTGGTATGACACCTCATTTGTGTCTGTCTGTGTGAATGAATGGTCCATACTACTTTTTATTTATTTAAGGCACTGCATTTGTACTGTTAATATATATAGCGGCAGGGGATTTTCATCCTATTTGATGTTGAAGTTCTTTGTTTCAGCTTCCATCAATTGAAGTTGTTGTAAAATCACCTCCTATTACCCGTGATCAAAAGCGACCCCCAATTCTGGTACTTGTAATATGCCCAACCCGAGAGCTGGCAAGTCAAGCCTCTGCAGAAGCCAATAAGTTATTGAAGTATCATCCTTCTATTGGCGTTCAAGTTGTGATTGGAGGCACAAGACTTGCTTTAGAACAGAAACGCATACAAGCAAACCCTTGCCAGGTAAGATTTTTATCATTGCTGGAGGACTTTGTCATTGACGGTAACGTCCTGTTTTATTCACTTCACTGTTGATCATCAACTGAGCTTATACATTGACAAGGCGCTGCAATATCATGGGATAGTTAAGTGGCTTTTATTAAGTTGAATTAAGGTTGAATTGAGAGGGAAAGGTCGGATGAAGGTAGTAGGTTCCATTTACTGGATTCATTCCTATTCTTATTTTCACTTAATGAATTCCCAGTAAATTTGATACTGGCTCTTTGCTATGAGTATGCTGTAATAATGGTGCCAACTAAGGACAAAGATGAAAATTCACGTCAACATATACATGTTTATAGACGTTTATTTGTGATTTGACACATTAAACACTTGCAGATTCTTGTAGCTACACCTGGAAGGCTCAAAGATCACATTGAGAATACCGCAGGTTTCGCAACTAGGCTGATGGGTGTCAAAGTCCTTGTACTTGACGAAGCTGATCATTTGCTGGATATGGGATTCCGTAAAGACATTGAAAGGATTATTTCAGCTGTCCCCAAACAACGGCAGACACTTCTGTTTTCTGCCACAGTTCCAGAAGAGGTTTCTTTCACTACTTTTTTGTGTGGTAATGTGTTTTTTTGGGGAAAAAAATAAAAGAAACTTACATATATATATATATATATGTTATATGTGAACATCAATCTTTCCTAATTGTAGGTCCGTCAAATATGTCACATTGCTTTGAAAAGAGATCATGAGTATATCAATACAGTTCAAGAAGGCAGTGAAGAGACGCATGCACAGGTAGGTTCTTTTATATTATGTGTGTATATATATTATGTGTGTGTATCTATTCTAAAAAATGGATGATTTCAGGTCAGACAGACGCATTTAGTCGCTCCATTGGACAAGCATTTTTCCCTAGTATATGCTCTTCTTAAAGAGCATATTGCAGATGATGTTGAATATAAGGTATGCATTGTATTACCACAAACGCCCATGCTGTTTACTTCATGCATCTAAACTTTTGGTTGAACAGTTGACAGTGTTTTTCATTAGGACTACTTTATTGAATCAGTAATATCACGGACTTTTTTCGGAGAGGCATTTATGTTACCACCGTTACTACAATCTTGAATAAAACATGTGGTCTTCATCACCATTATTGCAATCTTATCTAAAACATGTCATGTTTTATTTTGCATAGGTTCTTGTATTCTGCACTACTGCTATGGTCACACGATTGGTTGCAGACCTTCTTGGTGAGCTGAACTTGAATGTCAGGGAGATCCATTCTAGGAAGCCACAGAGTTATAGAACCCGAGTTTCTGATGAATTTCGGAAATCAAAGGGTCTTATTCTTGTAACTTCAGATGTATCTGCACGTGGGGTCGATTATCCAGATGTTACCCTAGTCATACAGGTAATATGCAATGTCAATTTTTAGCTTATGCAGACTTTACTTGACTTCATGGCCATTTGTCATTGTTTTTAGCATGCAATATTTAGGACTTCGCATTTTAGTTGTTGCTTGTTAGATGCATTCTTGTGACACATTGACAAGGTAAAACAATATATCTTGTTGCTTTATTCCTCCTTATGAATCTTTTACAGAGTTCCTAGGCATTTCAGAATTTGGCATTTAATTTGTAATGCAAGACTGGTTACTTTATTTGAACAAGACTTGAGTGTCTTTACCTTTGTTTAAGCCCCAACGTTAGTTTCGATAGATATTGTTCGGAACTTCAGCTGTCGCAGATTTAAACCCAAGCTTCCCCCTCCCCCACTTCGTTGCAATCACAGGTGGGCGTGCCAGCTGATAGACAACAGTATATACACCGACTTGGTAGAACCGGTCGTAAAGGCAAAGAAGGGCAAGGAATATTGTTACTGGCTCCTTGGGAGGAATTCTTCTTGTCCAATATTAAGGATTTGCCAATAAACAAGGGTTCCGTACCTTCAGTTGATCCAGACACTAAGAAGAAGGTGGGTTTCTCCATCTCTCTCAGTTCTCTCTTCCCATTTTCCTTGAAGCATACAGTTTTATCAAAAATTAAATGTTGGCATTGTATCTAACAGGTGGAACGAGCGCTATCCAAAGTGGAGATGAAGAACAAAGAAGCAGCGTATCAAGCGTGGCTTGGGTATTACAATTCGAATAAGAAAGTGGGGCGCGATAAGCATAAGCTTGTGGAGCTTGCTAACGAGTTTAGCCGAAGCATGGGGCTGGATAATCCTCCAGCCATTCCCAAGCTTGTTCTTGGCAAGATGGGGCTTAAGAATGTCCCTGGATTGCGTTCCAAGTAGTTAGCAGCTTCGGCTGTTGATTTGATTGCCCCAATTACTAGTTGAGAACTGAAAAACTATATCAAATAGAAGAGATTTCTTATATTTTACGTTTTCCATTAATTTTGTATTTGAAGTTTAACCTCTGCTTCTGCTATGCACGGCTAACAACACGAAATTAAACATATTAGTTGAAAAATCTGGTTAGTTTTAAGAAAACTTATTTTGTCAACTAATAAGAAGTAATAAAAGAACGAATGCATTGCCAAGGCTCTAATCCGCGAACCCAATGTGCCCTTAGTCCTCATTTGCAAGCTTGGCTCCTTTGTTAATTTTATTTCTGATTTCTGCCAAGGGAAACAAAACAAATTCGGGCAATCGTCCATTTTCAGTTTGTAGAAAGAGTTTTGGGTGCTAATGGCCGTTTGTCTAATGACGTAAGCCCGATATTAACTATCATTAACTATTATTTTATAATTGTGAGTTTATTTTTATTTATTTTTATAATAATATATCCCAATTGGTTTCAATAAAGTTATCCTTCTTTGATAAAAATAAATAAATATCCCGATGGCTTTGGGTTTTCAATATTAATGTTGGTTTTCCTATATTGATTTAGAATAATGCTACTCTTACCACATTTGTATACCACATTCTTATACCATCTTATGTGGCAGCTAAGGTGGACAGCCACGTCAATTAAAATTATTTAATATTTTCTTTTCTTTTATGATTTATTTCAGTATTTGTTTTTCTAATTGTCTTAATTAAAACATACTTCATTGATTTAATTGATGTGACATATAATATGAACATGCCACATCATGTGGTATAGAAATGTGGGATAAAAATGTGGTAAGTGTAGCATTACTCATTGATTTAATATCCCGATTGCTTTGGGTTTTCTATATTAATTTAATAGGATAATATTAATGTTGATTCTCCTATTTAAAATTGATTTTCATGTAGAGCCCTGTACATAGGGGCGTTCAACCTACAACTTCATATGCAATTTTTTGTCTCTCTCTCTCTCTCTCTCTCTCTCTCTCTCTCTCTCAAATTCTTAGATGTTATTGCAGAGCCGCCACTGCTTCCGTGGGAAGGAGAAAACGAGTGCGCAGGGCAAACCCAAACACAAGGAAGAAGACAATATCAAAACGCCATGGTCACCAACCAAAATCACAGGCCCTACTTGCCTGACGACATGATCTACGAAATTCTCCGACGTCTCCCCACCAAAGCTGCAGTCCGGACGAGGTCTCTTTCCAAGTAATGGGAAGGTGTCTGGTCTCTCCTTCCCTCGCTGGATTTCGACGAGGGCGGCAACCCTGACAATTATTTTCGCCACAACGACGTGGTTGACACCGAAAACTTACTTCGACATAAAAGGTTCGTCAACAACATCTTGGCAAAGTGTTTGGAATATCGTAAAAAACACAATAAGCAGAAGGATGTCTTAGATAAACTGAAAATCCACATGGAAAGGTACTCAGCTAAAGACGACGTAACTCTTATAAATAAGTGGTTGGACTTTTCATTTGAGAGAGGTGTGAAAGAGTTAGATATCTGCCTCAGAATTAGTAAGTTGGATTGGAATCCTTTGGATCGTGGGTTGTCGTTTTACCACTGCATATCTCGGAGGACCTTTATTAATGCAAAATCTTTGACTGCTCTAACTTTGGAGCACGCGAGAATAAAAAACTTTAACCACACAGACATAGCTGTGCCTCATCCCACCATATACACAAGCCTTCTTCCCTCTTTGAAAACCATGTGCCTCACAAGTGTCTTCTTCGATAAATGTGCTCTCTTCTCCTTAATTCGGTGGGAGTGCCCTTCCATCGAGTCCTTGTCACTAGCTGCATGTTCTTTTGAGGATTCCGTATTTAATGTTTCAAGTTCCAGTCTCAAATCCTTGGAGGTTATGGATTGCACGGCTCGGAAAGTTGTAGTTGGTGAATCTGTGAATCTTGAATGTTTTACCCTCGTTTCATTACAATTTCCGCTTGCGGAGTTGTACCTGAAAAAATCTGATAACTTGAGATATATCGACATCTATGCTCAGCACTTAGAAAATATTATGTTAGTAGGATGCCATCAAAGTGTGAAGGCCACAATCTGGACTCCAAGTCTACTTTATTTATATTTCAGTGGTTGTGTGAGTTACTCCAATTTTCATGTGAAAGCTCCAAATTTAAAGTTGGCCGGAATTGAACTTTGGGACCTTTGGGACGAAGAGATATCCCCCATCGATCGCCCGTGGAAACATTTTCCTACCCTAAGAAATTTCTTAAAGAATTCGGTTGCAGCAGATTATTATCTCTCATTCCTCGTGATTTTAAGGTATTTATATCTATGCCTATATGCTTGATAAGTTTGGTTTTGAATAGTTTTCAATTTTTGTACATGTAGATAGGGTAACTTGCAATTTTAGCGTCAATTTATTCTTAATTTTTTCTTCAACCAATTTAGAATTTAAATTAAATTAAATTAAATAGCCAACTGCGTTAGAGAGAGCGAGTTGAATGGCTAGTCAACCAGCCTCTCTATCCGGCAACTAAAAACTAAAGGTGGCTTGTGTGTATGTATTGTAAGTTGGTTGTTCAATTACTCCTTATGAATTGATGGTTTCCTTCTTTCTATTTGTTTGTTGTGGATGGTGCAGGGTCTCATCTTTCCAGAGAATTTCAAAAAGACCTTCTCTTCACCTCTGCCTCGTTCGAGAGATGTTGCAGTCTATATGTTGAATGCTCCACCAGAAGCGACAGGAATTTCTGACTTCAAGGACTCCTTGGATTGGGTTGCACCTTCTGCACTCATACAGTGCCATTTCTTAAAGGTTCCATCTTAGTAGATAACTTGAGTTGTCCTCGCTTCACTAATTTGTTACCAAATCAGACTTCTCTCATATTCCCAACTTTATCAATTTGTTTATTTTATCATATTCTTCTAAAGTATATTATTATAAACATGAGATTAAGATGGGATCAATAAATAAACTATATATAGTTAAATAAAAGAAACTTGTTTTGTAAGAAAAATTGAAAACTGTTTAAACTTTGTTTGGTAATTGTTTTTAGTTTTATGTGGAATTTGAAAAGAATCAAAATACAAATCATTTAAGAGATTATATGTAAGGATAAGAGAGAGAATTTTGGAATTGGAACGCAGAGGTCTAGCTTCAGATAGAAGTCCTAGACTTGTTTCTCTATTTTCTTTTTTCAATTGATTTTCAATGAGAGCAACTCTCTCTACGAAAATATCTATTACAAGCTTAATTGCCCACTTGGTGGTTAGCTTACCTACCAAAAGAAAAGGCTAGAAATAGCCAATACGCATAACAACAAAAACATAAATATTAAAGTTTTCTACAAAAGTGGCTCAAACTGATTTTTCAGATAATTACCACTAGAGTTTCCCACAAACATGGCTCAATCTCTTTTTTACATAGACCTGCCACTAGAGTTTTTCTTCTCCTTGCTCGGTGCGTCTTTGTGACCTTTTCTCCCCCTTGTGTGGGTATGAGCTTGAGCTTTGCTCATTTAAGGCTTATATCTTTTACTTTCTATCATTTCCGATCCCCACATGTCCTTACCGTCTTGTGCCGGCGGCGTCGGCAACAATTGTAGTGAAAGTGGTGGTTTTGGCGGCTTCGACTTTGTTTTTATTTTTGTGTGTTTACGGATTATGTATTTTCCCCAAATATATATATATATATATATATATATCATCGGCGGTTGTGCCTAGACGTTTGATCTCCGTCATGGTCATTGGCTCTTCCAAAATTATATACAGATGAAAATTAAGTACAATATATATATATATATATATATTGTACAGGAAACTTGAAACTCTTCCTGGTTCTTTAGCTTCACACGAGATCTAGGAGAGCAGAAGAATGAGATTGAAAACACACCAAACGGTCTTGATCGAAAAGGCTCAATCATGCCAACCTTCCAAACTATGTTGCTCGATAAGATTTAATTTATAGTAAACATACCAAAACGCTTTTTGTATCAAATTTCTTTTCTATTGTAAGGTCCTAGCAGACACCTTCAAGCAGAGGCAGCTTATTGTTTATAGTATACTCCTTTGTCACTAATCAAAATAGGTACAAAGTTTGGAAGCTTTGAGCCTCAGAAGTTGCTTTGATTACGAGTGGTAGGTCAAGCAACAATCAACCAATGTGGGAGTCTCTCTCATTCTCACCAACCCTGAACAGTTGGGCAGTTTAGCAATATTCAGTGCTTTCCGCAGTCATACTACGCATGAATGATTTTCCAAGAGTTCATATGTAACTTATAATCAACTTCATCATGTCTGATGTTGGTGGACTTTCAGTTGAACCAGCTTTTACAGTTCCGTCTCCACCACATAATGGAAATCATTTACTATATATGTCTAACTACCGATGTAAGGCTTTAAGACATCACATTATTGCATGGACTACTCCACCAAAGCCTCGAGTGCTTGGTTACAAAAATGTGTGCCTTTCATGCAATTTCGGCCGGTGATATACCAACTAATTAGCTCTCTTGGCGTCCCAAAGCTTAACATCTCCGTCTTTGCTAGTTAAGAACAAACTGGTATTTGGGATTATAGATATCTTGGTGACACTCCCTTCATTCGGATTCATTCATCAAAAAGTTAAATGATAATTGGACAAGGAAATGATAATACAGAGTTAATCTTGCATGAAAACTTGTCAGGTTATACCTGAGTGAGCCTTCCGTTTTGATTTTGTTCCCCAAGTTTGGTACTATTTCCAGGATGCATATCAAGACTCGATGATGACTTCATGACTTGTTCACCTTTATCAAAATGCCTATGCCTTTTACTCCTTCCAGTAGCAATGTACGGGAAATCATGATGTACACTCCAACATCGCCGCACCTTTACCGCCAATCACAATAAGGGGGGCGATAGAGCCACTTCCTATGTCATTATCAAACACAGAAAGAGAGCGTGCACCACCTTCACACAAAAAGGACAAGGCATATACAAGATGAAGAAAAATTATTAACTTAACAGCAAAAGTTAATAACTATGGAAAAAAAATTGAAATTTTTTTTTTTTTTTTTTTTTTTTTTTTTTTTTTTTTTTATTTTTTTTATACTATTTCCTTTTTAAAAAAATTGGTAAAACCGAGTATGGTCACCAAGGGCTCATGCTATGCTTCTTTGAAGAAAAAAAAACAAAGTATTGCTGTGCGGCTATACTATTTCTTTAAATAAAATTTAAAAAAAATGAGTATAGCCGTTCGGCGATACTATTTACTCACAAAATTGGACAAAACAGGCCATTTCTTTAAATAAAAATTTAAAAAAACGATTATAGCCGTGCAGCTATACTATTTCTTTTTTAAAAACTTTGAAAACACAAGCAACTATTTCTTTATAAAATAAAAAATAAAAAACCGGATAGCCGCACGGCTATACCTTAAACCTAAAACCCGGCTATACTATTTCTTTAAATAAAAATTAAAAAACGGGTATAGCTGATCGGCTATACTATTTCTTTTTTTTTTAAGGGGAAAAAAACCAACTATCGCCGAGCAGCTATACTATTTCTTGAATTAAAAATTAGAAAACACGAGTATAACCATTTGCCTATACTATTTCTTTATAATAATAAAAATTTAGAAAAAGCAGAGTATAGCCATGCGGCAATACTATTTCATTTTAAAAAATTGGAAAAAGCCTTAAAAAAACGAGTATAGCCGTGAGACTATACTATTTCTTTTTTTTTCTTTTTTTTATAAAAAGAGTATAGTCGTTCAGCTATATGATTTCTTTTTGAAAAATTGGAAAAAAACCGCACCTATACTATTTCTTTAAATAAAAATTATAAAGGCGTCGCCTAGCTATACTATTTCTTTTTTGAAGAATTGGCAAAAACAGAGTATAGCCGCGCGGCTATACTATTTCTTTTTTAAAAAATTCGTGGTATAGCCGCTCGGCTGTACAGTCTAATAAAAATAATTCTAAAAAAGGACCCTCCAAGTTGCATTAGTTGATACTTTATATATATATATATATATATATTAATTTGGTACAGCCGCTAGGCTATATGAATAAAATACGTACGTATTTATTCTCCAAAATTTTGGCAAATTATAACTTAAAAGTTTGGCCACTATATAATATTTTAATATAATTTATTTAATAGTTTAATATATATTATTTCTATTCAATAATATATGATAATTATGTGTATACTACGTGAATTTTGTGCATATTATTGAAAATTTTGTAAAAAATACGTGTATTAAACATGAAAAATACGTATGTACATGTTCAATACGAGTATTGTACGTCTTCTAACCAAACAAGAGTCATTACAGGCAACCCATAATCCATTTTATGCTGCAGAAGTGATGCTAGCTGTTTTACATAATAAGAAGAAACCTGTGCAAGTGTGGGCTTCAATAACTTAACCAAGCTCAAGGACACCAGTTCTATCAATTCATTTACATTGTTGCTATCAGAATGGAAATTTGCATAGCTAAGTAGCTGTGAAAAATGTGTTCCATCGGGTATACCAGAAAAACAACCATCATCAAGTTTATAGGACAACATATTCAACTTATGTTTCATGAGACTGGATATGTGTTGCCATAAACAAGCCCCTATGATTTGCCATCTTTCATATTCTGGAAGTGAACGTGTTATATTTCTATCTTGAGAAACCTGAAGACCTACATTATCAATAGAAACATTTTGAGCCAGAAGCTCTCGAATCTGGGGAGGAGTTTCTTCAGAGTCATCATATCAACTTCATAAGGTGTATGCCCATTAGTAAATGTGATCATAAGGGACTGCACCAATAGAAAGAGAACTTTTGAGTTTTTACGATGCCAAGCATATGCAAGCTGTACATAATACTAGATCAAATCAATGATTGCACGGGCTTTCATGGTGAGATCTTCAAAAGGCATTATCAAAGCAGCCCTTAAACTCCACAATGACAGTGTAAGACCTTGAAAGTAATATCCCAATGAATCTGACCTCATAGATCTACTATCGCCAGACACATTGTTTTCAATATAATGTGACTTCAGTATAGAGCAAGTTATACTGCAGGCAGCAATAACGCGTGAAAACAAAAGGGAAGTTTTTCTGGTGGCCTTCAAAAGTGGCTCATGCATAAGAGCATATGATAAGAATCTTTCAACTGTTTGGCTTTTATCCAGCTCATGATGTTGAGAAGTGTATCCATGTAATATATCAAATCCAATGAACCATAGCCCACGATTGTGCAGCGATATTAAAATCTGTAGAATGGGAGGGGAAAAATAGGATCAGAGAGTCTAAAAATGTATCATTTCATGCCAGACAAACTACTCAGGTGTGATCAGGGCACAGTCTAAAAATGTACCAGACTAATAAGATGGAAGGGAACCACTGAAAACTTCTGCTCCAACAGATGAACTACCGTGTATAACTTTTGTTGGAAAGATTCAAGAACTTTTACATATTCGTGATTTTCGTATTCCTTTACACATGTACTAGCTTCAGAAGATCCAAAAGCGATCCCAGCTTGGATGCTCTCTTATCAACTTTGATAAGTATTGAAGTGTCAAATCTAATTTGGCTTGAAACTCCAGATCGAAAGCCACGTTACTTGATAACCAATTGAAAGAATTTATTGGAGAAGACTCTACATTACTGTATGCACAACCAATTGGCATGCCTTTAGGAGGCTCTATAAGGATCCCCAGCACCCAAACCCCTTCAGTATATGTAAAATGGTATGGAAAGCTATTCTCGCCAAAGAGCATTATGTGAAGTTGGTGGGAGGATTTTCCGGATTTGGATAATTTCATCATAAAGATCCTCAAGTACCATATGGGGCACATCGTATGACACCTATTGCACTCACTATAGATCACAAGATCAAAATATTCCAGTACAAAAACAAGAAACCAGTTTGAATAGTACAGTTTATAGCATCTGAATGTATAAACTGGGCACTGAAACTATATAGTCAACGTCAGGCAGAGGAAGTCTATTAAGAAGAAAGCGTTAAGAGATCCTTAATAAAGGCATAAAGCACTCAAATAAGGCATTATAACGCTAGTTTACAGACCTTTAGCTATCCCCCTATGCAAGCTATATATGATAGGGAAAGGTCATGCATTATAAGCTATGGAGTTCATGAATAGGTTAATATGAGACAATAATATAGGCCAACATTTCAGAATGTCATTGAACCTTTTATAAATGGAAAACTCACCTAAAACACTACATTCACATCCAGCATATATCATCCAACGTAATAACAGCATGAATCAAAATGTAAACTTACAGGAAGCAACACCATTGGACGAAAGTGCATGCTTCTCAGTTGCCGAATTTATTTGGAAACCAAGCATGCGTATTAAAGATTGAGAGTAATTTCCCAGCTCCCACTGCAAATCAAGGAGAGTCATTTGTAAGGTACGACATCTTAAAAACCATGGATGCGGCACATACCGTGGTAGTGTCCTCTTAATAAAATTCTTATGTTAAACGACTTAAAATCAAGGCACCTCCAAAAGGCTTGCTAACCCGTCCTTCTCAATTGCAAATGGTAGCATAAACTTTGTAATTAGGTGTCTCTCTAGCAGTCCACCACGCCCCTCAACAAGCCGACAAATCACTAACGCAAGCTGTTCATCGGCAAGGTTCTTTGCACAAATATTGACAGCAGAAGAAGTATCACCTCCAAACAGAAAGAAAGCAATAGCTAATTCCGGTTTATGTCTTCCCATTAAGACATGCATTCTTCAAAGCATCTGCCTTATTTTTCTCCTCATGTAAGAATAAAATGTGGATGCATGTTAAGACAACCTACCATCAAATGATTAGCTTGAAAGGCATCTGGTAGAAGAGAAAATGTGAGAGAGAGAGAGAGAGAGAGAGAGGAATAGTGAAGTTATCCAGTTTTAGTATATATATATAATTTTGGGGTCTTTAGATTTTGGGCTTGAACTTGAGTTGCTAGTTGTGGACCGAATTTGTGTTATGTGATTTGAACTGATTTTGTATTTGCTTTGCTTCCATTCTTGTTGCTGTTAGTGTGTTTCTGGCCATATCTCATTATCAAAATGATAATGTGAACCAGTTTGTGCAGTTGGCTGCGTGTATAGTCACCTACTCTGTAGCAAATACATTTTGTTTTTCTATTGCAATATGCTTTAACATAGGTCAGCAAAAACTCAAGACTGATAATGTCTTGGTATTTGATTATTTAGATCTGATTGTTCATGACCAGAAATTACTAAAGAAACTTTTCTATCATCTAGGCTTGATTGTACATGAGGAAGGCTTATAGACAAGAACTGGACAAAAATGATGTAAGAGTGTTCATGAAACTAGAACTATATGATGCTCAATGGAACAGTGACAAATTTTCCGAGTTAGAATTTAGAAATAGGTGCAGATATGAAAGGAGTTTCTTATTGCAAAGTACCTTGCCTGCTAGAGGTGCTGTTGATTGTCTTTTTTTAAAATTTGTTGTTTCTGGAAGGATAGCATCTTGGCCTTTGGAACAGATTAGTGCTGAGGTATTAGGTAGTTAAAGACTAGACTGTTTAATGTAAAGCATGTTTTGTCTCTCCATCTATATTATAAGGCAGGATGCCTTTAGCTGAGCTGAGATTCTTCTCTCTGTTCATGTTCCTTTTTCCTGTCTTAGAAAACTTTCTTCATTGGTAATTGGCAATTGTCATAGGTTCTTTTGATAGATATTGGTTTTGTTAAATAATTTCTATACTCGGTGTACGGTAACTGTTTCGAAGGCTAATGGCACAAATTTGTGATGGCAGCAGATTAAGAGGGCAACAGAGTCTGCTGAAAGTTGTGTGAAAGACTTCATCTATGGATAAAAACAGCAACCTGAAGGAGAAATTGAGAAGCTGGCCCCTATAACGGTGCAAAGGAACATCTCATTAGTCATTTTTTTGAAAAAGAGGAACATCCTTAGTTTAATGGGCAGTTAACAATGTATTGAGAATGATTCTACTGTTCTTGTTAGTTGAATGTGGTGATATTTAGACCTTGTGTTTCTTTTGCACAAGATATTTCATGTTTTGTTTCATTTCATGCATGATCTTCACCTTGCTGCTGAGATAAAACCAAACACAGTATGGATATGATTCTTGGGTCACCTGAAGCTCAAAATCGGCCCCTCATCTTGAAAATATGCAGAGTGTTTTGTAATTTATTGGATTTGAACAGCAGCTAAGGTTCCCTGAAATCTTCTGCAACCAGAATCATGGAGTACAGGACTAAATGTTACTTTCAGAATTCTTACAATATGCTAAAAACAATTTTTGACATATCCTATAAATTTATAGTATACGTAGACGTTCTAGAATGAAACATATATGAATTTACAATTGATAGTGAGTGTGGAAAGTACAATTCAGGATGCCTCTTTTATTGTTCTAATACAGGATTAAAAAGACTAAGGCAAAGAGGAAATCTGTTTTAGCCCTCAGGAACTTTCAAGTTACAAGCCAGAATCCTTGTGCATTGTTGTTTTCTTACTCCATACTTGGTAAAATAGATCTAACACCAAAATCTTCTCTCCATTAGTTTCTTCATCCATAAAGTTCATATTAGTTTCCCAAAACTATTTCTAATAAAATGCTGCAGATTGTTTAAGAAGGAAAATAACACTGATTTACAACTCCCAATTGGTTACTGTAAATGGACCAGAAGAAAACATAACAAAAAATGCTCACGCATGATTAATCAACTTTTCAAGTGAAACAGTAATTTGACTGTAACATTAATCTAGGATCGGATTACCAACATAATTCTCCTCGACTCCTCCAAATTTAGCAATCCAAGGCTCTGGGTTGATGTTTTGAATTCAAAACAACTAGCAGATCATCATCTACTTCAATCAAACTATGGAGGTCTTGTCCAATATCTGAGTTTTAACCGAGGTGACACTGCACTTAAAGGTTAACTAACATCTATCAATTGATTGTGCTACCAGTAGCAATGTGATCAAAAAATAGTTCCAGTAGCAATGTGATCAAATAATAGTTCCAGAAATGAAAAAGAAACAGAATCAAGTTTTCTTCAGCATAGGAAAATCAATGAAACTAAAAAGGTAGGTTCTAGTTCGTGTTAAAAATTATGTGAGCATTTCTCTACTGATTACACATTTACATTGGGCCTCCAAATAATCCAAAGGATTCCAAAATTATAAAACACAGCTCAAATGCCCTAACAATGAACTAACTTGTCTAATTGAAACCACCAACACTCTCTATATTTTACTAGTGCCCAATGAAAACCAGCATCATTCATTTGAATCAAGGGACTCGTTGTGTCTGATAGGTGCTCACTCAGCTAACTGGATTGAGTATCCGCCAAAAACAACCTTTACATAGAAAAATCATATCTTTGACCCAAACAAAAAAACATATAAAAATCATATCCAATAAATTTTGCAAACTTGAGAGGATTGTTCAAATCCAATAAATTGCAAAGCACTGTGCATGTTTTCAAGATGAGGGGCCAATTTTGAGCTTCAGGTGAACCAAAAATCATATTCATACTGAGTTTGGTTTTATCTCAGCAGCAAGGTGAAGATCATACATGAAATATCTTCTGCAAAAGAAACATAGGGTCCAAATATCACCACAACTAACAAGAACAGTATAATCATTCTCAAAACATTGTTAACTGCCTATTAAACTAAGGATGTTCATTTTCTATAAAAAAAAAAAAAAAAAAAAAAAAAAAAAAAATGATGATGGTCCTTTGCACTGTTAAGGGCCAGCTTCTCAATTTCTCTTCCAGGTTGCCTTTTTTATCCAAAGATGAAGTCTTTCGCACAACTTTCAGCAGACTCTATCGCCCTCTTAATCTGCCATCACAAATTTGTGCCATTTGCCTTCCAAACAGTTACCGTACACCAAGACCAAGTATAGAAATTATTTAACAAAACCGATATCTATCAAAAGAACATAATGACAATCACCAATTAACAATGAAGAAATTGAAAGTTTTCTATGATAGAGGAAAAAGGAACATGAAGAGAGAGAAGAATCTCAGCTAAAGGCATCCTGCCTTATATAGATGGTGAGACAAAACATGCTTTACATTAAACAATCTAATTTAATACCTAATACCTATATATATGCATTTTAGAGTAATTAAGCACAACCTCTTGAACATTATATATCACCAGAAGCACTCACAATATTATAGAAAAAGAACTCAAACATTAAAGTAAACAATAGACAATCACTAACCCAAAACTTAAGTGTAGCCCTAAGGTGAATAAATGTATCAAACCCACAACATTACTCTGTTCCAATTGGCGGCATGTCAGAGAAATTCATACTAATAGAGAGGCAGTGGAATTACAAGAAAATATTAGGACAAATCTAGATACGAGGAGAGAATGAGATGATATGTTTCACCGTAATAATCCATGTATTCTTAGGACTAATTTCATGCGGATCTGAGAAGGCAATCCTCGCGTTATATCAATTAAGGGACTAGAGATCAATTTTAGTCCCATGAGGTCCACTTCAGAATCCTAGGTCTATTATTGATCGAGGTGGATGTCATACCTAGTTACATACATAAACAGAGCGAAGTTTACTAGTAAGATGAAGCTATTCCTGGAGAAAATTGGGACGGCGAGTAGAATAATAAGCAATAATATGATGATGATGAAGGTTGAACCAATGGCCAGAACAGTGTAGGAAAGCCAAAAACGATCTTTCGCAACCAGAGTAATACCAGCAAGGAATCCGATGGACATCATTGTAAGGGATAGGCTTAACATGAATAATACAAATCTCATGACAACATAAATCATATTAAGATCACTCATTTATGCTCAGATAAGAGCAAGTATGACAATGATGGAGCTGTAGGTTGCTATGATGTTGCATATTAAGAATATTTGAAATGACCATTTACTACCCAAAGTTGCCATGTCATCTTGAGGACCACTAGAGTTGTTATATCCACCTGGCACTGCGAATCCAGCAGCAAATGTTATGGTGGTCACGAGGGTTGAGACCAACACGAGAGTTTTGACATTCTCTGTGCCGATAAACATTTGTCAAAACTCTACAGGGAGAATGTCAAAACTCTAGCGTTAGTCTCAACCCTCGTGACCACCATAACCTTTGCTGCTGGATTCGCAATGCCAGGTGAATATAACAACTCTGGTGGTCCTCAAGATGACATGGCAACTTTGGGTAATAAATGGTCATTTCAAATATTCTTGATATGCAACACCATAGCAACCTACAGCTCCATGACTGTCATATTTGCCCTTATCTGGGCATAAATGGGTGATCTTAATATGATTTATGCTGCCATGAGATTTGTATTACCCATGTTGAGCCTATCCCTTACAATGATGTCCATTGGATTCCTTGCTGGTATTCCTCTGGTTGCGAAAGATCTTTTTTGACTTTCCTATACTGTTCTAGCCATCGGTTCAACCTTCATCATCATCATATTATTGCTTATTATTCCACTCGCAGCCCTAATTTCCTCCAGGAATCGCTTCATCTTACTAGTAAACTTCGTTCTATTGATGTCTATAACTAAATATGACATCCACCTCGATCAAGAACAGGCCCAAGATTCTGAAATGGACCTCAGGAACCACTTCATCTTACTAGCAAACTTCGCTCTGTTGATGTACGACCTAAGTAGAATAAAAAACATGAGCCATTAAATTAAGGTAAGAGAGAGAGGTAAGAGAGAAGGCCAACAATTTTATAATCACTTGAAATTAAGGTCTCGAGAACTTAACTTTGAGTTATATTATCATAAATAGCCAAAATTCACAAACACATATGCTCATAAGCCATTACTGGGATTTAACAATCCAAAATGGACGCCATGTACAACAGTTTAAAAAGAATTTAAGAAGTGAAAAGTTTAATACAATGAAAATCTAAAAATCAAGAGAGAGAGGTAAGAGAGAAGGCCAACAATTTTATAATCACTTGAAATTAAGGTCTCGAGAACTTAACTTTGAGTTATATTATCATAAATAGCCAAAATTCACAAACACATATGCTCATAAGCCATTACTGGGATTTAACAATCCAAAATGGACGCCATGTACAACAGTTTAAAAAGAATTTAAGAAGTGAAAAGTTTAATACAATGAAAATCTAAAAATCAAGAGAGAGAGGTAAGAGAGAAGGCCAACAATTTTATAATCACTTGAAATTAAGGTCGCGAGAACTTAACTTCGAGTTATATTATCAGAAATAGCCAAAATTCACAAACACATATGCTCACAAGACATTACTGGGATTTAACAATCCAAAATGGACGCCATGTACAACAGTTTAAAAAGAATTTAAGAAGTGAAAAGTTTAATACAATGGAAATCTAAAAATCAAATACATATCAAACAGATTCAGTATCTTTGTAACTTGGAACAAAACAAACCCATGAAATTTCATATGGAAATGGAACTTAATAATCTAGGGAGAGAGAGAGAGAGAGAGAGAGAGGTACCCATTGTATCAGAAAGGAGCTACGACGGCACAAGGTAGTGGTGGTCGGCACTGGACCACCGGCGAAGAGTTGTGATGAAGGTTGGGAGGTTAGGGTTTGTGCTGTGCGGGAAGAGAGGTGAAATTGGGAATGAAAAGGGTTTGGAGGTGCTGTGCGGAGTCGGGTAAGTGCTGCTGTAAATTTTTATTTTATTTTTAAACCTGAGTAAAAAACGACGTCGTTTGGCAAGGCTCGTTTTAAAAGAAAAAAGGGCAGAGCAAGCAAATGGGCTGTCTGTACGTATTAGGCTTCGGCTGTCCGTACGTAACAATCAGGCTTCCGCATGAATGTAAGCCATTACTGGGATTTAACAAACCAAAATGGACGTCTTAATACAATGGAAATCTAAAAATCAAATAAATATCAAACAGATTCGGGTGAAGTATCAGTGTCTGTGTAACTTGGAAAAAAACAAACCCGTGAAATTTCATATGAAAATGGAACTTAATAATCTAGGGAGAGAGAGAGGTGCCCATTGTATCAGAAAGGAGCTACGACGATTAGGCTTCGGTTGTCCGTACACGAGGGTTTATGAAGAAACCTAATTTTGTTTGTATTGTTAGATTGGGGTGTTTGGCTCTTTAGTTGGTCTGGCCCAGCAGATTGACAGAGCTCTTGGCATTGCTTTGTTTTTCTCTCCTTTCCTATCAGCGAGTTCCGATCCATTTGTTCGAAATTTCTTCGTTCGTACCGAACCACTTGCAGAATCAAATCCTGTTCCACAAGATCCTATATCAGCTATACATCCTCCTAGAAATCAGATCCAATTGACCCGGTGGAAATGCGGATACAGCTGCATCTATGCTAATGTAAGTTGTTGATTCAGCTCAGTAGTTGGCCCAGCCAGAGCACCAATTGAACCAGTCCTAGCCAGCATCCCTGTTGTTTCGAGGAGGCGTTCCCCACAGGATGCTGCATTTTGAAAGAAAATTCCATCAAAGGGGTGGAGCTCATCTCTTGAAACCCTTACTTTTATTTAATAGGGGGCCTTTCTGACTTAGAAGAAGGCGACAACTCCTGCTCTAAAGCAAGCGCAAGCAGATTACCAAACTAAGCTGGTTTGTGCACCCCCTCTGTCTCTCTCGGTTGGTCTGTTGACCTTGAGGTTGTTTGTTCTTTGGGCTTTGCCCTCTTTTTGGTTTATAAATTCATTTTTACCAAAAGAAAAAAACAATTGTTGAATAAAAGATTAAAAAAATAGAATAAAAGGAAGTTCTGGTTTTCAGTTCCAAGATTCATTTTGTTGAGCTATGAAGGAGGCTTGTTCTTGGAAATTACATTTTAAAGAGAAGCGGATTAATGCCTAAAGAAAGGTAAAGAGCCTTTTCAATGGAGGTGTAGGCTTATTTGAAGTTGTGTTTACATAGGAAGACAGGGGACCAACTTACAATCTCAGAGGCCTACAAACACTTACAAAGAATATGATATGTGAACCTTGGTGCACCTGTTTCTCAACATTTACTACCAAACATAATTTACTATTTGGGAAATATTGAAGAACAAATGAACGCAAAATGACCAAAAAAAAAAAAAAAAAAAAAAAAAAAAAAAAGTAAAAAAAAAAATAAAAATCAAGTAAAAACCAAACAAGTGAACCCACATTTCATTTCTATGGTGGTGTAATTACTACTCTGTTGAAAATCTTAAACAAGAGTACATAAAGAGAACTGATACACGGCTACTGATCCAAAAACCCTAGTACATTGTGTGAAAGAGATTTCAGGTAGACCAATTATGTAACACAGTAAAATCCTAAGTTCTGAACCTAAAGCGAGTTTCTAATTCAGTAGAGTTACAAAGTGCCTAACCCTAAACTGGAATTTAAGATGCCGAGTCCTGCCTTCCCCTTCATCATCACATCACCATCACCCTCATTTACCACCAAAGCTTGTATTCTTGAAAATGGAGCAAGTATATTGCTTTCTAGTGTACACAAAAAACTCCAAGCAGATATGATGTGATTAGGAAGATATTAGGAAATCATGGAATGAAATAGTCAAATTCCTTCCTTTTTAAGATTGGGGTGAGAACAAGAACGCCTGGTAATGGGAGGGATTCTCATTGTAGTTCCTTCCATCATCATTCCCTTCCTGATCTGTTAAAGCTAGAGGTGGAAAATCCTCATCTTTCAACTGATAATTCCTCTGGGCCACTGATCTGGCAAAATAATCAAACTCCCCTGTTAAGATAATTGAAAGCATCACAAAACAATCCCGTTGAAGAAATTATAGGTTGAAAATAATGAAAAAATAATAAGGAAATTGCTCTGAATAAAATCTTAAGAAGAGTTTGGCCATTGAGACACTACCATGGCACCCAGAACCACCAACCACCAAAACCCCTCCCCCAAAAGAAGGAAAAATACACCTGAACCAGCTACCTTTGGAGGTGGGGTGAAGAAGGCTGATCAGGCGAAGATCGTTGAGCAGAGCCACCATGAAACCTTTGTTCCTCAAATACTCCACTCATCCTGTTCCCCTCATTTAGCTGTGAAACCTCATTCAATCCTGAGAAGCCCACTGGTCCAAGAGAACCAAACTCAAGTTGTTCTGCAGGTGGCCCATAGCCAGTATTATGGTCATAAGGATACAACATGACAACTGATGGAATGGAAGGTCCATTTGATGACACCCCACTGGGGTTCATGGCTGGTAGCGGATACATGCCATAAGCAACATTTGTGGAACCACTCTGCGTAGTGTTTGAGCGGATAGGACCATTTTGAGATTGATATGAAGGGAATGAGTCCTGCCTATGTGAGCTCCATGGCCTTTCAGCTCGGCTGTCACTAGCTGCCAAACGGTCTGCTCTTGAATTTGGCTTCTCACCTTGGTTGCGACTGTGGTTGCGGCCAGAAGCTCGTGACTTTGAATTAGTATTCCAGTTTCCTTCTCTATCACCATGGTGGTCATTTCTTTCATAATTGTAATTCCCCCTTCTTGTGCTTGAAGGATGCCGATCCCGTACAGTAACCTTCTGAATTAATTAAAAAGGGGTAAAAGGGATAAATAAAACTGCAGCAGTATGTAAGTGATCACCTAAAGCTGTAGCGTTTTTGTTTTGGGTAAATCAAGACAAGTAAAATAAAATGATGGAAAACTTCTTTTCTACATCACATTTAAATAAAGCCTAACTTTTCAGAAACCAAGCACTGGTCCAACAGACAAGATTGGTAGGTGCAACATGCTTAACGAAAAATAAAATTCCAAAATATTCAGCCGATAAGGAACAGGTATATGTTATCTTACAGGATTTGGCAGGTAGGTCCCAGTCCCACTACGATATCTTGGAATCTCTTCGACATAACGTTGATAAACACTGGCAGGCCTGTTAGAAACAGACTGGAGAGGAGCAACAGGAACCAGTCGAGGCCCATAACCCACAAGCTGATTGAAAAGATTCATGTTGGCTGAAAGAGGTCTCCCAGGGCCATCCCAAGGTAATCGTCCTTGTAAGTAGACAGGGGGCACCATAACTGGTGATGGATAAACCACAGGTGAAGGATGCCGAGAATTTTGGCAAATACGTCCATATTGCAAATTCTGCCAATGACTTGCAAAATCGCTGTGTAGAATGTCGGACTTATGCTCTGATGCCTCAATAGGAGCAGGCCTTCCAATAGAGTTAGAAGTACTTAATACCTCAGGCTGATCAGCTCCCTCAGATGAATCAAAATTCTGACCAGAATCACTATTATCCGGTCCCTCTTCTCTACTAAATTGGTTAGCTGATACATCTGAAGTTCCTGTCTCTGTTGAGAAGTAATTATAAGGAAGCATTGTAACAAATGGAACTGGAGGCCCTGTAGGATAAAAAAGCATCCCAGAATCATTTGAAGCTCTCTGTCGTGAACCTGGACCTAAGAGCACTGGAGCAAATGGTATCAACGAATCTGATCCACTTGTCTGAGATGGTTCAAAACCAGGCATTTGATGCCTTGGAACATGCAAAGAAGCAGCGGGTTGAGGTCCTGTGCTTCTTTCTACCATTTCGGCACCTAAAGTCGTAGGTTGATTCCAATCTCTGTTGTCATCATCTGCCTGGGTAGATGAATGTTCAGACACACTCTTGCCTTTCCCAAATGCAGCAGACGGCGCTGCTGAAAGAGCAGTTCTCCTACCCCGTTTTTCCCTTGTTGACTTTGAGACCTTTGCTGATGATCCTTCCCAAGAACTCTCAGAGGAGGTCTTACTTCTCACTGAACTTGTATAAGTTGCAGACCTAGAACTCACAGTTCGGTCATCAAAGTATACCTCATTTCCTTTGTTATCTTGATACTGAAAATTATCCACATGATCTTCCCTCAATGCATCTCGGTTTTCTTTAGGCTTTTGTTGAACTCGCATAGAACTTCCTGAGGTGCCTACCCGAGATGAAGGATGAAAGTTATAACTAGCTGAAGTTGACTGTTGCTTATCATCTTCCTGAAGCAATTCAAAACTTCCATTTTCAAGATCAAACCCACCAGTAGAGCCCCTTTCCTGCTGATGCCAGAAATCATGATCAGTTTCACCTGAGTTCATTTCCACAGATCCAAAATTTTCATTACTAGGTTCCACTGAATCTTCAGGATTTGAGGACAACCCCAAGCCGGGGAAATAAGGGGCTAACGGCGATGGGACAACACCTTGGGGAAATTGCAGATTTGTTCCCCAAGGAGTCTCAATCATGGGAAAATTTGTGGGAACCATTCCACCCATATTTCTCTGAGCATATCCCATAGAAGCAAGGATGGATGGTGGGATTGGAAGTGGTAGGTGACTCGAAGCCATATTCAGTGGAAGATGGACTGGCCCATTAAAACCATGAGCTGTAGAAGATGCCATCATGTTAACAAGATCTTGCTCCTCCTGGTGCATCCCTTGTGTCCCCGAAATAGAAGCATAATCATCAGCAATGGCATTCAATCCCAATTCCTCATGATAGCTATTTGAATCAACAGTAGCATCAAGGCTTTGATGGGATGAGATTTGTCTAGCAGACGAAGGATCATCAGTTGAAGATCTAACTCTGTGGCTTGCCATACTGTCAGAGTCCAGGTTTTTCCTCCTGCTATTATCCAACCTTGTCGAATAAGTTTGGGTTTTCCCACTCTCGGGGGCTCTGTTGCGTCTACCTTGAGAGGAAACTTCACCATACGAATCAGTAAGCTCAGGACTAGAACGTGTCCTTGCAAAAAGAAACCTCCCATGGAGGTCATTCACCAAGTTATCAGGTCTAGCACTTCTCTGACCTTTATCAACCTTTGCACCCAGATTGGAATTGGTTTCCTTTCTAATCTGATCAGACGCCCTAGCAGTGTTTGTGTTCCCATGATTCTTTTGGCTTTGAGCATGAGTTCCAGTAGGCACATCACTGTTCCCGGATGTGCTTTCTAAAGGATAACTACCATGCTGGGAGGGAACACTAAGTGAGCCATGCGTCCCATCACCATGAGTACCACGACCAGAGGAACTTTCGTCTTTTTGGTCGCGTGAAATGTTCCTGAGATTCTCAGATCCATGTAAGTGGTCTGGATTTGAAAGTCTTATGCGCCTCAAATCGTTTCGTGGTGCATCAGGTCGATGACCACTCCCATGTCTATCCCAAGTGTTCAGGAAAAACTGATTTACTTCAAAATATAGATCCTCTTTGGCACAATCAAGCAACCTGGCCAGCCTTTTAGCCCCAAATGCAAATGCACTGCGTATTCTGAAGAAGTTACCTGGAAAATATACATACACAATACATAATAATTTAAACAGCCAACAATGTGAACAGATAGGAAATCAAGCAAGACAGTTACACCTTACAAACAACATTAAAAAAAATTAAGGAAAGACAATGAAGTTTACATGTATTCACACCAAAAGACTCTTTGGGTGTCCTATGAAATAATCACATTCTCTTACATATAAGACTGTGTCTGTCATTTTGAATGAGCCCATTTTCAAGTTAACATGGATATTGTTGCCTTCCACATTATCAGCCGTTTTCAGTTGTACTTTTTTTTTACTCCCATAAAAACCATAGTTACATCATCTTCTGTTCTACTTACAGGAAAAAAATATATATATCTAAATCACGTTCTTAATGATTTGAAGTCCGAAATTTTTATTATTTATATACACATAATTACTTCCAAAAAAGGAAGCATACTGTTTCACACTTGTAAACAAGTAATGAGTGCGACCAATTAATTAAACAATGTATTCTAAATGTTGGCCAAAAAACAACGGAAAGTAGATCTCTTACAAACAGTGATGCCAAAGAATATAGTTTCAGAACGGCATACCTTTACTAACACTACGTCCCAGGTTGTTATTGATTCGCAAAGGATCAATAACATTAAAATGTTTGGAAACAAAAGGCTGGCCCTGATTTTCTTGACCGCCAGGGAAAACAGCATACACTGAGCTACAGGAATCAAGAAATAATTTGCTCAGTAATAACTCTCCACCATCTTTTCGCGGAGGTTCAGCTGCAATATAAACAATAACAAATTTAAACAGGAAATTGTCAAAAATTGAAGGAAAAAAAAATGGACGCTTGATGGTCAAAAGTTTACTAAAGCAATTAATCAATACCAGTTACATCTGGAAGTGCACTAATGGGTACAGGACCACATAGGCTAACACAAAAATTGTCCCAGTCAAATTTGCTAAAAAATTCTAAAAAACGATACAGGACCTGCACAAGCAAAAAAAACCATTCAGATGGATCCACAAACAATAATGCCAATATAATACACCAACTTAACCATAGCCACCTCAAGTGGTCCAGCAAAGGAGTTGTTGAAAACGTGAAATATGTATAAAACCAAAGTTTCCAGCGCGTAAGTTGAGATAAGTCCATGGTGAGCACCCAGTATTCGGCTCTCATAATAACACCAGGCCTTTATCAGTATGATACTACGCTTGAACAAATGATTTTGATTTATCAAATTATCAACCTGCAGAAGCAATTAATACAATTAGTCAAGGCATACAAATATTAACGTGGTTTACAAATGTACCATTTACCTCCTCAAGGAAACAAAGGGTGCACAAGCCCCCCAGCTGATTGAAAGATATGTCTACTACAATGTTTTCCACAAGGCACTTGATTATCTTCACCTGTAGATATACAAAGAGAAGTATTACGGTTAAATCTAGTATCAGAAAAGCAAAATTAAAATATAAAGAGAATCAAATATAGACAAAAACTAACGAACATTGCCACAACAGAATCTCAAATAAAGGTAAAAATGCTAATGATAATAAGAAGAACATACTTCTGCCTGAATGTACTGAACCTCTTTCACGCGGAATTCAGCATTCTCGTTCTTCTCCTCATTCTCCAGCATATCACGAACCTTATGGGCCCATGTGTCCTTCAAATTTTGAGTCTTACTGAAGGCTGTCAGGTCAATATCTCCATCAGGCAAATACGTCTTCAGGGGTACAGATCCAAAAGTGAACACCTGGACCTAATCACAAACATTTAGGTCAACGAAAATAAATGCATAAATAACATGAAACACAATAAATATGCACCAATTCAACAAGTTAACAAACAATTTTTCATAGCATAACCATCAGCATTGGGTCCAATTTTGTCACAATGAAAGACATGCTGAAAAACCACCAGTGGACCCCATTATATGTCACTTCCCCAAAGGCCCACAAGTCTCAAAGTTCCACCCGGCCTAAGGTTATACACATCTCTCTGATCCAATATAATTCTTGAGTCCCTTTAGTTCTTGTTAGCTCAAACTACAAGACTTATGCAATCATCCTACTGCGATCAGAACCTTGAACATCCTAAAAATCCTCAAGTTATTGGTTTTTACGCATTACCATGAAAATATTTCAAAATTTACGTGTGGAATCCAATACCTAGATAATGCAATACAACATTGTAACTTGTTTTTCTTTTTCTAACAAAATGAGAATTCTATCAGAAATTTAATATGTACTTACAGTTATTAAAGCAAACAAATACTGTGTACACATATTAGTAAGTATGTCCCACCTGGCAGGGGAAGCACTTCATTATGAGCCGCTGAACATAATCAGCGACGGCATTTCTGCGCTCCTCGGAGGGTGGATTGGGCTGAATGCAGGCAATAAGCTCTGCAGTTCTCTCCTCCGCCTTCAACCATCGCTCTGAGTCGAGCACTCGCATTACCGAGGCAGCTTCATTGGGCAATAGGCCATTCGGCAAAAGCCCACTTGGTGGCTGTGCCCACCCCTCATGTTCGCCCATGCAAGCTTAAGCTTTCCCTTCACTTCTACACCAAACAATAACTCTTCCTTTTACCCCAAAAGTCCCAAAAGCAATACAGAAAAGCTGAATCTTTCCCCAATCCCAAATAACAATGGCAACTAAAATACAAAAACACAGAAATCAATTTTTTGCTATAGGTAGACCCTTTCTTCTAAAAAACAAAAGGAAACCTTCAGCTCCAAAACCACTAATAACCCAAATAGGATTTTTTCTGTTTTTCCCAAGTTCAAATTTTCATTTGCTGCAAAAATACTAACCAACTTTTGCGTATTTCAGGAAACAAATATCACAAAATAGAATCCTACCCAGTAGTTAAAAACCTAAGCGACAATTAGAAATACAATTAAACATTAAATTAAATCCCCAATCTGATGAACAGGGACGAAACCCTAGAAAACCCAGCGGACGAAAACGTAGGCGATGATTGGGAGATTGGAGAAACAAAGATATGGGATATAGGAACCCTAGAGGTAACTGTGCAATCCCAATAGTGGGGAAGTGTCGGCGAATCAGAAAATGAGGGAAGCACAAGCTTGGTGAGGGACAAGAAGAGGAACCAAGGAAGAAATGTGGGCAGAAAGGTAGGGCATTTGATTTAATGGGACTTCAAGTTTTGATCAAAATTAGGTTTTTTTTAATCTTATTTTTCAAAGAGGGAGAGAATTTGGATTGGAAGAGGTTGCCAGGTTGGGGTGCATTTGTGAGGGGTTTTTGAAATGAAAATTTATTGGAGAAGAAGAGAGAGAGAGAGCATCCAAAACAAAAGAAAAAAAATTTGATTATTGGGGAAATTAAAAAAAAATTAATTATATTTTTTTAGGGGTTTTTTTTTATGCTGTTTTTTGAGGGGTATGACCTGGGCCAGTAGCCTGGGATTAGTACTTCAACCCAGATTTGGTTTTAATTGGACCATGGCCTCATCAAAGTGAAGGGAACACCCAAAAATCTCATCACTACATTTTTCATCCGAAAGAATTTCCAAACATTCTAATTTTAGCCTCTCACTTCTTTTTCTTTTTTTAAATGTGCTTGACTTTTGAAAAAAAAATTAAGAGGAAAAGAGAAAAGTCATGACCGACCTCGTAAACGTCAACATACACCCACTTCAAACGAAGAGATAAAGAGCGCTGATATCTCCATATCAAATGAAGTCTGCCATCGTCTATATTTCAAATAGAGACTAGTGCAGCCTACATTTCCATGGAGGTCAATGCCCCTCATCCAAGATAGTTGATGTTTCGGTCCTTATGTAGATATGGAGGATATGCCGATATTTTTAGAGAGATAAAAACAATAACGATGCTATTCGACTAGAAGTCACAACGCCCCTCGAAATTTTTAAATAAATATTTTATATTATATATATGTAGAATGTTAAAATATGATCTAGACATACAGTACGAAAGTTTCATGATAGAAGATTTCTGGTATGTTATAGAAAAAAGCTTCACGTACTTTTTCAAAATTTTAGGAAGGTAACCTTGGCACCAACCTCTCATATGGAAAAAATCTATATATAGAAGACGCAAATGTTATTTCGGTTGGTGGTCATGTAATATTATTGATTCAATTTTCAAAAGAAAAGAGGTTGATATTCAAAAAATAATAACTCTCATTTTTTTAATTTGACATTAACAAGAAATTTCTGGTTCCGCCGCCATCACATAGAGGCGATGGGCTAGCCATGAGCTTCTCAGTTTTAAAAATAAAATAAAAATAGGCAAGTGTAAAATTAGAAAGCCAAGAAAAAAATTTAGGTGCTGGGTGTAAATAACAATTCCCAAATTGAAATTACCATGCAAGTCCAGCATCAGCAAGCCCATGGTGGCATAATAGGCCATCCCAAAAAGCCCACCCCAGTGACCAGTTCGGCAGAGGAGGTTCCTTCTTCTTCTTCTTATTCAATCCCCCATTTTTATGGGGGATTGCTGCTGGCGCTCAAAAAAACTTCTGGGTATTTCAGACAAAGCTTGTAGCTTTTGCATGGCTAAACAGGTTTGGGCTTAGTTATGAAATTCAGAAGCAACTTCTTTCTTAGAGTTTTATCAAGTTTTAAACTTTAATTAGCATATACTCCCTTGATCAGTGTATCTCTTCCTGATTTCTCGTTGTATTGCTTCGAAACACTTTCATGGCCATATGAAAATGTCAACTTTTGGGCCTGAAGGCCTATATTTCATTCTTTGTTTTTGCTCAAAATATATTAAGGATTCATTTTCTTCAACTTAAATATCATAGCCTGCAAACTCAAATTTCCGTTTGCGTATGGTAATTTTTGTTTCTGTCATTATTGTTATTATTGGTCTTTGCTTGATTTGCTACCACTAGCAAAGATGGTTATGATTGTTACTTTGGGAGGATACAGAGCTAGTGGTAGGAATGCTGTTTATTTCTTAGTTCCAGATGGATAATTGGGAACTATGGTTATCTAGGCAGGAAGAAGGCAAATGTTATCAGCCAGTGAGAAAGCTGGCGATGAAAAGTTGTATAAAGGGGATCCATGCATATACTGATTACAGGGCTGGGTTATGAATAAAATATAATAGAGTCTTTCTGTTTCCTCGTTTTTCTTTCGAGTGTTTTCTAACCCTTCTGCTTTTCATTCACAGCACCATTCAAAGAACAAGAAGTGCTTTGTGTGCGACAAGCAAAAGGATGGCTACAGAGAGTGAATTACAGTTACTACATTTACTTATTGATCTATTTGCTTTGAAGTCATGTGGCAGGAATGCTTCTTCCCCTCCCCACCTTTGCCTAAGTGTTGAAGAGGAAGTTCACTTTTGACTCTGATAAAATGTGGAAATGCATAACAACGGTGGAAGTTCACTTTGGTAATGTAAGTTAACGGTCAGCTTTCGTCCATTTGTGGCGGTGATGATGTCTGAAATTATCTTGTGCTTAGTATACTCTTTGTTTTGCAATCTGTACGCACAAAAGAAGAGATTAAAGGAAAATACTTTACAGTAGAATTTGAATTCTGTACCCGCAGTTATAGTACCTTTTTTACCAACTCTTTACAGGGACTGGAGGATTTACATAGATACAGAGATGGTTAGGAGGTAAGAGATGTACACGACAAAACAGAGAGAACAAATTAAATCCTCTACTTATTTTCATATGAACATCTCCTATGTGCATGTAGAAAATCTAAGCAGAAAGGAATTAAACTCCTGTGAGTATCTCCTTGGTTGCCAACCCACTGCTCTCTATATTATTTTCATGGTTCCATGAGTGTGGAGATGGTGAAGTAAGTAATGGCCACAAGAGATTCCTCTGTTTTCTCACTTTCCGAACAACCATCCTCATGTGTTGCCTTAGGACTCCATTCACAGCCTTTAGATAGTTGCTCGAGTCATGGTCTCGTAGGATTGTACCTTCTGAACCATAAGCTGTAGGATCACTTAGAGTTTCTAGTGGATGTGGGGAGTTCAAGAAAGCCCTAAGTAGACTTGAAGAGAATCCACATTGGGTCTTGTCCAAAGCATAGAGGGCACTCCCCAGAGGAAGTAGAGGGTGTGGAGGAGATGAATTTTCGTCAGGTTGGAGAATGAATAGTTTACCCATGGGAGAGTATAATATTTTCTGCACAAAAACACAGACATTAGAAGAAGTGAATGAGAAAACTTGCTTGTACTTCAAATTCAGTAGATAGGTTATCGTTATCAAATTTTATATTTTCCTATATCTTTTTATAAAGCCTTTTGATTACATATGTTGGTCCTTACGGATTCTGGTCTTAACTCTACTCTCTGCACGAATAGCATTCTTTGAGGTTAGAGTGGGAAATGACAGATGAGTTTAAAGCCATAACCCTATCTATTTTTTGGTGGACTTCGATACTTACATTTTTTATCAGACAAGGGTGTGACCGAAATGAGCCATTTAAACGCTTGAGAAGTGTGGCCACATGGTTAGGGTAGTTGCAGGAGAAGGCTCTAGGGACAATATCTCTATGCATCATCACGGAATGGATTTGATTCTCATCCATGCCCAATTGGTCAAGTATTTTCTCGCCTCCGCAGAACACAAATGGTGAGCCAAATGTGACAACTGGCCGAAGAATGGAGGGTTTTACAAGCTTCCTACTCAGTAGCATCAAGTGGACTAAAAGAGAAAGGCTTCCTCCAAGAGAATGACCTGTAAATTGAAGTTTCGCTCGCTCACCATGTTTATTCAAGTGGTCGATTATTTCCGGCATAAATTGCTCGTACATTCCCTTTGCTGCTTCATAGATTCCTCTGTGAACAAGTACATCTGTCCCCTGTACAAGGACATTGGGCTGTCAGTGGTTTCTCATTTTCTTTCCTTCTGCAACATTAACAAGTGGGGAATCCGAATCTATGCGTACCTCAAATTTGGTGGGTTCGAAGAAGAGGTTTGCTTGCCAGGAAGAGAGGGAGTCGGAACCCTGCAAGCAAAAATAATTTGCATGTTAAGTATTTACCAATCTGCTGCACAGTCTCTTTGTTTCAGAAATCAGAAGATTGTGCCACTTGAACTCTGCTTTTTTAATTCTCACTAATTGGATATCAAAAGACCTTGTAGAGCTATTGCCAACTGAATGTAGAGTTAATGATTTATCAGACACAGATCAAGTGGGATCAAGGGCTAAGACATTACCTGAATCACAAAGCAACGAGTATATGTACTGGAGTCATCACAAACAAACCATTCACAAGGTGAGGAGTGGAGTGACTGAAGGTCCTTTGCTGTTTCTTGTTTCTCCCTTTCCCCTGCTGCAACCATTACTGTCATTGTCGATGCTGCCATGGAAACAGCCACCTCTGGTTTATAGCTTCGAGTTGAGCTCCCTCCTTCCTCCCACGAATTCTCACAATTTCTGCCTGAATTCTCGCCATCACCCTCATGCTGTGATTTAGACCCAAGGGGAAGGCTATCCTTATCCCTTGAGCGCACATAAGACGCAGCTGAGGCAGCAATATTGTAAGCAACAGATGGACGGATTGAACACTTCTGCTCGGATTCTGCCGCTTTCTCTGAATTGGATTCACAAGCTACTTCGGCAGCTACAGGTGCACGAGTAGAGTCCTCATCAAGTTTTGCTTTGATTTCATCTGCCTCGGCTTTCTTTTCTAATGAAGATGTTACAAACTGTAGCGCATAATACCTCTTCAAATCATTGGCCTGCACATGCATTAGTAGTGTGAATTTATTTCCTCATGCTTGAAATATCCAACCTCTGTTTCACTATAAATTTTTTATGTAAATGTTATGACTTCTGAACCATGCTGAACAAAAACGTACCTTGATCTGTGGGATCACATAAGCCAGGTTGCACAAGAAGGCTAGCTGAGAAAAAAGCTTGGTATCAGACCATGGTACTCTAACCAAAAATTTTGAGAAAAAATCAGGACTAATTTCTCCATCATCTTCTTCTGTAGTATAATCCACTGCACAACCACCTTCCTCTCCACCACATTCACAATCACCATTTTCACCGTTGACACAAAAGTTGTCGTTTGTGTCTTCATCCGCAACGTCTTTTTTCTGCCTATTCCTCCATTTACTTCTTATTTCCACAAGCCTCTCCACCCAATTGGCTCTTTTTCTCTCCTCTTCACCAGCACTCTCCTCAGAGTTCTCCACCATATTCATGTCCTTCTCCTCCACTACGCTCATATGCTTACTCGTGTCTGGATCAAACAAGAATGACCGAACAGAGTTTGGGAGAATGGAAGTCGAAAATTGAAATGGGAAAATCCCCATCGAACGGCTGTTTTTTAGTTTTGGTTGTGTTGAAGCAGCATGGATACGATTAATGCAGTGACAAAGATGGTTATCCGAATAAGACCTCCGGATAGTAGCACGGCTGTAAAGGTCTTGGCTAGAGTGTGACCGACGGAGACCACTGTGCTCTTTGAAGATTTCTGTTCTCCTGGAGGAAGCCGGAGAGGTAGGAATAACCACTGAACTGCATGCCATGGTTGCACCAAACTACAAGCAATGAAGGTTCACTTCCACTGTAGGGATGACTTGCCTGGAAAATATTTAAACTCTTTTAGCCAACAATTTGTAACCCATAAGAGGATGAGATGTTCCAGAACTCCTAATCCTTTTTCAGCCGAGTTCCTGAAAGCAAATCAACATACGGCAATGGAGTTTTATAGAGCTCCCCCTCTAATCAGCCATCTTCTCCTTGTTAACAACGGAAACATTATGAAACTACCATTTTGTGCACAGGGCAAACTACCAATCTTCATATAATGCAACTTTGTGGTAAGCCAAGGTTGAGGGGTTTAAAGTCATTTGGCATGCGAATTAGACAAAGCATGGCTAAGATCTTGACAAAGTAAGACATAGTAATATTCGAGAACATAATAAATCCAATACGTGTATAGTCTAGCCTTTTACTATGATCTTATCGTAAATCCAATGTAGCATACGTATTTGAAGTTCCCTCATAAGCATATAGCTGAGGAATAAACCCCCATGCCCGAGGACAATACTGTCGTGAAAAACCATGTAATTTTTTATGCCTAAAATGAGATTGCATTTGAGCAAATAGTATTCTCTACAATGTATTTTCTTCAATCTTGTACTTGTATGTATACCGTGTTCAAATTTAATCGTATTTCAAATTCATAATATTAGATTGTATCTACTCGTTTCAAATGCATTACATGTAATATTTCTATACTTATTGCAACCAATGTGATCTTCTTGTTAAAACTCAAGTCCTCCATTCAAATGGGCTATCAAAAATAAATAAAGAAATGACGGTTTCCTTGATTTGTTGGCTTTGTGATACAACTAAAAGTAAGCACGTCTTAAGTTCGAGGATTGACACCAATTGAATCGAATCTACGTATTTCCATAAAATAAATAAAGAAATAAAAAATTTATAATATAAAAAATTCCACATCCAATCCAAATGAACCCTCATTGAACATAAAGCAAGAAGTGTGGATTTTCACATAAGTGTCACATATGGAGGTGATACCGAATTAAAACCAACCACAATTTCTGTCTCTGTCACTTGGAATTCAAAAGGGTTTGGTTATTTGTTGTCAATTTCAATGGCTTACCTTGGCTCACCCGATTGACAATAATCTCTCACCAACCTTTTAATTGTCCGCCTTGCAATCTGTTTGGGGATTTTAATTAAATTGTTTTTTTATAATCACTTATTCCTCTAACCTACAAACCCATAATTTTTGTTTGTGTTTGAGATTCTAGGACATATCTTCTAACCACTCCCCTCTCTCGAAAGCATCGTAATTAAGTTAATTAACAGAACTTAGAGCCGACAGTCTTGTTAAAACAAGCTCACAAGACTCAAAACTCTGAGTAGCTCCAAAACCAGAAAATACTAGAACTAGAGAAGCATCATAAGTTTGATCAAATTAAGGATGTGACAGATGATATGACACTCTACCATACCCTCCCCAACCAAACTTTCATATCATTCATGAAAAATTAAATGACTCAAAGATCCAAAAAAATATAACGATTTTTTCAAAGATTTCTGTCTCTGATTTGAAAGGAAATAACCCAAAAGAGACAAATCAACAAGAAATTTCAAAAGGGTTTCCAAAACTTTTTCTAAGTAGCCCAAAAAAGAACCCAAAAATGAAAATTTAGAAACAAAAAAGTAACCCAAAAAGGAAATATATGAGTCAAGTGGAGATATATACCTCAAAGAATTAACCCTACCCTTCACATGTCTTCCATGGCATCACATTGTGAAGGAGATAGAGGACACAAGCTGCTGGATACAGAGTGAGAATGCAGCTATAGCCAATTTGAAAATGCCTGAAATTTTGTGAGAAAATGCAGCATATGCGGAGTGAGATCTGTTTTGGACTTGGTGGTTCAGAGACTTCTTCTTCTTCTTCTTCTTCTTCTTCCTTGTGCTTTGTTTTTCTGAGAGTAAGATCTGGCTTTTACTATAATTAGAGGTTCCGGTTTTAATATGTTAAGGGGTTGTAGAAACAGCCATGAAGAATCTGTTCACGTGGACTCTACTTGAGGAGCTGCCACCTTCGAACCAATTTATTCAGGTCGAAAATACCCCTGTGATCTTTTATTTTAATTTTTATAAATGGGGTTGGTGGCTATTATATCATATAATTCACAAACCTTACATATCGGTGATTGAAATTTTGATTTCATAAAATTGATTGAGAATTACATGTTGATACAAAGATATATCAACTCTTAATATGAGAAGAAGTATGACTAATGCTACTTCCATAACTATTACCGAGAATCTTATTTTGTATCATATATATCCATTATATTATACATCATAGAATTCGTCTAAACAAACAAATTTTTGCGAAGAATAAATCGATAAATATGATACAAATCTCTTTATTAAGATTATGCTTATATTATTGATAATCTAATCGCGTTTGAGTTGTGAATTGATCATTATGAATCTCCGTTGTACATCTTATGCTATTTTATCAATAGTCTTTAATGATAAAAAATATATATATATATATATATATATATTAGAACAATAACGCTACGGGCACCAACTTGTTTACCAACTTTTGGATACCAACACATGTGGCACATGACATGGCAACTCATGTCATTTGTCATCTCATCTATTTTAATTACATAATTTATTATATAAATAAAAGAATTTCTCACCGAAAACAAAAATAGTTAAATATAAAAAATAATTAAATTCTTTTATTTATATAATCAATTATGTAATTAAAATAAATGAGGTGGCAGATGACATGGGTTGCCATGTCATGTGCCACATGTGTTGGTATCCAAAATTTGGTAAACAAGTTGGTGCCCGTAACGTTATTGATATTAGAACATCACATTCACATATCATATTTCTTCTTATTTCGGTATATTTCTAAAACAAAATAAAATGTGTCAAACCAAAAAAGAAAAGGAAACACATTTATATGTGTAAATATGTATGGTAATCAGGGTTGTTTTTGTCAATTAATGCTATACATTCTTTTGCACCAGGAGGGATGGTGGTGTCATAATAAGATTGTAACTCCTCCCCCTCCTCATAAACACCTTTTGTCCCAACTCAAGACGGTTGAAGCAGTGTGTCTTATGGGGACAGATGTGCGGTTGCATGAACCACCCAACCCCAGTAGCTTACACATTTCGTTCACCCGCTCAAGCGCTGTGCGGCCACGTCTCGCTTAACTTAAGCCTAGAAAGTACCCAAGGGAACTCGTTTATATATTCTTTATCTCTCCTCTATGTTGTATTAATTTGTGCCAATAGACAAAAAAAAATTCCTACAAACAATATTCTCTTATAAATTGTCATATAATAATTCCACCACATCATATGTGGTCGAGATGCAGTAAAATGTCAGCTCCAAATTTATTTATTTATTTTAAATTGGAACAACAAATTTCATAAGGATGCAAAATGACGTTCATAGATTTCGATTATAAGTTGCGGATGACTTCTCTTTAGCTCCGCGTACTCCCTGCTTGAAGCAAGCTTTTCGATGTTGTTTGTGATCACCATCAAGGCTGCGTCGATGATCTGCTTGTCGTTATGATCGTGGCCGAAGGTGTAGGTCGCAAGTGAATTGTCCCAGTTGAGGTTGGACACCAAGAACTTCTGGCACAAGTCTTGGAGATGATGCACCTGGTACTTTTCAGCCACTACAAGAAGTTTACGGGCCAATTCCTGGTCAAGGCATATCTCGCCCGTGTAGAGGTAATTGATAAAGGCACCAAATTCTTGGGGCCACAATTCGAAGAACTCGATTTTTGTTGTCCCATTCTCAAGAATGGCTCTGAACACCGGAGATCGGCTTGCCTAATCGAGTGCAGCGAAAATAGATATGGTTCAAAAGGAATTCAAAAGTGTAGATTGGACAAAAACCAGGTAGAATAATAATATTTTCCCAGGAACATGTGAAAAGCTGTCTGCATATGATCAACAATAACTAGGACCAAAAATTAAAGCAATTACGATGCTCATCACAACAAAAGTTCGCCTAATGTGTTGAAGATTTCAATAATATATATAATATAATATAATAAATATAAACACAAAAGGTGAAGTTTGGATATGTCAACCTATTTTCCAGGAATAGTAAAATAAAGTAAAGCCACCAAAATGTTTGAACAAAAATCACTGCTCAAGTAAAGTAGCAAGTTGGCGAAATGGGCACTGACCAAAACGACCGTATGGGCCATATCTTTTACAGGGCCGTCGGGATGGCCGTCGTCCAAGGCACACAGAACGACGTCGGGGAAGGAGGTTAAGGGATACTCATTGGACATCGTGAGAAAAGCGACCTTAGCCTTGAGGTCTTCGTAGCACTGCTTGCAGGCGCCGGCATCTCCGTCGTATTTGCTCTCGCAAGATATGCACTTCATGTTGCGGTGTTCGAAGACAAACAAAAACTGAGAAGAAATTTCAACAACATGTAATTTCACTTTAATCCATTCTTCATCATTTATGCTGGCTTATTAGCTTCATCTCCATGCTTTACTTTTCCTTTCAATTACGAGATGCCACTGAATTATTGGACTCCTTTATTTAGAAGGGGCCCGCCACTTTGCTTTCCATGTACTATAAAGGGCCATGTCTCGCTTAAGCCTAGAGAGTATCCGAGGAAACTCGTTTATATATTGGGATTTTATTTTCCAATGTCTTTTTTCTATACCTACACTCTTTTTTATTTTTTAAAATATTTTTTAATCAATTTTGTTCTTTCTCAGTCCTTTTTTATCCTTACTCTACATTAATTTCTTTTTTACTTCACTTTATATAATTTATTTTTCTTTACACTTAATTTTTCAACTTACACTCCATTTTCAATATTTAAGAAGAAGAAAATATTTAATTTCTTACGCGATTAAAAGAAAAAAAAATTGAAAATGAAGTACAAGTTGGGAAATTAAGTGTAAAGAAAAAGAACTAACATAAAAGTGAATTAAAAAGAAATTAATGTACGGTAAGAGTGGGATAGGAAAAAGAAAGAACAAAATTCATTAAAAGATATTAAAAAGCAAAATGGAGTATAAGTGGAGAAAAAAAGGAGTAGGGAAATCACATCCCTATATATTCTATTTTTGGTGAAGAAAAGATTTTGTAGGATTGGGCCTTTCATATATTTGGGCTTGGTATCTCATACAAAAAGATTGGGTGTGTAAGTGGCAGAGCGGAAATGCTACAATGAGGGTTTAAAATGAGGAGGTTATTTGAGGAGGTCAAATCTCACCATCAACAAATGTAAAGAAATCATGGGACTTAAATATTTTAAATGTTTTGACGGTCGGATCTGTCTCCTCACTTTAACTCCTCATTGTAGAAGCTCCCGTGACAGAGTGCTGCTTTACCTTATGACCATATATTTTTACTTTTCTTGGGTCATATTTGGGCTTTGATTACTAGACACAAAAGATCTGTAGAGTAGGGCTAGATTTGGGAAAGTTCATTATCTAATTTTGTTGGGTCCCTTTGGTCTAGGGCCCTAAACTGTCGCCCTCGGGGTCCATGCCCGGACCCGGCAAAGAATTAGTCTATTATGAAAGGAAAATGCTAGAGGCACTAACTTTGGGCACCAACTCTCTAATAGAGCGCGGGCTCCGATGTATTGGCGGGCCCCACCTCTATTAGAGAGTTGGTGTCCAAGTTGGTGCCCAAAATTTGTGCCTCTAGCACCATCCATTATGAAAACCGTAGCCTAAAACATAATATCCGAAGCTTAAATCTCTCAAAAGAGGTCAAAGAAAGAAAAAGAAAAAGAAAAAGATGAAGCGGATGGAAACGTCGATAAAAACAAAGAGCAGATTGCCAGATGCTTTTGGTTTGATGTAGGTTGTAGATGCATATTCTTTTACTTTTGATGGCATGCATTGAAGCACAGAACCTTATCCACACCCCCCGGCAGCAACCAGCCAACAACAGCCGAAAGTAACAAGAACCTACCCTCTCCGAAATATCCAATCAAAGTAACTCCTCTAAAAGCAAAGCTTGTACCTGAAAGTGAAAACCAGTTTTTTATAGGGGAAAAAAAAAGCAATCCAGAAATTAGGGTTTTTCAATCTTATCTAATCTCATTGTAATCGTCTCATGTTTGCGACAAACATTAGATTGGGATTGTCAATAACATGTATATAAGATGTACCGTGTGACCGTACTACAATGCCGACCCTGATTTTTGAGTGGCCGATGACCAAAATTAAAATAAGGCCCTTAATTTGACTTTGTATGTAATCATAGTTTAACCAAAACCAAAAACAAAAAAAAAAAAAAAAAAAAAAAAAAAAAAACACATTTAACATTTTCTTAGTTGTTGAATTGAAATGAGGGAAGAGAACTTCTCGCCGAAGGAGTAGTAGAGGATGCAACAATATGTTCATAGATTTTGATTACAAGTTGCGGATGACTTCTCTTTAGGTCTGCGTACTCATCGCTTGAAGCAAGCTTTTCGATGTTGTTTGTGATCAACATCAAGGCTGCGTCGATGATCTGCTTGTCGTTATGATCATGGCCGAAGGTGTAGGTCGCAAGTGAATTGTCCCAGTTGAGGTTGGACACCAAGAACTTCTGGCACAAGTCTTTGAGATGATGCAGCTGGTACTTTTCAGCCACTACAAGGAGTTTACGGGCCAATTGTTGATCAAGGCATATCTCGGCCGTGTAGAGGTAGTTGATCAAGGCACCAAGTTCTTGGAGCGACAATTCGTAGATATGGATTTCTTTTGTCTCGTTATGAAGGAGGGCTTTGAACACCGGAGAACGGCTTGCCTAATCGAGTGCAGCGAAAATAGATATGGTTCAAAAGGAATTCAAAAGTGTACATTGGACAAAAACCAGATAGAAATAGAATAATAATATTTTCCCAGGAACATGTGAAAAGCTGTCTGCATATGATCAACAATAATTAGGAGCAAACATTAAAGCAATTATGATGCTCATAGGCCATATAGCATCACAACACCGTCCATATAATCAAACAAAAGTTTGCCTAATGTGTTGAAGATTCAATTTCCACGGCAAAGAGTTTTGGTTAATCAATATGTCTTTTGGGTTAATCAATATATCATTTGGCTAAATGGTACTATATATACACATAATTCATTAACCGTTTATTACAAATCACAATTTGACACATATCACTTTAATGTATATCTATAAATAACTTGTCCAAAGCACAAAATATTTTTATAACCATTAATTGGGTGGTTAAATGGTTTCAAATTCAAATGAATTTTATATCGATGATACTTCAAGAAATGCCTAAACGATAGATACTTTGGACCATTGAAATACAATGCAAAATGAGCATGTGCGTCAAATAAACTTATTTGAACAATCTCTCTATTCAATTTTAATTATAATATATTTAAATAAAGAATATTTAATTTTAGAAATCAAAGTACATCTTCATCCTTAGAAGTTTATAAATCTAATGGTTTAAAAATTGTATAATAATTTTGTAAAAACTATCACGTGCAGATCATCCATGCAAATTGATTATCTTTGCAAAAAATCATGCAAATTGAAAATTATTAAAGAATCTAATTAAGACCAAGAAAATCAATGAACACATAAAGAAAGTACATAAATTTTAATAATTTAATTGGGTGGTCAAATGATATTAGATTTAAGTGATTTTTTGTAGAAATAATATTTGAATGAGTATCTACAAAATAGACAGTTTGGATTAGTAAAATACAATATGAAACGGACCCTATAAAAATGTCTTATTTGAAAGATCCTTAAATATAAAATAATATAATATAAACACAAAAGGTAAAGTTTGGACATGTTTGAACAAAAATCACTGCTGAAGTAGCAAGTTGGCGAAATGGGCACTGACCAAAACGGCCTCATGGGCCATAGCTCGTGCAGGGCCCCCAGAATGGCCGTCGTCCGAGGCATGCAGAACGACGTCGGTGCAGAAGGTTAAGGGATACCGATTGGACATTGCGAGAAAAGCGACCTTAGCCTTGAGGTCCTCGTAGCACTGCTTGCAGGCGCCGGCATCTCCGTCGTATTTGCCCTCGCAAGATATGCACTTCATGTTGCGGTGTTCGATGACAAACAAAAACAGAGAAGAAATTTCAACAACTCATCCTTTCATCATTTATGTTGGCTTATTGGCTTCATCTCCACGCTTTACTTTTCCTTTCAATTATGAGATGCACTGAATTATTCAACTCCTTTATCTGGGAGGGGCCCGCCACTTTGCTTTCCATGTCTCGCTTAAGCCTAGAAAGTACCCAAGGAAACTATCTCTCCTTTATATATTCTATTCTTGGTGAAGAATAGATTTTGTAGGATTGGGCCTTTCATATAATTGGGCTTGGTATCTCATACAAAAATATTGGGTGTGTAAGTGGCACAGTCCCGCGCTGCTTTACCTTATGACCATATATTTTTACTTTTCTTGGGTCATATTTGGGCTTTGATTACCAGACACAAAAGATCTGTAGAGTTGGGCTAGATTTGAGAAAGTTCATTATCTACTTTCGGGTAATGAGAAAACTTTCTCACCTCTTGCTCCCTCATCACGTCACTCGATCACTTTATCAATGTTTAAATTTTAATTTAAATTGGAGTGATGTGATTCAAACTCGATATCTCTTTCAATCTTATCTAATTTTGTTGTAATCGTCTCATGTTTGTGACAAAAATTAGATTGGGAATGTCAAGAACAGGTATATAAGATGTGCCATGCTGACCCAGACTTTTGAGTGGCCCATGACCAAAAATTAAAATGAGGCCCTTAATTTGCCCTTGTATGTAATCATAGTTTAACAAGCAAAGAAAAAAAGATTCTACACATGTATTTTACTTTGAGGATAAATATAGTTGTTGAATTGAAATAAAATAACAAATGCAAACTATCATATGGTTCAACCAAAAAAAAACACAAACCATCAAACTGATTACTTGCATATTTGTTCAAGATTTGAAGTCATTTTGATTTGGGATTTTGAACTCTCCCAGAATCACTTTCAACATGAACTTCAATAATTTACATAACGTATGCGAATATAAATTGTGTTGGGCTCCTTTGGTCTAGGGCCCTAAGCCGTCGCCATCGGGGTCCGTGCCCAGACCCGGCCAAGGATCAGTCTATTATGCAAACCGTGGCCTAAAACCTAATATCCGAAGCTTAAATCTCTGAAAAGAGGTCAAAGAAAGAAAAAGAAAAAGATGAAGTGGATGGAAACGTCGATAAAAACAAAGAGTAGATTACCAGATGCTTTTGGTTTGATGTGGATTCTAGATGCATATTCTTTTACTTTTGATGGCATGCATTGAAGCTCAGAACCTTATCCACAACCCCCAGCAGCAACTAGCCAACAACATTCAAAAGTAACAAGAACCTACCCTCTCCGAAATATCCAATCAAAGTAACTCCTCTGAAAGCAAAGCTTGTACCTGAAAGTGAAAACCAGTTTTTTTAAGGCAAAAAAATAAAGCAATCCAGAAATTAGGGTTTTTCTACTTGTGGTGTGTGCGGTAGGGTTTGCATATAATAATTGACTGAAACTTTGCATGAGACCCAACCCTAAGATGACACGTTAGGCCTCACATGCATGCCCCCTTGATGTATACTGCTTTGGAGTTTTGCATTCATAATGAAAACTCTACTGGAGTTAGGTTTACTTGAAGTAGTGGTCCTGACTCGAGAAATTTTGCTGTATTTATTTATTAATTAATTAGGATTAGCTTCATCAATTTCCTAACACGCACAAAAGAAGAAGAAGATTAGCTTCATGAATCTTATCTTTTGCTTTCCTTTTTCTACAATATTACGTCCTTGTTCATTTTTCTTCGTACCCCTATTGGCTCTCTACCTCTTTTGTCTAGTAACCACCCAAAAGTAAGTTCGATATTATCAATAGGTTTATCCAAACGCAACTTGAATATAACGAACTAAACAAAATGTAATTGTCTTTCGGCTCTAAAGATAATTTCATAACTTGTACACTTCAAATTATTGAAATACAATACACAGTGAGCCGACAATGAGCTCTTCAAATGAAACTTTCTCTCTCTCTCTCTCTATATATATATATACCCATAAGAGTGATGTCACCTGATTTATGCATGCAATGCAAGGGTTTAGCCACTTTACGAATGATCCAATGAATTTACTACAGATCGATTGTTTAGACAATGGCAAGAAGAAAACTCAAAGCAAAATAATTTGTTCCTTGAAATTTTTTGATTGCCCCAATCGTGTTGCGCCATATGTATTGCCCCATACAACCTATATTTGTTTTTTTCCATGTCCTGGTTGCATTGCATGCCCATTATTGGAGGAAATTTATATGCATGAGTTGAAATATACGATTGGACAAGTCTTACAAGTTACAACAGAATCTCCTTCACCAGCTGCCTTCAATTTCTTATCTTGAGACTAAAGAAAGCCTCTCTCTTTTTTGGGGGGCAATGATGAGAGCTTTGCAATTGACACTGAAAAAGGAGAAAAAGTTTTATATTATTAAAAAGAAAGAGAGTCGTAATAATTTATGAATTAAAAAATAACAATTCCGCTCACTTACGGATCTAAAAATAAAGTCCTATGAATCTCATCATCTATTTAATTGCTTCCATTTTATTGAATGGAAGAAAACGTTCAGCTGATTGTTGAGGATGAATTGATAACACGAAGTACAGAATTGGAGACTTGGAAGTTGATGGGTAGGTAACTATCTTGTTAATCATGACTTTAACGTCTTCTTTTTTTTTTCAAAGACTTAAAAAATGGACTTTTCTTTCTATTCTACAGTCTACTGATCATGAAATTTCGAAAGAGCAATTACATAAATATGCTAGAACTATGTGTGTATGCAAACATTGCTGCTAGACTTAAAATGTGAATATATATAAATAGGTTACATGTCTATTGAAATTGAATTTTTTTTTAATTAATATCAACAATAGTCTAAACTACAAAAGGAGGAATATTTCTCACACGCACTACGCTATATGGGGATTCGAACTTGAGAACTCTAGTCTGCACACCTTCCTTAAATATATATAGCTAAAATCGCCATTATATTCTTGATCGCTTTTTATTTTCATTTGTATAATCACTTTTTAATATTTGAGTGATCGAGTCCACGTGCTGTAACAAAGACCTCAGAAAGAATGCAGTATTTTTAGCACCCCCCATATTATTAGAGCCAAATTATTATAAAGTCAAACGCTTCCAAGAGAGATGCGCCATTGCCTTTGTGTTCAAGAAATTGGAGAAACTCATAATTGATTCATTGTATTATGTGCAACTGTTGAGACTCACGTGTTCTTCTAGAGATATAAGCACACAACACGTGATGGCTTACCCAACCTGTTTCCTTTTCTTGTATATCAATCAAACCCAACCCATAAACATGCAGGTTCAACACCCCAAAACATTTGGAAATGTAAAAGAGTTCAATTTTATTACAATGTTATAAATAGATATAAACTATGTAATATATCTAAAGTAATTTCCCTTGTTAAACTACAAGGTGGGGAATTCGAACCCGAATGTCGAGTGAGAAGCACATCTATTATAGACAAATAGACTAAGTCACATCTGCCAACAAACATGTTTTTTATACACGAGTAATGCTTCATGTATTACCACACAACAAAAAAAAAAAAAAAAAAAAAAAAAAACAAAAAGCGAAAAAGAAAAACACCTACAGAACTATATTGATGGGAAAATAATATTACCAAAGAATAAGACACACTGGCGGAAAGTTGCAAGTGGAGGTGGGGTCCCAAAAGATGTGGCTTGCAAAAATGACAGAATACGTTAGAAGTGAGCAAGAAAAGCCATATGTTTATAAATGTAGAAAATGACAAAAACATGGACCAGAAAAAAACTATTTAAGAAATGAAAAATAGTGGGCGGAATTGGGGTTTGCTTCTTGAAATACCAAACTGTGTCAGCTCTCTTGTCTCCTTTTGATTTCACATGGCAAGTGTGAGGAATTTAAAAGCAAGTGGCAAAGACAGAAAGCTTAAAGGGAAGCGACACTTGCACTAGTGGCTGGGAAAAAAGAGACGAAACCCAAGTGGGCATAAGATCCATGTTTAGGGTTTACAAAACGTTCTACTTGTATTCGTTGCCCCTTCCTATTTATAGGTGAACTCAGAGGATAAAAACCCAAGATGACTTGAGGAATTGGAAACCCTAAGTGCAATTATGATCTTATCCGAACTAATTGATCTTATCTCTTTGATGATTTGATTCCTAGGAGATTACATGTTTTAATGTCTTGCAATGTGTTGTGCTACAAAAGATAAAACAAACTTAAAAAGGCAGTGTTTTCCAAATTGAGTCAATGAGTTTTAGAAAATAAGAAAGTGGATACAAGAGGTAAGGTTTTATGGGCAAAATGAGATACCTACCTTTGACTTGTGTGGATATAATTTTTAAGAGAGAAAGATCTATGCAATTTATTCTAAGTAGTCTTTAATTGTCAAGTTAGTAGGAGCTAATCTTAGATATAACAATTTGGATCTTTAACCATCCAATAGGTAACTCCACAAATAAGGATTTTAAAACTTATGATCTAGTTGAATTGGTTATCATTATTATAATATTAATAATATAGATTAAACTCATGCATCATAAACTTGGAAAATAGATAATATGTTGACTTTTTGGGAGTCGAACTACTTACAACTAAAATGTTGTTGTTTGAGGTTTTTTAAAAAGGCAAAAAATAATTTTTGTCCTTGTAGATTATCACTTTTATTGTTAAGATCCATGTACTTTTAATTTGATCAATTTTGTTCTTATAGTTTCAATTCTAAGCAATTTACACTCAACCCCCAATTTTTATCAAATTAAGAGGGACATTTTGGTCCAATCTTGTAGCCCCTTCCCAACCACATGATCCCATCGCATCCCTCCTCCCCCTACCGACCCAACCTCATCCTCTTAACACAACATGTTCCCCACCCTGTAGCTAGCCACAACCCAACCACCCACACTACCACCTCCTCCCCCTCCCGACCCAACATTATGCTCCCCTCCCTCCACCACATCCACCTCACTCTTATCAAACTATAAACCTAATTCCATGCATTGCCCAAAATTTCTCCTCATGAACCGAATTTTTTTATTATAAAAAAAGCGAGAGTTTAAGACTAAAAAGTCACACAATTGTTTATTCAAGATTGAAGGTAATGGACGTTGAGACTTGAAAACATAAGAAAAGCTACATAGAGGCTGCTATGGTGATTGTGGGAGTGGTTGGGAAGGGGTTGCAAGATTGGACCTATATGCCCTTATTTATTTGTCAGAAATTAAGGATTGTCTTGAATTGGTTGAAATTGAAAAACTAGAGGGACAAAATTTATCAAATGAAAATGACAGAAACCTTAATAGTAAAAGTGATAAACTATAGCAACCAAAAATGACTTATATTCTTGAAAATTTTGGCGTTACGGATTTAGAATTTGTACTTAAAAGTAACTACATAAAATAATTCGATTTCAGGTACAAGTACAAAATTCAGATAAGAAACCTGAGATCTATAGCCACAGGATGAACCCTGATATCTTAGCAACTAATGCCATCAGAAGATCCAATAATTCTCTTCCAAATTTGCCATTGAGCTGAGGCAATCCACCAAAAGGAGGTGATGGGTTTATAGGAAATTTTATTGTCATGATATCAAGCTAATTAAATAATGTGAAAAAAATGAGAAATGATCTGTAAGAGTCATGTTAGCAACTAAGCAAAGCAGCAGCAAGTGGGCATCATCCCCAACCCCACTTCTCAAATCTTGACTTTAAAAATCATCCACTTACTGAGTGGCTAATAAAACAAAAGCCAGCAGAACCCAAACCCACTAAAACCAAAAGCTACCCATAAAAGCACCCACTCGGCCAACCAACCCAATTCAAAGGCAGAGAGTGGACTGTGACCAACAAAACCATCACCACCGTGTAACCCTAGAGAAAATGTTCAATTTTTTTAACAATTTTAACTCATAAAAAAAGAAGAAGATAATCTGACAAAGGCATAAAGCACTTTTAAAATATAAACCAATAATGGGCCCGAAGGAAAAACGCAGGCTTTGGGCTTATTATATAGATTAAAAAATTGCATTGTCGGTGGAGAGAGTGGACTCTCTCATGGATTTTTGATAACCCGCCAAGCTAAGCTAAGGCTGTATTTTTTTTTGCCTCTCTCTTTCTCTCTTTCTCTCTTTCTCTCTCTACAAGAAATAAAGAGAGAGAAAAATAAATAAAGGAAAAAGCTTTTTACTCTTTCTCTCTGTCTTTCTCTGGAAGCGTCTGTCTTCTAGTATTGCCTCTCTGATATCCTCATTTGTGGAGAAAGAAATAGTTTGAGAGATTGGGATTGGAAGTAACCAAATTTATCAGAAATGAGCAGTGGTGATGATTCAATGGAGGCGCAGTACATACAAAGGCACCACAGGCATGAGCCCAGAGAGACCCAGTGCACTTCGGCTTTGGTTAGGCACATCAAGGCCCCTGCGCATCTCGTAAGTCTCTCTCTCTTTCTCTCTCTCTCTCTCTCTCTCTGTCTCTCTCTGTGGACCGTCTGGTCGAGCTCTGAATTCTGTTTCTTTTGATTTGATTGGTGTTGGTTTGTTTGACTTTTGTTAAAGAAATGATTTTTGCTATGTTTGACTTTCTTGGTTTATGGAGATCTGGGAAATTGGGGACGATTTGAAGATGTTTTTGGTTTCTTTTTTATGTTTTTTCTTCTGGGTTTTCGTTGTTTTGGTTCAATTGGGTCGGGTATGTGTTAAGAATTAGGTGATTAGCTTTTGGGTCTTTTTAAGATTCGAGTTTGATTGTTATTTTCAATGAATTTGTGGTTACTGAAAGTATTTTTGGTAACAGAGGATGATAATTTGTACTATAATTGACATGCAGCTTCAGCTGGGTTTGGTTTGCATGCCATTTTGGAGGCTGCAATCTGATTAGGGGAATTGAATTTTAAATAGCTGGGCTTAATATGTCTTGAAGTTTTCCCTTACAAAGTTTCTTGTATTGTTTTGTAAGTTTATAATCCATATGGTTGCTGAAAAGTCGTAAGAAAGTCTAAAAGAAAACTAAGAATTGAATGGTTTTTTCTTTCTCCATTTATTTCTTCAAACTTTAGCTTCTACGGAGAGAAAAGCAAGTTGGTACAATTTCCTTTCTTACACTTTCTCAGTAACCAAACAAAATGCTAATATTTTAATGGCAGAGATCTAGTAGAAGTTTCGCAGCTCTTGCTTTGACGCCTAACTCATGTTTGATGGTGTCTTTTATCAGGTATGGTCATTGGTGAGAAGATTTGATCAACCGCAGAAGTACAAGCCCTTTGTTAGCCGATGCACCATGAAGGGGGACCTTGGCATTGGGAGCGTTAGAGAAGTGAATGTTAAATCTGGGCTTCCTGCAACGACAAGCACTGAGAGGCTGGAGCTTCTTGATGATGATGAGCACATTCTTGGCATCAAGATTGTTGGTGGTGATCATAGGCTAAGGGTAAGAAGTCTTCTTCTCTCTTTTACCTACTTCTGTGGACTTCCTTTATCCATTTTATTGTATAATAGGAAGTGAACTTTTCTGGTGGTGATGTGAAAGGAATTGTAAGAAATACCACTAAGATAGCTGCACTCTGCTTGCAATCTAATCTGGCCGTCTACTTAGCCCTTTTGTTATCATGCCGTGCAAATGTGGTGTATTCCACAACTCCAGCGGTATACTTATGGTGCACAGTCTGCGTAACTGGTTGGAGATCACCATACTGATAACTGCTGACATCACCATGGATGGCTATGTTAGTTTTTAGATAGATTAAAGTAAAACTTGTGGTACACATGGCAGAACTAAAAACAAGATATTTTGGCACAGAACTGTTTCTTTCTGCATGTTTAAGGTTTTCATCTATGTTAATTTGTGACTGTGTTCTTTAGTAAGCAGAATATGTCATGAATGACCCCATTTAGCTTGGAGTTCATTGCTTTCAAATTTTATTTTGAATATATCCATTTGCCAAAATTCAAGTAATAGCTCTGGTCCTGATGACTTGGACCATCTGAGTATTAGAGTATGCACTAGAAACCTTAACATTTATCTTTCCATTCATAAATGTAGAAGCAAGATGGCTAGTTACTGGTTAATGACATCACTGCTTATTTGTCTCTGGCTGTTCTTAAGCACATGGAAAATGAGTTGCCACCCTTTCGATGCTTAAGTCACAGTTCCAAAGTCAGTAATTGATTTGTTCCACTTTCTCTTTATAAAAAGAGTAAAGAGAATTTGTACAGGACTGCTGGCAACAGCTGCTTGTTGGTGACATCCACCGGCACTTAGACGTCGTTGGGGCCATGTCTTGGTCCCAACCAATTACCTCACACGCTACATTGTGGTGGGCCATGCATGTAACATGTGGCCCTTGAAATGGCAGGTGCCTGCAAATGTTGTTCCTTGGTGATTGCCCTTGGCAATAGTCAGAATGTGTCTGAAGATGTAATCTTAAAACGTGTAATATTGCCCTTAGCAATATTTGTGTGGTTCAGTCTGTTTGTTTTAGGCAGACAAGGCTGCCAGCATCTCTGCCTTCAACTGCAATATGCATTTGGTTAATTTATATAAATAGTGAATTAATTTTCTGTTTTTCCCTTAATATTTGAAAATTTCTCTATACTCCTGTATTATTATGTGGCAAGAGAACACCTTTCCAACCTCATTTCTATATGTCCTTTAAATTTGCAGAATTACTCGTCAATTATTACTGTCCACCCTGAGGTTATTGATGGGAGACTAGGGACACTTGTAATTGAATCCTTTGTAGTGGATGTGCCTGATGGGAATACCAAGGATGAGACATGCTACTTTGTTGAGGCCCTAATCAGGTGCAACCTGAAGTCTTTGGCTGATGTCTCAGAGAGGATGGCTGTCCAGGACCGAACTGAACCTATCAATCATTAGTGGATTTGGGGGATGGCGCAGGAGTACGATGACTATAGCTATACCATCCATGTTTTTTTTGTCTCAGATGCTGTGTAGAGATAGTACAAGCTTTCCTTCCATTCACAGAAGTTTTGGGAACATTGCTGGTTTTTGCATTTCTGACCAATGAAGCTCCTTCTGCTCTCTTTCCAATTGCTCTTGCATAGTCTTTCTTACTCTCAAAATGACGCTGGGGTTTCTCGTATTTGTATTTGAAGGATGAGCTTTCTAGGTTTTTATAAGCTCTCCATGAATGGAAAGGGAAAGCGACTGTGAGTTTTATTGTTCCTGGGTTTCGTGCATGGTGGTATTAATGTTAGTATGACTCTGATCTGTAAATATTTATCTTGGAAAGAGATGGTATCTATGGACTGGGGTTTTTCATCTTGTAGTGCAGGGAGGATTCAGGGGGAAAGAACCACTGCTGCAGTTGTTTGTTTTGTATATACCTATGTATTCGCATTCTTAATAAATTATTGTAATTGCTTGACTTCTGCTTTTTTACTACTTGGATTATATGTTGAAGTTTCAAATAAAAAATGACATATTCTTTGTTATATAAATTTTAATGTTGTAGAATTCGGTGAAATATGGAACCCTGAGGACTTTTATAAGTCAGGGACTTCCTGGTAACCTGAATTCCATTAACCTTGTATTAACATTTATAGGAAAAGATGCTACAGAAAGTTTCCATTATTTAATCTCAACCGTCCAGCACCCCTGCATCGCTGAGCCCTATACCTATTTAGGGACTCCATTACTAACAAACTGTCTTAAGCAGTCATCGCACAGCTGCAAGAATACTGTGTAAACTTCACAACAACCTGAACTCTTGCCGTAAAGGTTCGTGCATTATAATGACCATTCACTGGAGACAGGATAATTTTGTGGTCAAAATTCTCACCCCATCTCTTTGATCTTAGCTCTTTCAGAGCCGATTGAAGCATCCAGTATCCTCCCCTTCAGAATGGGTGATGGCAATGTAGGATTCAAGAGGGCATCTAACTCCCTTCTTACCAGCAGTCATTGCAGGTACACTCTCCTTCCCTGAAATGGTGAAACCGGATACCATCCTTCATGAAAATCTCACATTTACGTACTAATGACATGTATTTTGCTGCTGTATGACAATCAGAACAAACTCGCGTGTTCTTAATCACCCGGATAGGTTCTCCACTTTTCATATTCATCAATCCAAAGGTAATGGCCAGCTTCTCTGTGTGACTTAGCAGCAGCTTCTTCTTCTCCACCTCGTCAATGTTCTGATGTACACAGCTAATATCAGGCTCATAGCCTAATTTCTTCATTTTATGAACCAAATGATACAACTCAAAATATATTTTTCCTGCATCAGTGTGAGGCTTCCCTTCTGCAGAGAACATATGAATTGCCTGATCAATTTGTATCCAGCTCCACACAGGTCCATTTTTCACCCCTGCATTCTTCATCAAGTCTTTAAGACGCTCCACATCATCCCATCTATTTGACATAGAATATAAGTTCATCATCAAGACGTAATTGGCTGGGTTATGAGGTTCCAACTCAAAAAGATTCTTTGCTGCAATCTCTGCAAATGCCAAGTTTTTATGGATTCGACAGGATGCAAGAAAAGCACCCCATATAGTGGCATCCGGCTTTAATGGCATCGTTTGAATAAAATCCCAAGCTTCATCAAGATAACTAGCTCTTCCAAGAAGATCTACCATGCAAGAGAAGTGCTCAATTGTTGGAGCTATGTTATAGTCTGTGCTCATGCTATCAAACAATTTCCATCCTTCATCAACTAAACCTGAGTTCTTGCAGCCAGAGAGCAGAGCTGTGAAGGTTATAGCATCTGGCTGCACACCTGCTCCTCGCATTTCATCAAACAGAGAAATAGCCTCTTTCCCAAAGCCATAAATGGCAAATGCCATAATCATGCAATTCCAAGAAGCTAACGTCTTGTTCTTAATCTTCCTAAAAACCTCGTGGGCACTTTTGAACTTTCCTGACTTACTGTACATGTTGATAAGTCCTGTGGCTACAAATATATCCTCAACAAAACCTTTTCGGATACAGAGGCAGTGTATCTCTTCACCCTTGTGCAACAAAGATAGGCCTGCACAAGCTTTAAGTAGGATGGATACAGTGGCAGAGTTTGCCCTGATACCTTCTTCTTGCATTTGGATAAAAAATTTGAGGGAGTCCGCGTAATTCTCATTCTGTGAACAGCCTGATATAAGAGCAGTCCAAGAAACCACATTAGGGGTTAACCCTGAACTTTTAATCCGATGAATCGTCGATAAAGCTTCCTTATGGCGATCCCACATTGCATACCCTGAAACCAGACCATTCCATGTGACTAAGTTGGGTTTGATTCCTTCCTCACCAATGCTATCTAATAGCCGTTCAGCATCTTCAAAAAGACCCTTGAAGGAATACCCTGAAATCAATGAATTCCAAGCAAAAATATTCTTGTTCTTCATGTTAATGAAGACATTTTGAGCACTGGACAAACAATTGTTCTTCACATACATGTCCACTAACGAAGTTCCGACATAAACATCATAGTCATCAAGCCCATTTCTTAAAACAAAACTATGAATTTCCTTCCCGTGTTTCAGGAAACATAATTCAGTAACTGCTTGAAGAACACTTGTAATGGAGCTTGAATTTGGCTTGAAGCCTGCGTCTTGCATTTTCTGCAAGATGGCCTGGACTGCTTCATATGAGCCATGAAGAGAATGTCCTGACAAAAGACAATTCCAAGTCACAATGTCTGGCTTCACACCAGACAATTCCATTTTATCGAAAAGAATCCAAGCATCATTCAAACAACCAAGTGCAGCATAAGAAGAGATAATTGAATTCCATGATGACAAATTATGACCTGCCATTGAATTAAAAACTGTCCTAGCTAAATCTAGTCTGTCATTTCTGGAGTACATGCTAATAAGTGAATTGCATATTGACAAATTTGACTCCAATGCCCATCTTAAAACATACCCATGAATTTGCTTTCCTTCTTTGAGAGCTCCAAGTTTGCCACATGCTTGGAGTGCTTTGACAATTGTAGTACTGTTGGCTTTAGCAGATGAAAACTGCATACTTCTGAACAGTTCCAGAGCCTCCACACTTCTCCCATTCTTCAAGTTGAGCTTGATTATCTCATTCCACAAAATGTCTTCTTGATCAGACATTTCATGAAATAACTGATTGGAACTTTCTATTCCCCAACAAGTCCCATAAAAATTAATCAATGCACACTTCAAATATACATCCAAATCAAATCCACTTTTGATTAAACAAGCACGAATTTCCAACCCAAGCCACAAATGCTTCAAACTTGTGCAAAGTTTCAAAACTATGCAAAGAACTTTGCTATCAAGCATCAATGCCCCACTATGAAACTCACAAAAAAACTCAAGAATTGGTATGTCACCCCCAAATCTTCTAAGTTCCTCTAGTGAAGAACTCCATGAACGGTAATCTTGTGCAGAACTCACAAAGAAAGCCATTGCAGCCGATCTACAATCACCAAATTCCAAGTAATATGTGACCAAATTTTTTCCCTTGGTATCAATACAATTCTTGTTAGACATTTTTATCATTTGGGCATGCATTGCTTTCACTGAATTCAAAGTTTTGAGCTCACCTAAGTCATCCAAGAAGGTAAAGCTTGAAGAAAGTGTTGGCAAAGAAGATGGAAGAGAAGGAAAGAATTGGGAATCACAAGGAGCAAGAGAAGGGGGTGAGTGGCTTGTGGGAGGCTTGGAGCTTAGTGGGTTTTGAAGGAAAGGAGTGGTAAGGATGTGAAATGGAACTACTTTGTCCATGGAGGTTTGATAGTTAACCAAGAAGGCCAAGGTAGTTTGGCGGTGAAAAAATGGCAGTTGAGAGAATATTGTGGAACTTTCATTTGTGCTGCAATTGGAAACTGGAAAGTACATGGAAATTTGGATTCTTTTGGATAAGGTTTATCCTCCTACATAATTCTGTTGAACCGGCCGGTTCAGTCAGAGTAGTTGTTGCCCCGGCCCGACCGGAGTACTAAGCCTTTGTATATACCAAATTTGTCACTATGCCTCCGAGTATGTATAAGTGATCAATTGGTTGAGTTTGATACTTTATACTTGCTACCTGTTAGTCAGATTTTGGTGTTGTCTTTATATTTGTTGGTTACTTAAAGTTTTTTTTTCTCTCCTTTTTTCGGGGATGGGTTGTACTTTTGTACATCTATGTGTTAAAACTAAAAATAGAAATTTACATAAATACTTCAAGAGCCATAGCCCATATGTGCTAAAAAAATTATTATTATTATATAATCAATTTCTTGATTAACTTCGTCAGTTTGATATTCATTGTTAACTCATTTTTTGACAATTAGGTTTTTGACATTTGTGGGTTGTTTAACGAGGTATCAAAACTTTAGTTCTTAGAGATTTAAGTTTTGCACTTACGTTCTCAACATTTGTATGTCCCTCCATGTCTAGAATGAGAGAGGCTACATGTATGGTGATATCTCTAGTTAATAAATTCATGAATATACGCATACATACATTTTTGCAGAAAACACTTCCATTTTTCTTACACTTCTCGATTATTTGAGAAAAAAAAAAAGCATTTTTTTAGCAAACGTATTGTACGCATATTATATACTTGTGTAATTGTTTTTCACCAATAATACACATTTTTCGCACATTTTAGATTACGACACACATTATTCGCCTATTCAATCTATATATTTTTTACATTAAATTTTTTTATAAAATGGTTGAGATTTTCACCATATAATCTTTAAAATTTTGCCCAATAATACACATACATATTATACTCGTCACATATTTTACTAACTATAATGGTATATCTAACAAGCCCATCTATACATACGATTTGCACAAAGTCTCAATGTACTATTGGTAAGATATATTCGTATATATTAAACCTATTTCTTTAATTGTACATACAATACTATATCAAAAAGAAGTTTGGAATCTTCTTCAATACAAGTATTCCTTCATGATGAAGAAGAGCCACACTTTCTTTCACTTGTTTCATTCGCGTTTTTAAGATCGGAGATGCCAATCGCTTTGCCATTTCTCAGAAACATCAATCTTTTGAGTGCTCAGCCTTGAATTCAATCTTGTGACTGCCGGTGGCTTATATAGCGCACCAATTCATGGAGCTGGAGATTCTGATATATACAATTTTTTCTCTGCTTCTTGGGTTGAGAAATCATGTCGTCTAAGAGTAGTTGATCACTTGCCGAGATGTTTCAGTGAACAGCTGATGCAGCCAAGAACATCATGGGGTTATAACTTGTACGTTTTTCATCATTTTTTTCTTGCATATGATAACCACAAGGTCCTTTATATATCAAGTTCTCTATTATAGTTTTGTTGTTTCTCATAATAATTTTACTGCTTTTTTCTTCTTTTTTGGGTTCATTTATATATCTTAAAAGGAAACATGCTTACATGATAATTGTGGAAGCAAAATATCTCCTCCTAGGTCAAATAATTAAGCCAATCAATTTGGGAATTATTTGACCTAATTGGGAGTTACCTAATTTAATTGGGAGGTTATATGATTTAAATGGGATGTATTTGATTCCTGCCTTAATTAGGGATTTGATTAAATCAAATCCCTAATTACACTAACCTCGCCAAATCGGGAAGAATAATTCATTTCCATCTACGGAATTATTATTCTGAAACCCTAGCCTCCAAGGCCCTTTATAAATAGATGGCTACGCACAAGGGTTAAGGTACGTCTAAATTCCTACTGAAACTCTGCAGAAATTATACCTCACAAACCCTAGCCGCCATATTCTTTCTCTCTCTCTCTCTCTCTCTCTCACACAAGGCTCCGGCCACCACACACGGCTCCGGCCACCCGATTTTCCTACAAACACCCAACCTAACTTAGGCACTGGAGGGCCTTTGGCCAACACCCCTTGGGTGTGGTCTTTTTACTCCGATTTGTTTTGCAGGGAGAAAGAGAAGCAAAGAAGACGAAGGAATCTTAGGCGAATATTCTTGTGGGACGAAAATCGCTCTTACAATAATGTTTGATTATATTAAGATAAAAGACTTGAAAGACTGACTGGAAAAAAAATAGAACTTGAAGTGGGAGCTCTTACATGAAAGCGCACATCTGTTCACTCTCCCTGAAGACTTGGAGGCTTTGAGTAATTAGTTAAGTGCATGAGCAACAAGTCCTGAGCTTAGGATGATCACACAGGTATATATGGAAGCAAGGCAAGCCTTGTCCATACCCCGACAATGGCCTCCGGCTATGTCTCACTTGGTGATGGAGAGATGACAAAGCCGGAAGCCCTTGAGGGGGAGGGAACAACCAGTGCCTTGAAGAAGCCTTAGGCATAATGAGAGATATGCAAGCTCTTGTTATGTTTCTTAATTGTGAGTTGGGAATATGTACATATTTATAGCCGGTAAATGTGGGCTTATTGTATGCTTTGGTTGTATATAACTTTCCTTTTATAGCGTGCATATAGGACCTCTCATATAATACTAAGATTTGCATTCGCGTTTGCAAGAGAAGTGTTAGATATAATCGGCACATACAATAATTTTGGGGTGATAGAAAATAGGAAGAGCATTGGGTGATGGAAAATAGGAAGATACAACAATGGTGGTTGACATGAGTGGCATAATAAGATCCTCAGGGTCACTCAAAACCCAGATGGACAAAACCAAGTGGCCCTTGGAGCCCTATGCAAATCAACCAAAATCCACAACAGCTGGAGAATAAAGCAACATATGGTTCCTCCCCATGTGATATATATTCAACATTTGCAAGTTGGAACTTGTAGGGTTTGCAAGTTTCTTAATCCAATCACAAACATTTGAACCACAATTTGTTAACCCCCCAAGATTCTTAGATTCCCTCTCATCACATATCATCATGACCAGCTTCCAAATCTTCTTGAATATCTTTGCTTCATACAAAATATTCCTTCAACCCTAACACCCTAACACCTCTTCACCAATCCCAAATGGTATGCTTAGAAAGACTGCACGCTGTGCTGCATCTCACACCCCTAACCTTCCCTTGAAAGTTGAAATCAACTTAACTAATATTAATTAATTAGTTGATTAGTTGATTAATTAGCATGATGAATAACGAATTGACGATTAGTGGAGAGGTTTACATAAAATAATTAAGAACCAATTGCATGTGGCCACATAATTTATCTCTTTGTTTCATTCGGATTGTACTACATATGCTTAGATGATTGTTAATGTTTTTGGTTTCTTCCTACCTGCTTAGATTAGTTCACCTAAATGCAGCTGTTCACATCAAAACAAGTGATGAGCATATAAGTACAATCTAAGTTAAGCTTATCTTTTTGTTTTCATTGGGATTGTACTTTACCATAACCCTAACCTACTTAGGTTACTCCTTGTATGCATTCTAGTTTCATTTGTATGTACTTGCACAACAATTAACGTTGATCCCAATAAAAAAAAGTAAAAGATGTTCTTTTTTTGTTGGGTTCATCTTCAAATGTGAGATGATAAAACTTGAAAACATGTGATTTATGATTATAGTTGTTATTAAATACGTCGCCTTCACTTCTTTTCTTATTTTATTTCACCGTTGTCATTTGTATATTAAATAAGAAAATCGAGATCACTACAAAGTTGATGGGTTGATAATTAACACTAGGACTTCAAGTTTAGGGGTAATTCGTCTTAACCACTTGAGCTACAAGTTTCTCCCTTGCCCCTTAAGCCTACAAAGGATGAAGAGTGGATTCTGAGCGACATGCCGTTTATTTTCATCTAAATACATTGACGCAAAGTGTGATATATGACATGTCGTTTTCAGCAACAAACCGAGAAATACTTGTCAGTTTCCTCTCCAGCCAGTAACGACACAAATGGCCAAGAAAAGAGACCGCCGAGTCGCGCCGAGTTCGAACCGCGGAAAAGACCGAGTTGAATCGTCGGATCAATCCTCAGACCCAAAGCTCACAATCACCTTGGTCCTCTCCTTCTGCGTAGCTGCAGCAGCCGCTGTGCTCGCGTACCGCATCAAATGTGCTCATCCGATCACGAACCGTGCGCAGTCTTACGTGCACCAGCGAGGCCTCGTTAAGATTGATGTGAATTACCAAGAAATCCTCACTGCAAGTACCCCACTGGTTACTAGCTTGTTCTGTTCTGCGCTTGGTCTGTTTGGTTGCCGAGAAAATGTGGGAAAATGAGAGAGTATACTATCTTTTAGCTTTTATTACTCGGGAAATGCACGAAAGATAAGAAATTTTTTGTGTTTGGATTTGTCTCAAGCTTTTCCCAGATTTCTCAGCAGCCAAACAGAAAATTTTATGCTCCACTACTCTGTTTTGTATCATCGTGAAATTGAGAAATAAAGTTCATGTTATTATTGTTAATTTATTGTGGGAATTTCAGGAAAATGTGAAGGTCTCAGAAAATACGACTGGCAGGCACTATAAGTACCCTGTATTGGCCTACATCACTCCATGGTATGTCTTACATTCTGTTCGGCCATGCTTTTTGGGATTGCATTCTATTCTCTGTAAAATTTAGGTGTTCGAATTCCATTCTCTTGCACATCCTGTGGAACCAAATACAACAAGAATTTTAGTTAACATTTTAAACAGGAAAAGAAAAGAATTTGGAATTTAAATATTTAAAAGTTGAGGAAGTCATTTGGTCCCAAACACACTCTGAATCGAGGTTTGTCGGTCTTTTGGTTTAAGATATGATTCTGCACAGTTTTTGGTTATAAAAGTTTGATGTTGTCTGACAACGTAGGTATCTGGTTAGTAGTTTGTATAGCTGAGTTTCTCATATAATCATATCAGACATATTTGCATTAGTGAGCTTGAAATGTTTGTGAACTCCTCACACATCAAATTGTGCAGGAATTCCAAGGGCTATGATATGGCAAAAAGGTTCAACTCGAAGTTTACACATTTATCTCCCGTATGGTATGATCTAAAGAGGTACGCTTCCAGTTTTCTTAGTTTGACGAAGTGATGTAGTTGGTGTCTGTTTTGCACCAGGTGAGTAACAATTTCATTGCTGGATGAGTTTTTAGTAATTTATTCTTTTTGTCATCAGTCAAGGGACAGGCTTAATTCTGGAAGGTAGGCATAATGCTGATATGGGATGGATCTCAGAGCTTAGAATGGCAGGAGATGCTTGGGTATGGAGAAGATTCTTATAACTACACTCCTCTTTTTGGTAAATGGCAAACTATTGGCTTTGGTATATTCTGCAAGAACACATTAAAAGCCAGAATAAGACTTAGCAGGAGTAGGTCTTGCTCGTTTGCTCTTGATTTGGTTTCTATTCAGGGCCTGTGATTGAAAAATTTAGGTAGGCATGTAATAAAATTGGAGAGGTCTCATCAATACATTCTTGACTTAGAAAGAATTTAAATTTTTGTTGATAAGTCCTAGATATATTGCCTGTGCTTTTATTTGAGACACTTTTTAATCTAGATGGACCGATAGTCTCATATGTACAATACCTTTCTAATGTACAGGTATTGCCTAGAGTTGTTCTGGAAGCATTTCCAGCTGAGCTGCTGACAACGAAGAAGCGGAGGAGTAAAGCTATTACTCTTCTAGTAAGCGAGTGCAAGTAGGCCCCCAATCTAGACTGTTTTTGTATGTTTTTCTTAAGATATTATGCCCAGAATCTACACAATAGGCTTCTGACTGTGTTGGACTTTGGTTACTATTTAATGTTTGTGTAGTTTACCAATATTAAGGTCGATTTTCTTTATATCTAACCACTTTTTTATTTTAAAAAAAGTGTAATTTTGGGTTTTTGGGGGATTTATTTCTTTTCAGGGAAATGGGATATGATGGTGTCGTGCTGGAATCTTGGTCTAGGTGGGCAGCTTACAGGATTTTGCATGATCCAAGCATGAGGAATTTGGTAAAGTACTAATTTTGCTCTCTCTCTCTCTCTCTCTCTCTCTCTCTCTCTCTCTCTCTCTGTGTTAGTAGCTTGTAAAATGTCCTCTTTCAAATATTTAAGATCTGAGGAATCTATATTGTTTTGCAAGTGTAGGCATTGCAGTTTATAAAAGAGCTTGGAAATGCACTGCATGCTGTGAGCTTAGAGAGGAATGATAAGCAACGGTTGCAGTTGGTTTATGTTATAGGTCCACCACATTCAGAGAAGCTCCAAGAGCACGATTTTGGACCTAAAGATCTTCGGAACTTGGGTGATGCTGTGGATGGATTTTCACTGATGATGTATGACTTCTCGGGGCCTCAAAATCCAGGTCCCAATGCACCTCTAAAGTGGATTCATTCAACCCTGCAGCTGCTCCTTGGTACCGATAAAAACAGTGCTCTGGCCCACAAGATATTTCTTGGCATCAATTTCTATGGGAATGATTTTGCCCTCTCGGGAGGTATTTTTATTTTTCTTTTCTATCTATACAATTTTTGTTGTTGATTTGGAGAATCTATATTTGTTTTATCATTTCTTGGTTGCTCTTTCTCCTAGGGAGTGAAATATGATGGGTGTCTTATGAGTTTCAATGAAGGGTGGCCATGGGCAGGTTGGATGGGTTGGAGGTTCTAATAGTGCCTGTCCAAGTTACAATCCAATTTGTCCTGGGAACATATTAGGAGAACAAAGTAACATTGCAATTTTGCATGACGACTATATTGGATCTGGATTGATCATCTGTAACATCATATATTTGATTACTTATCTGAAGCGTCTACCATTGTCTCTGGGTTAAAAAAATTCATTTCATTGTCTAGTACATCTCTCGAAGTTTACTTGAAGTTGCATGCAAATGAATTCTTCCTTGGTTTTTCATTTTATGAAGAGAGTACTCAATGTTATAAAAATAAATAAAAAATGCAGGTCCAGGTGGTGGTGCTGTCACTGGAAGGGATTACCTGTCCTTGTTGGAGAAGCACAGGCCTGCATTGCGATGGGAAAAGAAGAGTGCAGAACATTTGTTCTTTTACTCTGATGATGAATATAACAACCACGCTGTGTTCTATCCATCCCTGATGTCAATTTCCATGCGGCTAGAGGAAGCCCATAAATGGGGATGTGGAATCTCGATATGGGAAATTGGGCAAGGTCTGGATTACTTTTTTGATCTTTTGTGAAGCAGTCCTCATTTGATCTTCTACACGTAACAAAATTTTGTTCATTTTGGGTTGAACTTTTCTGTCCACAGAATAACAAAGTTTTATTTAGAGGTGACAATAGTTTGAAGAATTCTCAGGTTACATTTGAAGAAAAATAATAATACTAGGATTACATCTTCTTGTAAAGAATTTTATGATCATATGGATGAATGTAACGGATTTGGTTTTTCCTTCTTGCTTCGAAGTTCATACTGTAATTGAATGGCCAGGCTCCTATCCACCTGATCAAATTAGCAGGCAGGCTAGCCCTTTCAGTGCATCTTAGCTATTTCTGAAGACAGATGGGAAGTTTGGGATGAAACTCATTTTTTGTTATTTCAAATAAAGTTATTCAATCACAAATTTTAATTTAAACCCAAATTTTAAATCCTTGGTTTAAGGTTTGGGGAAGGCTCTAGGAGCCACTTCCGGTGTACCGTAGTCTGTACTGCTGCACAGTTTCTCAGTACTTCTGGGAACTTTTTTTCTCAGCCACACAAACATGTACAACGCAAAGTCATCCTGCCCTTGCCATCAACAACATAAAATGATCAACAACCTCGCAATCCTTACTTACCACGTGTCATGCGTTGAATGGCCAAGTTCTCATCCTGCATGACACGTCAGCACCACCCTCCACCCAAAAGGCACCAGTCAATTTGCACCTGCTGAAGCTAAGGCTTGTAAAGCCTTGCATCATCCTAGAAAGAAACAAAAGTTCTGCATAAACCATCCATCCATCTCTAAGGTCATATGATGTTTCAGGCTTTTCCATCAGTTTTCTGAGACCCCCAAAGAGTGTTTCTCTGCTTCTTACATATAATTATGCCATGGAGGCCCTCAATGCAGCAAGCTTGACCCCCCTATCTGTTCTTGGTGACAGAAAAAAAGAACCCAGAAAATTTCCATCACTGCCCACCATTTCCCTACCCAAATTCTCAAATTCCACAAGTCTTAGCACCACCCCACAAGCTTCACAGGAGTCTTCATCTAGGAGCTTTCATGGTGGCCTGTTGCTTTTATCTTCTGTTTTCAATACCGGGTTTGCCAAAGCTTTGACATATGAAGAAGCATTGGGGCAATCTGTGAGTACCTTTACAGGTGGAGACTTGGAAGCAAGTGGGATTCTTGATAATGTTACTGCTTTTGTGACTGAGAACCCTGCAGTTATAGCTGGTGGTTTTGCCATTTTGGCTGTTCCCTTGGTTTTGTCTCAGGTTCTGAAGCCTCCCAAGCCATGGGGTGTTGATACTGCAAGAAGTGCTTATGCAAAATTGGGTGATGATGCCAATGCTCAGTTGCTTGATATCAGATCACCAGCTGAGTTTAGGCAAGTTGGTACACCGGATGTCCGGGGTCTGGGGAAGAAGGCGGTGCCAATTGTTTACAAAGGTGAAGATAAGCCTGCTTTCTTAAAGAAGCTCTCTTTGAAGTTCAAGGAACCAGAAAATACCACATTGTTCGTCCTAGATAAGTAAGATTTAACACCCGATTCTATAGTTTTTTCTTTCCTCATTCCTTATGAATTACTCATCAATTGCTGAGGGTATTCCAAAAGATACTATCAAATGCCTGCTAGTGTACATATGCAATTGGTTTATGTAGGCATCACAATTTTTACAGCAAAAGGAAATTTTACATGATAATGTACATTATGCAATTAATTCACACAAACAATTAATTTTGAGAAGGAACAATTTACATGAAGAAGATATTTCACACAATGCAACTCATTTTTCACTTAAAAGACCTTGGTTTTCCTACAATTTCCTAGAAATTGTCATATGCTAGTGCAACAATATCAACTTTGGTTGTGACAAGCAATGCTTCCAGTGGGTGGGGAAAAGGGATGGAATCAAGCTGAACTAAATAACTTCGTATAGTAAATAAATGAGATGGGAAAAGAACTGCTTGTTGACATTCCAATTTTAGTTATATCATGAACTGGATCCTGATTGTATTGTTGTTTCCTTGACTTCCATTTTAACATGCTTGTGATGTTGTGACTGGATTTTTGTTATTCCAAAAGCCAATATATGAAGCTAATGCTGCTGAATTTCTGATGGAAGCCAGATTTGATGGGAACTCCGAACTGGTTGCAGAGTTAGTCACTGTAAATGGGTTCAAAGCTGCGTATGCCATAAAAGATGGCGCAGAAGGACCCCGGGGATGGGTGGTCTGTCTCATTTACCTTCCACAGTTACTCCTTCTTTCTATGCAAGTCTTAACAAGTTTTAGTACCTTGACACGGATTATAATTTTGCAGAATAGCGGTCTTCCTTGGACACCACCAACAAAATTACTGTCTCTTGATTTTGGCAATTTAGCGGATGCTATTGGTGATGCCGTTGGAGTAATTATCATGATTTTCATTTGTTGTTTGCTATATTTTCAATTATAATGCATATGTGGAAATCTATTGCCTTGTTGAACTATACGGCGCCATTTGACCTCTATCTTGTACTTTTCAACAGGGATGTTATTAGTTGAAGACAGATGATAAAAGTTTGATAGCCTTAAAAGTTTAGTAGAAATGCTTAGATAGATAGAAAATGTGGGTGAAAATAAAAAACGAAAAGGCAAAATGAAGTCATAATAGAACACCTGCATGAATTTGAAACATCCACACCACCCCTAGTGCATATTTTCTTAAAAAAGGATCTGTTGATGTCTGCCATTGTTCACTAATTCCCTAGTTAATGATTCTCTTCAAAAGAATTTTGATTCTTTTAGCAGGATTCTTACATAGCTATGTGGTAAATTATGTACAGGAGGGATCAGGTGCCTTGTCTGTTTCCCTTGGGATTGCTGCAGCAACTGGATTGGGTTTATTGGCTTATACTGAGGTTGGGCTGCTAAGTCTATTGCATACTGAATTTATCTTTTGATTTGCCTTTTGGTGTGATATGTATCCTTGTAGAAGAGCTTCCAAACTGATTGTTTCACTCTACCCTTCTAGTTAGAAACAATCCTCCAAGTCTTAGGCTCAGCTGCACTAGTTCAGTTTGCGAGCAAGAAACTCCTTTTTGCTGAGGTGAGTCTCCTATTTTATTTTTTATTTTTTTTGCTTTCAAGAAGTTATTTGATGGAAGTTTTACTGTGGTTGATATGAATGTAAATCTTTGAAATAACACATATTACCCAACGTTCATCTTCCTGGCTAATACGGCATGTTTCCCCTTAGTTATTTTCAGTCTTACAGTCTGCATCCTTTCAATTTAAATTAACCTTTTGACAAAGGTCAAACTCATCATAAGTTTGAAGATGCAAAGCTCATGCATGCATGTTTGTGTTGTATGTATCTCCTTAATCATAGAGAGAAGTTATTGTCTTAAATAAGAATTGAAAACTTAAGGATTAACATTCAACTTCACATCACCTAAGTTGTTTTTTTCTGATAGGATCGAACAACAACTCTACAAGAAGTTGATAAGTTCTTAACCACCAAGGTTGCCCCTAAGGAGCTTGTTGATGACATAAAGGTATGAGATTATAAATTTGTTTTCAGCATTTTCAACAGATTCTTCAATTAAATGCATCATAGACTAGAGATCTTTTTGTTTTTCCCTTTTCTTTTGACAATTGGAATATACTAAATTCCATTGTCTTTATCAATTTCCTTGAATTTCAGCAAATTGGCACAGCTCTTCTGCCAGTGTCTGTGACTAGCAAAGGTCTTCCTGCACCTGCAGAAGCAACCCCAGAGCCTACTGCTGCTAATGATACTGTACAGAAAGCAGAAGCTGCTGTGGAGCCTAAAGTAGAAGCAGCTGCAGAAGCTGCTCCTGAAATAAATTCAGTACCCAAACCAGAAGTTAAAGCAGAATCACTTCCTGGGATTTCGAAACCACTTTCTCCATTCCCTTATGTAATTCTTCACTTCAGTTGCTATTTGATATTTTTTTTAATTTTATCAAGCCTCATGATGATTGAATATTTTGTGGAAGACTTGACCAAATCTTGATTCTTTTGTGTATTTATGGTTGCAGTATCCCGATTTCAAGCCTCCAGCTTCTCCCCGCCCATCCCAGCCCTAGAGACATATCTCAAAGCAGCAAGCTGTTTATCTAGGAATCTTCAGAGCTACACAATTAGTTGTGCAACTTATGCTCCTGTTGCTGTGTTACATGAAGTTTTGGAGGCTACATTTCTCTGAAGATATAGAACACTCATGAGTTGGATAAAATAGTTTTCCATAAGTAGCCCTCTTCTTGCGTTTATTTTACTGCTTAAATACACTATTTGTAAAATCAGGTGGATATTTGTAGTTTTCCATAAGTAGCCCTCTTCTTGTATTAGCTCTGTTTGGATTCTCCATAAATAGTATCTCTGAAGAGTTTTTGGAACAGGCATAATATATGACTCTGATTGCTTGCCTAGTAAGAGCAACTACTAGAAATAAAAAAGTAAAAATAATAATTAAAATAATGTTTTTTTAGTACAAGCGATTTGGGGGAGGGGGTTTCGAATCTCTGCCCACATAGGTGGAGATAGAACGGAACTTTACCTCATTGGGTTTTTTTTTCGGTGACCGAAGCAAACCAGTTTTATTCTTGAGAGAGTAGCAAAACTTGTCGAAAATTTCTTCGCCTTTCTTTAAATTTTAAAATTAGGTGCAAAGGTGTACTCACTGCAACTTATTGAAATTTAAGTGTAGGTAACAATTTGGTTTAAGAAATGAGGGGAAATTTACAAGTTTTGTTTCCTTTATTTCCAAGGGAAAATAATTGGACTATTGCATTGGTGCCTCGAAAAAACTGGCCGTCGTCAACTTGTCACATTTAAGAAAAATTATTACCGTTGGACTCCTGATGTTTTCAGTTATTTATTTAATATATTTTCTTTTGCAGTTTACCATCCCCGTTGTAAACTTGTCATACATGATACCGTTGGAGATCATTTTGCTGAGGTGGCAATCCAATTTTGTTTTGTTTTTTTGACCTATGCCTCATCGACAGCAAAACGTCACCGTTTCTAGTGATGCACTGCATTCTCAAACGGACGCGAAATCAAAATGCAATCGAGCGGGAAGTATTTTTATTTTCACTTAATTACTAAAATCAGAAATGTTTTAATTTCTATTTCGCAGTTGCTAAGTTGGTAGGTGCAGAGCAGATGATGCCTCTGAGGCTCTTACTCTGAGCTTCAACAAATAGAAAACTGACTTTTGCTCTGAAAAAAAGCTGTCTTCTCTTTAGTCTGGCTTCCCTCTCTTTCTTTCTGTGCTTCAAACTCCGAGCTCCAGAAATCAATGGCGAGAGTCAAACATACAGCTAACCGGAAAGACAATAAATCTTCTCGCAACCAACCTGGTCTCTCTCTCTCTCTCTCTCTCTCCTCTCTCTCTCTCTCTCTCTCTCTCTCTCTCTCTCGTTTATATGCTTTTGTAATTTGTTTGTATGCCTTGAGGATTATGATTTATGCGTTTCACAAACCCTAATTTTCTCAGTCTTGATCTACAGGCGGACGCTCACCCGCGGCATCACCTGCAACACAACCGGTACTCTCTCTCTCTCTTTCTCGTACTTCATTTCTCGTTAATTTCGGCTGTTGTTTTTCATGTGTTTGGTTACTTGGAAAAGTTGGGAAAGAGGAGTGCGAGGAGGGGAATCGGGGAAATTGGTTTGGGAATTATTAAATTTCTTTACCTGCATTTACTTATTTGCCGAACGGAGCTTAGTGTTGGGTGCTAATTCTCCGGTTTGTTTGTTTGTAATTTTTTTTTGGCACTTTAATGATATTTGGTGGAACAAATTACTAGTCTATTCATTTTTTCTGTTTGGTTGCTATGAAAACATTGGTTAGTAGAAACTATATAAATAAGAAAGGAAAAGCATTCAAGCAAGGTGCATATGGTTTATGTCTATTATATCATTGATTTTTTTTTTAATTTAAAAAAAAATCTATAGCATTTAAGCCATTGACAAAACTTAGTATTCTATTTTTGGTTTATGTCTCTATTCTTTTATCTCATTTCTTATTATTTGAATAAAATCAATAGTTGACCTACTCGAGTTAAAATCATATTTGAGGGGAGTGTTTGAATATGAATCTATAGTTAGTCTATATCATAGTTTTAGCTCTTGAATGTAGTGGTAAACCAACAAAACTTATCACTTATCTGTAATCTGGTGATGAAGGTTTTATATTTATAATTTTGACATTCCTTTTGGCTTATTTTACTTTTATATTTTTAATAAATTGAAGGAACCTTCTGGAAGAACGCAGAGATCAGAGAGGAACAGCCCGACAAGTACATATGCTTTCCTTATTTTATCAGTTTTTAGATTTGTTTGTTGCGGACAATGGAGGTGGTGAGGGTAATGGAAATAAGTTGATTTTGAATGATTGTTGTTGTTACATCTATAGCTCCAGGAACACAGAAGAAGAAGCGACCTCAGAGGAATGCTCCCACAAGTAAATATATATATTTTTCATATTTATTTATCTGTTTCTCTATTTGTTTGATGCTGATAATTGTGGTGGTAATGATAGTAGTGAAAATAAGTTGATTGTGAACGATTATTTGTTGTTGCATCTATAGCTCCAGAAACGCAGAGGAAGAAGCGGCGTTTCAGGCCAGGAACTGTGGCTCTTCGGGAGATTCGTCATTTCCAGAAGACATGTTCGTTGCTTATCCCAGCTGCTCCTTTCATCAGAGCTGTGAGTCCTTATCCCGCTGATTGATGTATATACGCACTTGCACCCACATATACAGGGGCTTGTGAAAATATGTACATGAGGCCCACACAAAAGGACATGAACAGATAGATAAGAAATGTTAGGTAGTGTTAGTGCTAGGAGTTAAATGCTGAGTCAGCTAGTTTTGGCAATTATCTGTTTGCACAATCAGAGAACTTTTTATTTGTTGGCATGGAAACTCAGTTTTGTGTTTTCAATTTATTCATGATGTTTGTGTACTTGCAGATTTAACAAATTCTGTTCTCCTTCTGATGTCGATTTGATTTTCTCATTTTAATTTGTATAAACAAGTTGAACTTTACATCTTTGCAATCTCAGAGTTAAGTAAGCCTTGTTAGTCAGGCTAACACTGGATTGTGCAAAAGAATATGCTTTCTTTCTTTGTTAACTTTGTGTAGGTTGATATTATCTATTAAATTTGATGGACTAATTATGCTAGTGAGGTTTGATCACACAATGCTGACAATTTTGTCACTAATTTTAGGTAAGAGAGGTCTCCAACAATCTGTCTCATGGTTCTATACGTTGGACACCTGATGCTTTATTGGCAATTCAAGAGGTGAATAAATATTTTAATTTTATTTGAATGGCAAGTGAATGTAACAGAATAACCATGCAAAGGCTACTTGTCTTACCCCCTTCCTCTTTTCAATCTGTTTAATAAACTAGTAAATGTCTGCATTCCAATTTCAGTAAGTCCTAGCATCATTTATCTATCATCTTGTTTATCCAATTTCAGACTCGATGAGTGATGCTATGCCATAGGTACCATACGCATCATGGAAGTGCATTGTATACTTCCTTCCAATTTTCTGTTTATTGTATGCTTTGATTACACAATGGCATTGCTACTCAACAAATCAAGCCTATCCAACAAACTGCTTGGATTTGGTTGCAGGAATTTCTTTTCATTATCCCAAGCATACCATGTAACCATAGGCCACTATAGCAATCCTTTGTGCAAGCCATTCAAGTACTTACTATAAATTATTAGAAGACAAATTAATCATGTTCATGCTTATTAGTATTTTCTTCTTTTGTAGGCAGCAGAGGATCATTTAGTTCATCTGTTTGAAGATTCCATGCTCTGTGCAATTCATGCAAAGCGTGTCACTCTCAGTAAGTAAAATTTGAAATTTGTGTAATTAATTGATGTTTTCCTAATGCTAATGTAAAACTTACTAGTTGTGACTGATGCTTGTAGTGAGATATTGCCTAAACTATGAAAGCTTGCACTCTTTTCTGTTTTTTTCCTTCAAAGGACAGATTATATTCAATTTAATGAATCTTTGGTATTAGAGGAGCTTCCTTAAATGTAAGATGATTCAGTATTTCATATGCCTATTTCAGCAGGACTAATCTCTTTTGGGACCATGATTTTAAATACTATACTTATGGAAAATGAGTTTTGATGCACTCAAAAGGGATGTGCAGTACTACTTTCTGTATCATTTGATTAACCATCCGATAAGCTGTTGTAATTGCCCTAAATGTGTCAAACCTTTATCAGTTGGCACTGTTACATCTTCTACTTTGAGTTTCAGCCAGTCTTTGACGGTTGTACCATTACATTGCACACAATATTGTAACAAACCTGTTTCATTTGCTTTTGTTTCCTCAGTGAAGAAGGATTTCGAGCTGGCTCGTCGAATTGGAGGTATAGGGAGGCAGTGGTGAGAGCATCAGGACCTCAACCGACACCATAATCACTGATCATAACAATTTTAAAAACAATGGGCATTTGTTCTCTGGTAGTAGCCAATTTTATTTTTTTTGTTGTTGTAATTTCTTAGAACTAGGAAGTAGGCAGCAAACTCGACTCATAGTAGTGTAGTCATGTATACTGTTACCGAAAGAAAAAACAAAAGTTGAAATAATCTGTTTCCCAACTGCTTGTGATTCGGAATCATCCTGTATGTCAGATTTCGATCAATAGGACGTATTATTGCAATTGTTGCTGGATCATTAAACTCTAAACCATTTGTTTGTTTGGCTCTTTGACTTTAAGTTTGATTGAAATTCAACTTCCCGTTGCGTAGTTTATTTTTGGGTTGGCTATTGTAAACTACACTATTTTAAAAGCACTTTTGGGTTAATAATCAAATCAAATGGAATTTTACAGTTATGCCATCCATGTAATTACATAAAAACCAAACCCTTTCAGAAACAGTTTTCTTCAGAAAATACTGGTAGACGCAAAAGAATCAAAAGGTGGAGAGAGAGAGTCCAGAAAGTTCTAGAAGTCCTGACTTCCCGCTAGCGCGCTCCAATCCCTAAACTGTTTTAACTCCCACCCGTTCCTATAAATACCACCTACCTCTCACCCCATCTCGCTTTCCCGAAAATCACAGAAAAGCTTACAGAGCAACCAAACAACAACTAAAAATCTCAATTTTCTCACTAGGATTTCTAGGGTTTGTTCGTCGTTGGTTTTCAGATTCTCAAGGTACGTCTTCTACTGCATGCTCATTGATTATGCTTGTGATCTGCGTAAGAATTGTAGATAATTTTAGTATGTAAACCTTTGTTACCTTATTAAAGATTGTAGTTAGAATTAATGTATATTTGAATTTTAGGCCTCTGTTTTGGTTTTTTGTTGTAATCTGTGGAAGAAAATCAAATCTAAGTTTTGGCCTCTAAGGTTTCTTATTCTTACGAACTGTTCTACTATACAGATGCAGATCTTTGGGTTGACACTTACAGGGAAGACCATTCCTCTTGAAGTTGAGAGCTACGATACCATAGACAATGTCAAAGCCCTTATTAAGGACAAGGAAGGGATACCACCTGAGCAGCAGAGTCTTATCTTTTCTGGGAAGAAACTTGAGGATGGTAGGACGCTGGCAGACTATGACATCCAGAAAGAATCCACTCTGCATTTGATTCTGCGTTTAAGGGGTGGCATGCAGATATTTGTGAAAACCCTTACTGGCAAGACTGTCACCCTTGAGGTGGAGAGCTCGGACATTATTGATATTGTCAAGACTAAGATACAGGATAAGGAGGGGATTCCGCCTGACCAGCAGAGGCTTATATTTGCTGGAAAGCAGTTGGAAGATGGTAGGACTTTGGCCGATTACAACATCCAGAAGGAATCTACTTTGCACCTTGTTCTTCGATTAAGGGGTGGGATGCAAATATTTGTTAAGACGCTGACCGGAAAGACTATCACTCTTGAGGTGGAGGGTTCGGATACCATAGACAATGTCAAGGCAAAGATTCAAGACAAAGAGGGAATTCGACCAGACCAGCAGAGGCTTATATTTGCTGGAAAGCAGTTGGAAGATGGTAGGACTTTGGCTGATTATAACATTCAGAAGGAATCTACTTTGCACCTTGTTCTTCGATTGCGGGGTGGGATGCAAATATTTGTCAAGACTTTGACTGGAAAGACTATCACTCTGGAGGTGGAGGGTTCGGTTACCATAGACAATGTCAAGGCAAAGATTCAAGACAAGGAAGGGATCCCACCTGACCAACAATGGCTTATTTTTGCAGGAAAGCAGCTTGAGGATGGCAGGACTTTGGCAGATTATAACATTCAGAAGGAATCTACTTTGCATCTTGTTCTTCGATGCAAATATTTGTCAAGACTTTGACTGGAAAGACTATCACCCTGGAGGTGGAGGGTTCGGATACCATAGACAATGTCAAGGCAAAGATTCAAGACAAGGAAGGGATCCCACCTGACCAACAAAGGCTTATTTTTGCAGGAAAGCAGCTTGAGGATGGCAGGACTTTGGCAGAATATAATATCCAGAAGGAATGTACTTTGAATCTTGTTCTTCGATTAAGGGGTGGGATGCAAATATTTGTCAAGACTTTGATTGGAAAGACTATCACTCTGGAGGTGGAGAGTTCGGATACCATAGACACGTCAAGGCGAAGATTCAAGATAAAGAAGGAATCCCTGCTGACCAGCAAAGGCTTATTTTTGCTGGAAAGCAGCTAGAGGATGGTAGGACCCTTGCTGATTATAACATCCAGAAGGAATCCACCTTGCATCTTGTTCTCCGTTTGCGAGGTGGTATGCAGATCTTTGTGAAGACCTTGACGGGCAAGACCATCACTCTTGATGTGGAGAGCTCTGATACCATAGACAATGTGAAGGCAAAAATTCAAGACAAGGAAGGGATCCCACCTGACCAATGTTGAGCAGAAAAAATTCACAAAAAAATTGAAACGTGGGATTGGATAAGTCCCACAATTTTTATACCCGTTATTTGTCACGTCTAACAAGCAGCAAATTGAGGGTAGAGATAAGGCTTAACAGCCATCTACAAGAAAGGGGTTTTGGAAAAAGGTGGGGGTCTAAACCAATGAAAACTCTTAAGAAAGGTTAGTGGCTCCTATTTTTGGGGGAGCTGATTAGTCAGTTTTCAAATGAAACATCCTACACTAAAGAGGTCTCTAGCTTATAAAGGGGGCAGCCGGCAGGTTGTAGGGGGGGGACACTCTACAAAAATAAAGGAGGAGGCTTCAAAGAAGAGAAGAAAAGCTTGCAAAGCCACAAAGGCAAAGAAGCACAGCCGAAAGGCTGGAGGGAAAAAAAGGACAGAAGCAATCAAAGATGCATCTGCAACAAAGCTTCTCTCTTGAAGTCCTCCATGTTGGGTGGCAACCCGCAAATCAAACAAATGGATGGCAATTCATGTTGGTTGACAACCCACAAATTGATAATGCTCTGCCAAGCGAATCTCCATACTCTGCTGAGCAAATCTTCATGCTCTGCAGAGCGAACCTCCATGCTTGGGTACAAAACCCATAAACTAAATCCATTTTGAGTGTCAAACTCATAAACTGAACTCTCTTGGAAGATCCTCTTGTCCTGTGTTTGTTGGGCACCCAGTCACAACAAACAAGGAAAAAAAATAAAGGAGGAAAGCCCCGTTTTGGGAAGAGGGTTTGGTGTTGTTTGCATACAGGCGCAACATACTAAGAAAAACAGGTAGATGAAGAACAGCCACGCTTGTTGGAGGAACGCTTGGTGTGAGCAATTAAAAAAAAAGATATATAGACTTGCAGCCACCTTTTGAATTCTTGGCTTGGTGTTGCATATAGCAGCAACAAACAAAAAAATGACAGCCACCTAGAAAAGCAGAAGAAGAACAGCAACGAACCAAAAAGAAGAAAAAACGGCTAGCCACCAAAAAAAAAGAGGAAAGAAAGTGGCGTACAGCCACTTCGTGTCTGTTGCTGGGTGTTTTTTTTTGGTCTGAGTCTGTTGCTGGGTTAAAAGGAGAGAGGGCCAGCCAAAAGAAAACATGAGTAATAAATAAATAAATAAGGAAAAGAAACAAGGCTTTGAAAAGGCCACGTGCCATGCCTTGAATTCCTTCTCCTTTGATTGCTTGCAAACAACCAAAAGCTGCATGCTGGTCCCTTTTGTCACAAGGACCACAGTTGTGAACCAATTCTGTTCATGGGTCAGTTAAAATATCAATAATGGGCTGTCAAAAAGAATTGTCTATTAACTCTCAAAAGCCAATAGTAATTAATGGGTAATCCAAATAATTACCCATTAAATTTATAGAGGCTCAAATTGTCTATTATATGGTTCACGGATCAATTTTAAAAATCATCATATCCATATTTGAGTCCAAGTGCAAATGTCAATTTTAAAAAATTAGTGGGTTACTCAAAATTGTTCATTATTTTTCTTGAACATTGACATAACTAAAATAGTATAAAACCATCCAATTTTTCCCATGGGTCATCTACCCATGCAAATTTCATTGAGATTAATTTCAATATCTCAAACACAAATTCTCAATTAGTGGGTTACACTTGCCCATTAATTTCCAATTTCTCTCGTGGGTCATCTACCCATGCAAATTTCATTGAGATTAAATTCAAATATCTCAAACAGAAATTCTCAATTAGTGGGCTACACTTACCCATTAATTTCCAAATTTTTGAATTACATCGGTTTGATCCGGTCAAGAATACGTAGGCAGTCTAGCATTCCACTAGACGCAACAGCAACAAAATTTGAATCCCTTGTTTTATCCTAACCAAATTCGTCCAAACACTTTCCCAAATGCAAATGTCAATTGTAGAGAATTAGTTAGTTCATCAAAATTGCTCATTATTTTTCTGGGACATTGACAATAAGGAGAATGGTATAAAACTATCCAATTTTTTTCCATGGGTCATCTACCCATGCAAATTCATTGAGATTAATTTCAAATCTCTCAAACACAAATTCTCAATTAGTGGGCTACACTCATCCATTAATTTCCAATTTTTCTCATGGGTCATCTACCTATGAAAATTTCAATGAGATTAAATTCAAATATCTCAAACACAAATTCTCAATTAGTGGGCCACACTTACCCATTAATTTCCAAATTTCCCCATGGATCATCTACCCATGAAAATCCCCAAATTGTCTTAAAGACACAAATTCTAAATTATTGGGCCACACTTACCCATTAATTTCTAATTTTTCCCATAGGTTATCTACCTATAAAAATCTTCAAATCGTCTCAAAGACACCAATTCTAAATTATTGGGCCAAACTTACCCATTAATTTCCAAATTTTGGAACTACGTCGATTTGATCCCATCAAAGGTACGTAGGTAGTCTAGCATCCCAATAGACGCAACCGCAACCAAATTCTCGCCAATCAAATCTCTACACAAATCAATTCCGGACTACATTGGTTTGATCCCTTTAAGAGGGTACATAAGCAATCTAGAGATTCAATCTAGATGCAATCATCCCAAACACAATTCCATATTGAATCCCTGGTTCATGCAATTAAATTCACTCAAACACTCATCAATCAAATTCATTCAAATTCCTCCTTTTGCGATGAGTCATTTATTCGTTGCAAACCTTTGAACTACGAGTGGCTTGATTTCCGCGAGGGATACATAGGCATCCTGAGGTTGGACTTGGGAATAGTTGCAAAACCAAACACACACGTTCTGTTTCTTTATGATGAAATCAAAGGGTATTCCCTTGGGGAAAGGGATTGTAATTAAGAGACTTGCGTCTCGAATGGGTTGAACCTAAAATAATAAAACCCCATTATTTAATTAGTGGTGGTGAAATTATGTTGGGAGGTTCACATTTTCCTTCAACAACCAACAAAGGCTTATTTTTGCAGGAAAGCAGCTTGAGGATGGCAGGACTTTGGCAGATTATAATATCCAAAAGGAATCTACTTTGCATCTTTTCCTTCGCCTTCGTGGTGGAATGCAGATTTTTGTTAAAACTCTGACTGGGAAGACAATCACTCTTGATGTTGAGGGTTCCGATACAATAGCTAAAATCCAAGACAAAGAGGGTATCCCTCCGGATCAGCAGAGGCTCATTTTTGTTGGGAAGCAACTTGAGGACGAACGTACCCTGGCTGATTATAACATCCAGAAAGAGTCTACCCTGCACCTAGTGCTTCGTCTTCGTGGGGGTGATGTTTAAGATCAGATGATATCTGCTACTAGTTCTAATGTGGTTTAGAACTTTTTTCTTCCTTCTTTTTCCTTTTAGTGGAATGGGGTGTAGAACTTTACTTACACCTTTTTGGTAGTGATTTAGGGTTGGAATTTGGTAGACTATTATGTTTGAATGAAAGCTTAGTATGACTTTGATTTGGTATTATATGTTACTTTGATTGTTGCGTTATTTGGTTGCCTTGTTATGCTGGGCGAAAGAGTTCCAACTATCATATCTTGGGCAGTTTCATGAGGCCTAAGTTTAGGTTCAATTTGTCCAAGTATCCTAGACAGGCTGTAATAGCTTGACATCATATTGAAGTTGGAACATAACTTTAAAAATGGGTGAAATAGGTTTCGTGTGTGCAAAGTAACCCAGCTATATGTTTTGAAGGCAAAAATTCTTAGAGCCATATAAGATTTTGGTTCATTTGGTATAGAATTTTGAGATGGGGAAAGCATTAAGGTAACCATAGATTCAGAGCTGAATCAGTATTTAATATTCTGCAATCATTTAGGTGAGACTAGCTGGTTTTCTTCTGTTCAATTCAAACCGAGCTCCCACCGTATACTTCTTCCATATGTTACAAATAGGCAGGGATTTCCATGCATGTGATGTATGATTGAAGCATCATTTTCATCCGGGTTGTCTTCGATGGATCGATAGACCCTTAGAAAGCCGTTTGGTCAACCAGATCCTTTCACAACAAACTTCTCTATAATAGTGACTGGTTTTTTTTTATTTCCTTGATGAACATAGGCAACAGCATGAGGTGTTACGCATGAATTCTAGTGTCTGCATAGTTCTTGCAAACCAGCCCTTAACAAAACATTCCAAAATTCCGACACCGCCAAACAAGCACGAGATTTCTTGGGTCAGTAGGTAGGCCTATTCTGATTTCTTCTCCTCATCCTTCTCATTGGCTACCCCCCATTTCTTCTTATGTTAAGATTAATACTGACGGTTCTTGGAAATCTGGTTCTGCTATGGCTGGAGTTGGAGTCATTATTCGGAAGATTGCTTGTTCTTGTATTGGGGGTCTTGCTGCTCAGGTGCGTGCCCAATTTCCACTTATGGCTGAAGTTTTGGCCCTGAAACATGGTCTATTGAGAGCTAAAGAGTTGAATTTGGTTAATGTTGTGGTGGAATCTGATTCCCAAGTGGCTATTAATTCTGTTCAGAAGGATGTTTCTTCCTCTAATTGGGAGTTGTATCCTATCCTTAAGGATATTAGGTTTCTTAAAGCCTATTTCACAAATCTAAATTGGGCACGGGTGCCCCGTGAAGCGAACCGGTCTGCGGATGCCGTTGCCTCGCTTGCCAGGAAGGGGATGTGCTTGGAGTCGTGGCTTGTGCAACCTCCATCCTCTCTAGTTCATATTTTATCTTGGGATGGTCTTCCTTGCCCTCCGCCTGGTGCTTAATCTTTTGTGTGGCTTTTCGTTTTGTTTTGTTCTTTTGGCTTGTTTTTAGTTCTTTGGTTTGGTGTGTCTATTCTGTTGGTTTGGTTGGGTTTCCCTTTGGGCCTTTGCCGGTTGGCTTTTATGATATCTTTGTTGACCCAAAAAAACAAAAAAAAACCAGCCCTTAACAATTACTGCTTGTAATTGTATTGCAGCAATGAGATAATAAATCCATGTGCCAAGTTTCAACTAACTAGCTTGTCTTTAGCTTTGCTGCTTGTCTGCTTTGTAATTAGTTATTTCTCAACCATTTTGGCTGCCATATATGGACAAGGTCCACACGGATGGGTAAAACCCAGCTCATTTTTATGTTCCAATTTATAGCAAAATAACAAGCTTTCAATTTTATTTTATTTTTTTGGTAAAGAAACCAGAGTCCCACAAGTCAGAACACTACTGTGTTATATATTTCAACCTGAACCAACCCTATTAACATCCTGCTAGGTTGTGGTCCTTACACAGTAGGGTGCAGGTTCGGTCAACTCGTGACTGGATTTTTGTTTGCTTACCTTACAGAATTAAAAGCTATTATGATTATTTACTGAGCATAATCTACTTCTTAGACCATCTATTCGTTGCTCGAAAAGAACGTCAAACATCGATGGATTGTAACATGCTCACTTTGGTTAGCCCCTTGTCACATTGTGGTATTGAGTTGCATATTTGGCATCCCTTCTGACAATGTTGAATCATACGTAAAAAGACATACATGATATATCCATTGAGTTGTTTATATGTAACATTCTGACAACATCCGAATCGAAATATTAATCATACGTAGCTGGTTATTTAGAAAGGATTCATTAGCCTATTTCCTACCTACATTGATTTTCAGGTGATCTTGTGTCAGGTTCATATTAATATCCAGCCCAAGGTTTATTGTTTCTGCAATACTGATGTTGAATCTGTTCAAATTCCAGGTTGCTAGCAATCATTTCATTGCACTTGGAGTTTGGTAAGTTCATATGACTTTCTTAGAGCATTAAATTTAAACCAATGAAGATTGTGCAAACTTTTTAGGGGAATGAGTGAGAACAGTTGGCTTGCAGAACGTAGGCAAGGCAGCAACATGAGCAGTGAATTGGTAATGATTGAATTACATATAGCATATCATATGCCCCCATACTTGTTAGCCATACCTTTGTTATTGCAGCTATGAGCCAATAAATGCATGGGCCAATTGGGTTCCCCTTATTTTTCGTTAGCTTTGATTGTTGTCTACAAGTTGTTAGGTTTGCTTCAAAATCAAGCATTTTGATTGGCATATGTGGGCAAAAATACGGGTAAAGCAATTCATTGTGTTTTTTTTTGGTGGTCAACATTTGTGTTCCCCTTTATGGAAAAATTACAACATTCCTGTTGCAGGCCATTAAGTCCTTTTCTGTAAAGGAACCACATAACTTAAGCCCTGAACACAGCTGGGCGCAGATTGGTCTTTTTGTTGATATGAAGATATATAATTCATCGCGATACTCATTAAGCACTTATTTATGCTTTCACATTTAGAGTTCAACTCTTGCTCTATTAGAGAGACAGGCCAACGGCTCACTACTAACCGATATTGTTCCCAACTTAACCACCTACAAAGCTCAGGAGGTGTGGAATTTTATCACAAAAGACATCGGTGTTATTAAAAGTAGTGTCATATTTCATTTTGTCAAGTTTTCAATGTAAGACTTTATGTTCTTCGACAACTCTCCACTTTGGAAGCCTTATACCTCCTTGAACATAAGAATATGCGCCTGTTGTAAAGTGAAAATTCCAATTTACCATTCATGGCGTGCAGCAACCAAATGTATGTCTAGTACAATCCATACACACACTTGTTCTTATTGTTCAAAAAAACATCTTGTGAAGTATGGATATTGGGAAAAAAGAAAAAGAAAAAAGGCAGACAAAATTAGGACTGTCCTTGAGAATCCAAGCCAGGGATTTCATTCGTTTCTTTATTCCAAGTTAATATAAACTATGTCACCAAGAAATACGAATGGCAGGCCAGGCCTTACAGCAGATATGACTTCTGTTCATTTCCTTTTTCCATCCGCCATTCTGCTATACCCCCCAAACCCAAAGTCAAAACTAATTTTGTAGTTGCTTTTAATTTGTTCCTCTTGCTCTCCGACTCTCTCTCTCTCTCTCTCTCTCTCTCTCTCTCTTGTGCACAGAACACATTCATTTTTATATATTATTTCAGTGTAGTGATATTGACGATCATGTATCATCAACTCATGTAGCGATATATAAATTTTCTAATTCAACTTGACATATTTGAGTTCCGTGAAACGACATTCTCTTATTCCCCAACAAATAATCAAACTTAAAAAACACACACACACACACAACCAAGTATTTAAAAATTACCCAAAAAAATTATAATATTCTCACGGAAGAGAAGCCTGGGTTCTTATTTCATATATAGAGATCAAAGAGATCTGTGCTTTTGTAAGTTGTGGGCAAAATCTAACCCTATTATACCTTCCTTCATCGCTTAGGCTAATTAACCTTGAAGCCTTTTGTTGTAATTTTGGTTCTAGTTGCAGTCAGGTTCCATTTGAGTACAGAAATTTGAAATAAAGGGTTTGGATTTAACAAGAAGACTATAAAAACTAGCAAATGTTACATTGAATATATTTGAAATAACTAGACGTAGTACATTTGATATGCATTTTATCAATATATGCAATGGATTTAACTAATGTAGAACAGATGACGGAATCAATTGAAGAGGAGCTAGAGTGATGTGAGGGAGGGCAAATAAGGTAAACTACAAATTTGGGCCTATGACCCGTCCTTTCGAATAGAACGACGTCACAAACTCACTGCTTTACTGTGACTTATGGGTTTTTTTTTGGGCGTTTGACGTCGTTTAATAGCCCAAAGAAGCATTTTAGTTTTTGAGCCAGTTTTCGGAATTTTCGTTATTTTAGTTTTTAATTTCTATTTGGATTCCTAGGGTTTAGAGGACTTGAGGTAGTATTTAAACCAACTTTAGCTAAGGATGGCGGGTTGTTATCCTTATTGTTATTCAATAAACTTTGAAGTTTTCTCAACTTCGGTGGATTCCAGGGTTTGATTCTTTTAAGCTAATCGTTTGATTGCCTTTTGTTTATCACACTGCGCCATTAACCTTATATACATACCATCCAAATGCACTCTAAAAAGCTTGAACTAGCATATATTGACCAAATATTGACAAAGTCATCGTAATATGATGCCATCATATTAATGTTTGATTGCGCTATACTCCACTAGCAAATTTTTTTTGAACTGTTGAGAAAGATGTCTCTCGTCTTACAAATAAAATTTAGGGAAATATTTTTTAACCAAAGATTTTGTGTCCATTTGTGTCCTCACTTGTGTTTGGGATGTTATTAAATAGTGTGGTTTTTCCTTCTTTTGTAAAACTTTTGTAATTAAAAGAAAATATATTTTCCTTTCCTATAAAATTCCTATACAAAACTTTTAGATATAAATAATATATAAAATAAAGATTAAACAGTAAAGTAAAATAAAGAGACAAATAAACAAATAAATAAAAGACAAGATTAAGAAAGCAAGCCTGGTATAGTGAAAGCACGTCAAAGACGCTGTCCTAAAGCCTTTGTAGCCTCCCTACGTGCAGGTAATGACGGTCTACAAGACTCCAAGATACGACCCCAATACACAGGCTTAAGATCCGCTATAAGCACGTTCACAGTCGGATAGAAATCTCCAAGCCACAGAACCGTTGCCCAAAAATAATATAGAAAGTATGGAATATATGAAAGTATGAGAATAGAGAAATCTGATTGTAGCAGTTGAAATGTGAAGGAGGAGAGGCCTTTTATAGGCATCCAAAACTCGTAACCACCAGACACATTTAACCAGAAAAGTTGGTGGCAATGAATAGAAAATAAAAACTGAAAATTAAACAATTTGTAACTCATATAATATATAAAAGAAACAGCCAAAAATTAAAACAGAAAATAAAACGTTTTAAAATTTAAAATCCTTTCAAATAATAACAATCCCCCACAAAGGGTTTTAAAATTTTAAAATAGTAAAATATAAAGAAAATATACATATGGGCAACATAATACTATGCAATAGGTGTAGGTGCCTTCCGGGCTTGAACCTTCACTTAGTGATGATAGTTTCCATTTGAGGAACCTGAGTGTACACAGTATTGAACTCGGCACCTTTGACCAAACTTTAACATATCCCACACATAGTATTGGTTGAGGCTTGGAAGCGGGGTAGCGCTATTTATGGCCATGCGCTAATCTTGATTCTCATGAGAGTTGCTAGAGAATAGCCCAATTCTCACAGTCGCGGCCTCACGACGTCTCTCACTTAGGTGAGTTCTCCAAGAGTACATGTGACCTGCACCCTGCGGGAGATTGCCCGCCTCGAAACTCATTCAGGGATAACTCCCTTCCTAACGTCACATTATATAGCACTGATGTCATAGGGATGAGCATGAGGACATCTCTGGGATGCCTCCACATGATATAAACAGTGCTCAATGAGTCACGCAGTATGGATTGTTTCTACCCATTGAACTTCCTTCATGGGATCGCCAATCACAGAAGTTGGGTTACCTCCCTAGGTGACTCCCTTATGGGCTTAAACCCATCCCCCTCGACATTTCTAGGACTCTGCTCCTAGAAAGACCTTTAGTCAATTGGTCAGCAATGTTGTTCTCTGACTTCACATACTCCAAAGACACAATGTTCTTACTTAATAAGCTCTTCACAGATTTATATCTCACATGTATGTGCCTGTTCATTTTCCTATTTGTATGAGATTGTTTCACCAAGTCTATTGTAGCCTTGCAGTCACAATGAATAGATAAAGCAGGCAATGGTTTCTCCACCAGAGGCATATCCATCAATAAACTCTTAATCTCAGTGCAAGTAGTATCTAAAGCTATGAGTTCAGACTCCATAGTACTTCTAGAAATAATTGTTTGCTTCTTCGAACCCCATGAAATTGTAGCTCCACCCAATAAGAAAATGTAACCACTAGTAGACTTCACTTCTTCATTGTCTGTTATCCAATTTGCATCACTATATCCCTCTACTACATTTGGAAATCCTTTATAGCACAATGAATAATCTATTGTTCCTCTTAAGTACTTGAAAACTCTTTCTAAGGCATTCCAATGTTCCTTGCTTGGGTTATGTGTATACCTACTTAATCTTCCAACAGCATAAGCAATGTCTGGCCTAGTCTTATTCGCAATATACAACAAAGAACCTATCATCTGGGAGTACTTCAACTGAGAAAACGGTTCACCTTGATTTTTCTTTAAATGTACATTGGGATCATAAGGTGTTGGTGTGGGCTTACACTCAAAGTAATTGAACTTCTTCAACATCTTCTCAATAGTACTAGATTGACTTAGAGAGATTCCTTGTGTTGTCTTCTCAATTTTCATTCCTAAGATTACATGTGCTTCTCCCATATCTTTCATGTCAAAATTCCTAGATAAGTATGACTTCACATCATTCACAATCTCTAAATTCGTCCCAAAGATCAAAATGTCATCAACATATAGGCACAAGATTACGTGGTCTCCATTATTCTCTTTATAGTAAACGCATTTATCATGACCATTAAACTTAAAATCATAATCTAGAATCACCTTGTCAAATTTCTCATGTCATTGCTTAGGAGCTTGTTTTAGGCCATATAAAGATTTAACCAACTTGCACACCTTGTGTTCTTGGCCCTTAACTATGAATCCTTCTGGTTGCTCCATATAGATCTCTTCATCTAAGTCTCCATTTAAAAATGCCGTCTTCACATCCATTTGATGAATCACTAAATTATGCACAGATGCTAAAGCTATCAAAGTTCTTATGGTGGTAATCCTAGAAACAGGTGAGTAAGTATCAAAATAATCTATCCCTTTCTTTTGTGTAAAACCCTTAGCTACTAATCTAGCTTTGTACTTATCAATACTTCCATCTGGTTTCAACTTTTTCCTAAACACCCACTTGCACCCTATCGCTTTATTTCCAGCAGGCAAATCTGTTAACATCCATGTGTTATTTTGAATTATAGATTGAAACTCATCATTTATAGCCTCTTTCCAGAATGGTGCATCTACAGACATAATGGCTTCCTTATAAGTTGTGGGATCTCCTTCTACTAGAAAGGTATAAAAATCATCTCCAAAGTTCTTCTCAACTCTCGCTCTTTTGCTTCTTCTAAGTTCTTGAGATTCTAAATTTTCGATCGTAGTTGAGCTAGAAGACTTCTCTCTTATTTGTACTTCCTTAGAAATTCTTGTCTTGTACGGGAAAATATCTTCAAAGAATGTAGCATCTCTTGCTTCCATAACTGTGTTGTTTGCAACCTCCTTTACTTCAGAGTTAATCACCAGGAATCTATTGGCACTACTATTTTTCGCATAACCGAGGAAAACTGCGTCTATAGTCTTAGAACCTATTTTCTTTCTCTTAGGATCGGGTATGAGTACCTTAGCTAAACACCCCCACACTTTTAGGATTCTAAGATTAGGTGATCTTCCTTTCCATAACTCATAAGGAGTTTTCTCATTATCCTTCAAAGTTATCCTATTAAGTATGAAACAAGCAGTTAACATTGCTTCCCCCCACAAATTCTCAGGTAGTCCACTACTAAGAAGCATAGAATTTACCATATCCATCAGGGTTCTATTTTTCCTTTCAGCCACTCCATTAGATTGGGGTGAATATGGTGGAGTAACTTCATGTATAATTCCATGTTCTTCACAAAACACTCCAAGCTCATTTAAGGTATACTCTCCACCTCTATCAGATCTAAGTCTTTTAATCTTTTTCTCCAATTGGTTTTCTACCTCACTTTTATAAATCTTGAGTTTATTAAACACCTCATCTTTTGTCTTAATAAGATAAATATGGCAATACCTAGAGAAGTCATCAATAAATGTCACAAAGTATTTGTTTCCACCTCTAGTAGGAGACCTATTTGAATCACACACATCACTATGTATGAGCTCTAAGATTTGGGTGTTTCTCTCTACAGGTTTGAAAGAATTCCTAGTTTGTTTGGCTTGAACACACACTTCACATTTATGCTTAAGGTCTACGTTAGACTTAGGGATTAGCTCAAGATCCATTAACGTTTTGATTTTGCTCAAACTTACATGTCCTAACCTTCCATGCCATACATTACAAGACTCAACATTAAAAACTTGAGGAGAAATTTTATTATCTTCAAAAACTACATTTATTTTGAATAATCCATCACAAACATATCCTTTTCCAATAAAGACATCATTTCTAGTAATAACAATCCTATTCGACTCCATTACAATTTTGTATCCTTGTTTTACTAAGGATGATCCACTAATAAGGTTTCTCCTCACTTCAGGAACATGTCGCACATCCTTGAGAGTTAGAATCTTCCCAGATGTCATCTTCAATTCCACTTCTCCTATTCCACGTACTTGTGCGACGGTGTCGTTTCCTAGGGTTACACTTCCTCCACTTGAGTTCTGGTAATTTTTGAAAAATCGTTTGTCAAAACACACATGTACGTTTGCCCCAGAATCTAACCACCAATCACTATTACTTAAATATGCGATATTAACTAGAGGCTTAAAACTATACCTTAGATTGGGTTCATCTTGATCATCTTGATCCACCAACACATTCACTTGGGCTTTAGGACCACTTTGTCCTTTGTTCCACTTAGGCTTGGGCTTGTAGGGCTCGGTCTTCTTGTAATGACAGTCTTTGGCCCAATGATTTGTTCTTCCACAAACGAAGCATGGTTGATCCCTATTGCCATTGGAATTGTTATGGGGTCTATTGTGCTGTCGATTTTGGTTTCGGTTGAATTGATTATGGTTGGGTTGACTATTTCTGTTTGTCCTCTTGAAAGATTTCCTTCTGGATTGGAAACGATTCCTATTGTTTGAACTTTCCACTAGGTTCACGTTTGTCTTTTCTTCCTTAGGCTTGTTACTTGATCTATGTTTCTCTTCAATCCTAAGGGAGTTTAAAACTTGGGTTAAGGTTAAATCTCCTTGTTTGTGCCTAAGGGTTTTTGCAAAGTTTGACCAACTTGGGGGTAATTTATCTATGAGACAAGAGACTTTAAACTCTTCACTAAACTTAGTACCCTTAAGTTCTATTTTCCTTAAAAAATCTTGGTACTCATGAATTTGTTCACTTACAGTTTTATTCTCAACCATCAAATAGTTATTAAAGTTTGAGATTGTGAAACGATCTATTCCCGCATCTTCTATCCCATATTCAGCTTCTAATTCATCCCACAAAGTTTTTGCATTTTTTGTATCTTGATAAACATCATACAGATCATCAGAGAGAGCACTAAGGATTCTATTATGACAATGATATTCTAATTCTTCTTTTGTCATCTTCTCCTTAGTTTTAGAAGTGGTTTCAGTAGTTTTATCAGGTGCGGTTTGATCTTCTAGAGCAGAAACTAACCCTAAAACAGTTAACCAATATTTAAGTTGTCTTTGCCACCTCTTAAAATTTGTCCCATTAAATTTTCCTGGTTTAACACTATTGGTTTCTACACTATCCATCTCAATTCCAATGAACAATAATGAAGCAATAAAATCTGAAATTTAAATGTAATAGAAATTAAGATTGAATAATAATCAAACAATTGGTAGACAAACTTAAAGAAACAAACGTGCCAAGTTTATGACAAAATATCTAACGGTTACAGAATCTGATGTACTTAATTGACTTTTAAAACTAATTTTATTAAGATTTTAAAATTTGTTTGAAGTTGGTAAACAAAACGTGTGAGCAATTAAAACACAAGCAAAACTGAAACGAGTAACTAAAACTTTCCAACAGTGGTACTTAAGGTTTTTAATAATTTTTTATTTTTTTTATTTTTTTATAAATGAAAAACCTTAACTTTGGACTTTAAAGCTGTAGTTTTGAAAAACTTATAGACAAGCAATAATAGGAAAACGCAGCTAATGAAGACAAAGAGTATTTACTATTTGGAGAAATTTATAGCAACAACAAATACAGTAAGAATAAATTTTAACATACAAAGGCTTTAGATTGTTATTAAATAGTGTGGTTTTTCCTTCTTTTGTAAAACTTTTGTAATTAAAAGAAAATATATTTTCCTTTCCTATAAAATTCCTATACAAAACTTTTAGATATAAATAATATATAAAATAAAGATTAAACAGTAAAGTAAAATAAAGAGACAAATAAACAAATAAATAAAAGACAAGATTAAGAAAGCAAGCCTGGTATAGTGAAAGCACGTCAAAGACGCTGTCCTAAAGCCTTTGTAGCCTCCCTACGTGCAGGTAATGACGGTCTACAAGACTCCAAGATACGACCCCAATACACAGGCTTAAGATCCGCTATAAGCACGTTCACAGTCGGATAGAAATCTCCAAGCCACAGAACCGTTGCCCAAAAATAATATAGAAAGTATGGAATATATGAAAGTATGAGAATAGAGAAATCTGATTGTAGCAGTTGAAATGTGAAGGAGGAGAGGCCTTTTATAGGCATCCAAAACTCGTAACCACCAGACACATTTAACCAGAAAAGTTGGTGGCAATGAATAGAAAATAAAAACTGAAAATTAAACAATTTGTAACTCATATAATATATAAAAGAAACAGCCAAAAATTAAAACAGAAAATAAAACGTTTTAAAATTTAAAATCCTTTCAAATAATAAGGATTCTGGTGTTTATCTTTTACTTTGCACTCTTATTTTCAATGATTTACTTCTGGAGTTTACGATTAATCTACTTTTGGAGCTGTGATAAAAAACAAAAACAAAAACATGGTGTTTGCTAGCCAGCTATAGATATATAAAAACCAAGATCTGAGCTCATGAAAATGTGTCAAGTAGCCTACTTTAGGAATTTTGAAGTTGCATAACTTGGAAAGGCTCAGAAAAGTTATTAAATGAAACCTTGCAAAAGCTGTCAAATGTGATTTATGGGGAGCTCTGGTTTAGGGCAACCACAAAGGTCCAGCATGAAATCGTAAGAATAAGACATAATCTTGAAAGTTAATTTGGCTTCTCTCTCTCCTTTTTTGACCTTTCTAATTGTCCTACCAAACATTCATCCATGCAAGAATCTTCTCAAGGCTGACCTTTAAGAAAGTTTTGTAAGTAAGAATTAGTGTAAAGTCATGCACAAACCTGAGAATTTATATTTTTATCAACTTCCCCCTAACAAATTTCAACTTTTGGGGTAAAATCCCATCCTATTTTGATCAAAGTCCAAAGTTGAGGAGTGAAAACAACATTAGCTTGCACTTTGGATCGCCTTTTAATTTTTTTTAATTTTTTCCTTTTGGACTGATGTGATATTATGACCAGCATTCAGAATCAAATCTTGTAAACCACATCCATTTTCTACCATTAATTCTTGAAAGTGATGGTCACCACCAAATAGAACAAACAAGAAAGACATAATTTTTTTTTTGTCTGACTTCCACCCTCACTCAAGCCCCAATGTGTGATGGGAAGAAGCTAAAAAGTGACTAAATAGCAAGTTAAAACAGATAAGAGTATGATTGGCCCCAAGAAAAAAAACAAGTAAAGTATGAGCAAACAATTATCTGGAAACCAATTATCCGTAATAGCATTACAACTAAAAGTAGATTTTAAGTTTTAACTGTAAAAGTAGCCAGCAACCCCCCTGCTTTTTGGCATTGCTTAACAAATTTATTACAATTTAGAACTAACTAACTACAATCTAGACATTGAATATGACAGAACAACATCAGTTAATAATTTGAGATGCGTTTAACTGGTCGATTTGTTCTTGATAACTCTATTACGAGACAAGTCGAAGAAAATCTTTAACGCTCGTAGTAATGAATCTGATTTTTTCTTGTTGCGTAGAGCTTACATGCATGCACGGTTAAAAACCATCCACTACTACGTGGTGATGAGTGGACAAATATTCCTACTAGTAGTAAAACCCTACCTATATTTAAGACTATTCTTATTGTCCAATCTTAATAATTTAGGCCCTCTAACTAAATGAATGAATGGACAAGGAAGACTTAATAGAGATCCAAATCGCTGAGATATAAACAGTCTATCCGAATTGCATGGCTGTTGTTGTTGTAGGCTTTGTAGCACTCTTCCTATGCCTGATGTGTATTTTTCTTGGTGTGTCAGTCAGTGTCAGCAGCTAGTTGTCATGACAGCTTCAGCCTTCCTCAAATAAAATTTGAAATAACCCACTTTGATATGGAGCTAGTCGTCGGAAGTCACATCGAATTATGTGCTAATTGATTATATCCACAGTACAACCTGAAGGATTAACATCTAATTAATTAATTAATTAATTAATGAGTTAATTGTTATTATATTCCAATTATCTACTCCACTCCACTCTCCATGTTTCATTTTCGTAGTAGGGAATGCACTAAGTTAGCTTGGGAGTGTGCCACATCACCATCTTCAAGTGGACACATCACAAATACCCGTGGCAAAATACCAATGAAGCCCCAAGGCCACCTCAGAAGACAAATTAACTAACGCATACAAAAACAAAGGGTATTTATGTCATTTCACTAAGGGTGGATTCAACAACCCTTTGACCTTGTAAACATACGTCTACAAAGACAACTACAAGTCAACATAATTTTAATTTGTTTGTTCGGTAGGACCTGCCATTCCATATTTCCATTTGCTTTCTTCCCAAATGCGTTCAAGCTCTTCTCTCAATGAACATTTTTTTTTAATTAAAAAAAAACACACACACACAACACACACCAGGACTCATTGAAAACCCAGCAATCTATATATTTCCTGAAATCCCTCTTGGGAAACTATTTAAACCCAATTCTTGTTCTTAATTTATCACTCAAAAAAAATTCTACTTGGGTTTCTCTCCCTTTGCTCTCTCTCTAGATTCTTCTCTGTCTTCTCTCAAATTTCACTTGCTAATATACCAACTGCTGCAAAAGAGAAGCAAGCTATGGACAAACGCCGTAGAAAACAAGCCAAGACCAGCACCTGTTGCTCTGAAGGCAAAGCATCCAATTCATTCTCTCTCTCTCTCTCTCTCTCTCTCTCTCTCTCTCTCTCTCTCAAATCTCCTTATGGGTTCTCCCTCTTTTCCTTTGTTTTTTAATGGGTTTTCTTCATTTTTTGCTGTCTTTTTTTTGTTTCTTTCTTGGACAAATGCCATCCTCTGTAAACTCACTTTTCTGGGTTTTTATCTTTTTAGAAAACAACCCAAAAAGATGCGAACTTTGGGTTAACTTCTTGGTTTCTTTTTTGTTTCGGTCGGGTATTTCATAACTAAAGTCTTTGTGTTCTCTGTTGCATGTGTTTTGCAGAGGTGAGCAGCATTGAGTGGGAGTTCATAAACATGTCTGAACAAGAAGAAGATCTCATTTGCAGAATGTACAAGCTCGTCGGAGACAGGTAACAAATAAAAACGTCAAATTCAAAAACACTGGTTTTTATTTTTTATTTTTAGGCAAACTATAAATGTGCCTTCAAACTTGGGAAGCAGAGCAATAGAAATAGTTATTGAAATGTGGGCACACCATAGCCAAGTACAAAAAGTTTCTCATACGATATTATCTGAGTCGGTGAGTGAGTCCCGGGTGACTCCTCCTCATGCATTTATGTAGTTCATGATCATGTGATCATCTCTGATTGTGATGCCTGCCAGCCTTCACATTTAAGAATTCTTCACAACATGCTCTAGTGGTCATGGAAAGTGTTTTAAAAACAAAAAAGAACTAAAGAACTTTTGTTGTCGTTCTAAAATAGTAATCTTGCACACTTTCATACGTACAAATTTATTTATGATTTTAGAAAGGAGAATGCTGGTATGATTTTTTTAGAGTGTCAATAACATGTCAAGCTCAAATAATTTTTCTTGTTGAATCTCTTCACATAGTTTTCTTTGTTATTTGAGAGAGAGAGTGGGGATACAAACTTGGTCCAACAAAGTGGAGAGAGAGAGAAGTAGCTAGACCAATTATTGTATATGAACATGATTTGTCCAGAAATGTTTGTGGTGTGCAAGAATCCTATGCAACCAAATAATGCATTTTTAATCTTATTCAGTGCAAAACATTGATGTGGTTTTGGAAAATGGTTTTCTAACTAGACTTGTATGTAGCTCAGGTGGGGTCTTATAGCTGGGAGGATTCCGGGCAGGAAAGCAGAAGAAATAGAGAGGTTCTGGTTAATGAGACATGGAGAAGTATTTGCAAGTAGAAGAAGAACAGAGCTTAAGAGTAACAGTAAGAGATACAACTCCTGATGATGATTTTCCATGTCAGTCGGCAATCCAGTAGGTTAGGCTAAACAAATTTAATTTCCCCTTAACTCCTACCCATGTGTTTATTTTTCCCTTTTAACTCCTACCTATGTGTGTCACAAGGTGAGGTAGTTGCAACTTACCTGTTTGGCTAAATTTATTGAGACTTCTCTCTCTCTCTCTCTCTCTCTCTCTCTCTCTCTCTCTCTCTCTGTGACACATATTCACGCTCTCCCTCAACAACACAACACACAGCACAAGCAAAGACAACATTGGAGAATGATTGAAATTAATAAAAGATCTTTGAACTTAGATCCCCCATGTACTTCACATTTATGGTTGGCCTATGCAGCTTGTCTCTTTCAGCTTTTTCTGCAGATGATTGGTCACTATCTTCCCCTTGCAACTTTAAATTGGGGTTCATCAAAAGTATCGTGGACCAAAAAACTTATCCAAGTGTATTTGGTCTCATGTTATATCAAAATTGGCTTAAATTCCTCATTTATACTACGGTGCCAACACATCATCACAGAAGAAAGGACTTGCCGCTGAGCCGAGATTACTAACTAATACTAATTTAATACTAATGAATATGCTAATATAATATAAAAAGAATTGTATTTTCTGTATACTTTCTTCGGTCTTGTTTCTATCGCCGGCGTTACGCAATCATTCAGATCATATAGATATCCGATTAACACAACATAAGTCATTAAAAGGATCTCCGAGACCCACTAAAGCACAAAAGCTAGGATCTTTTAAAAAATGGATTTCTATTCGAAAAGTGCATAGCCACATTTGATTAAATATACAAATCAAAGTCCTTGACAATGAACTCACTTAAATGTGTAAATACCACTTGGCCCTTATCATCAGCATTCTTCCATACAGTACCACAAATACCCGAAGGATGGTTGCCAAAAAAACACTGTATACAATCGTTCCATGCAAGAATTTCAATTCAATTCAATTTTTATCTTGATCATGGGGGAAGTTACTTCAGTGTGAACAGCAATAAAACAAGCGTTCAGTGATATCTCTTCCCAAAAAAATTCTGCTGATTCAAATTTAAGAGGTAAAAGTTGACAAATTTTCTATCCTCGTACGGTTTGTAATTAAAGCCACAAAGATGAAACTTGAATGCTCTTGCTGTGATGCTGTGATGCTGTGGTCCTACTGATCTTCAATGAAATTGGCTTTTGTGGCGTCCATATGTGCCAAGGTTTGCATATAAGCCTTAGCCTGGCTGGACTATCCACCAGTCCAAAAAGTAAAGCTATAGCTTTCAGGTTGACATGTCGAGAAACTGTGCGCCACAGTTCACCGCCTGTGACCACAACCCCCACCCCAAAATGAATAGACCCTCCATGCTGCCATGCTCTTACACTTTTGTACCAAAATCTGGTTATGGTTGTTGGTTAGGGTAAGTTTAAACTAAACGGGTTTTGTTACTGTCAGATCGTATCTCACGGTAACATTTCAGAAAGTGATTGTGTGACATAAGTGGTTCGGATAAAAATTGTTAATCATATAGTTTAATTTGGAAAAAATTATTCCTCTCAACTCAACAAATGTCGTCTATAAAACTTATGATTTTCTTCAATAAAATGGAAATTGAATTGAGTGTCGTTAAATTGAACTGTTTATTGTTAGTATTTCCTTGAGATATTTTTACACCACTAGATTTACCACATGGGGATTGGAGCCCAAGGGCTCAGGACAATGTCCAAAAATAGGCGCATAGAACCCATTCTGTGAAGCCGAACGACACAACCCAGGCCTGTCAAGATGACAGAGATAGCAATAAGTGTTGTGGGCTTACAAAGAAAATAAAATTTGAACCCAGAATAGGTATTCCTCTAATCCTTGAACACAAATTGGCCAGTAGGTTTTCCTCTCTTGGTATCATGGTCTAAAATATCGATGATATCGATAGTCCAAAAACATAGAAATTTCAATGGAAATATCGGGATATTATCGATATTGATAAAAATGAATAAAAACTATGGAAATTGTGATAAAACTTGGAAATTTTTATTGAAACTTTGGAGAATGTTTATTTAGTCAATTATCTATTAGTTTATAATAATAATAAAAAATAGAAGGAAATGCATTACAAGATGGATTTAACTGATTTAAGTTGATTATACAATGAGCTGGCAAACACTATGAATGTAGAAAATATGTAGTAATTAATGAAAAAAAGATTAAACACACCATAATCATTTATATATAATGATTTACTACAATATTTTACACTTTATACATTGCATGGTAAGATACATGAGTGACTGAGTACCACATAGAGTTCATATGAGGTTCAAATTTTTCATTATCTTCATCATCTCTATGTGTAGAGTAAGTGTATTATGAAGAGTATTCATCAAATGATAAATCCCCAAAATAGTTTACATGAAATTGTTAACATGCCACCCATATAAATATAAATATTTTAGCATATTATCACTAAAACATAAGTGATATATGGTGGTTAAAGTGTTGGAGGAGTAAAATGTGAGGGGTTCAAATCCCCCCTTTGTGTTTTTTTTCCTCCCTTTTTCCTTTTTTTTTCCCTTTACATCCATATTTTCGATATTTTAGCGATGTTACACCGATATTTTGACAAAATATTGCTGAAGTGTGAGCGAAATTATCGACATTGATATTTTTCGATATTATCGTCGATATTGTCGATATTTATACGATATGTACATGAATATATTCCGAAATATCCGTGATTCGAAAAAACCGAAATATCGTCGATATTTCATACTATGCTTGGTATTTGGGGGATTCATGCTCTTAGATAAATGGGGCTAAAAATTGAGGAAAATTATTCTGACGGGTGAGTATCATCCATTTATATTATAACACGTGTATATTGCACATTTCAACTTTGCTTTCCAAATATGTTTATTTGACCAATGGCATTACCACTAGGGGAGGAGTGAAAGCCATGCCCGAAGTTACCTTGGCGCCCCACCCCGTTTACCAACCCTTTTCACATTTGAGAAGAAGAAAAAAAATGATATTATACAAAAAGAAAATCACAATTAAGCTTGTGTTGGCTCTCCATTTAAGATGATAAAGTCATTTCCATTTTCACAAGGTTGCGAAAGAAAAGGAGAAGGAAAGGTGTCTTTATTGACTAGGGAAGAAAGGAAGGCAGCAACTATTGAAAAGAGTCTATTTTACCGTGTTTTTCCATAGCAATAGTGCTTTCTTTTTCTACCGAATTTCGGGAATTACTAATAACGCATTACTAGTCATATAATTTGATTTTACTTTTTAGTTTTGACTTTAGGTTTTTGCCAAATTAATTTTACTTAACTCTTCTTTATTTCCTTGTATTTTAAATTCAAAACTAAGTTATAAATTTTGGCGCACCCCCAATCTAAAATTATAGATCCATCATTGATTATCATCTTAGGCTTTACGAGACATTTATGTTGCCAATGTGATGATTTTTTTATTTTATATAAGTGATGTTTTACTTTAATCTAATCTAAATTATGAAGAATGAGATTCTAACTCATGTGTAGAATGAGGAGCACATCCGTTGTAGTCAACTTTACTAAATCTATGTCTGCATGTGATGATTTGCTGTGCCTGTGCCCATCAACTACCACATAGGCTAGGACAAAAAAAATTGGGATCTTCACAATTTACCTAATCACTACTATAGTTTGCTAGGTTTAGAGTTTAGAACTTATAGATTAATGATAAAATTGCACATGTGTTATAACATGGTTGTTGAATATACACAGTCGTTTTCCTATTCAATGAATTAATGAAATTAAGCATTCAAATCTCCTACAGATGAAAGAACCAACATGAACCCCTTGAATACTCTGACTGAGTCTTTGAAACCGAGTGGCAGAACTTGTTCCTTGGGGGCTGTGTCTCGTTCTCATCTGACATAATTATAACGCTTTTAGCTTTTGACTTGGTTAAATCCAAACCTAAAAACCCAAAGAAAATTTAAAAATAATAATAAAGACAAAATGGGACGAGCTCAGAAGAAAAAAAAGAAGCCCCACACGGTTTGCATCAAGACCCAAAATAAAGAACTGGAGAGTTGTAAGGGACCCAACAAGTTCATGCTTCATTTCGCTCTTCCTCTCTTTCTGCACAATCGCTTGGCAGGTTCTTGGAAATTTATATTAACTCGGTTTTAGTCTCTTTTGATATTGACAGGAACGGAAAGTTTTGAAAAAGTTGCTCAGTAAATTTGAATGGGGTCCAATAACTTAGAAAATGCAATGTAGACAGCCGACATTCAATCTGCTAGTATGTAGATTCAAAGATTATCTTTTCCAAATCCATATCATGTCAAGATCTTGCGACTTAGTCCTGATAATTACACAAGTGATGTACACATCAACGCGATCAAGTTGGTTCAAAATTACCAACTAAATCTTAACTTTGCAGTAAGTGTAGAAACAAATTTCAAATTTGAAGTGCTTATTTTGTACGCAACGAGTCTATCTAACCTTTTAATGAAAACAATTGCTTCTATGTCTCCAAGTCTAAATTAGGATGCAACTCGCTATTAACACAAAGTCTTCTTCGGTGCATACTTGAGGCATCCAGATTCTATCGATGACATCAAATATAAAATATTTCAAAGTTACATAAAAACTAAGATCACTTAACTTTTAACATTATTTATTCTTTAATAAGAGAAATACATTCAATATAATGTACCTTGCCGCTTCAGATTTCTTCTGGGGTGGTTTGGAAACCAACATGAGTCATCACTTGACTGACTTGTGAGCAAGGACGGTCCCTAGAAGGGACTAACTTGGGCTATAGCCCAGGTGAGTTGTTATTTTATCAGCCAAAAATTTAATTTAGCCTACCCATGTCTATTAAAAACAATCACGTCATCGCTCATCTAACAATACACTCAAGGAAAAGAAGATAAGACAAACTAATGAATTGATTAATTCATTATGCTGGTAGTTGGATGCTACGGATAAATCCTTGCAGCTCGAAGTTGTGGGTTTGCCTAATGTTGGTGGTGAAAGTAGTCAATCTCTTCCTAAACTTTTTTTTACCAAAAAAACAAAATTTTTTGATTAAAAATATACTTAAAGTTTTTTTTTCTTTTTACTAGTGGATGTACATGAGTATTAGAATGCAAATAATTGAGACGAAAAAAGGGAAAAAGGCACATGTTGGCCGATGAAGACATTTACAATTTACCAACTTTCACAAGCCTATCAAATTAAAATCCAAATTTCCCTAAAAAGAAAAAAGCATATCCGATTTGACCAATGCAGGAGGCCTACGAACATAAAAACCAAACAACTTTTTTTATCCCCTGGCAAAAGAGGTTTTAGCATGTGAAGATATCTAAACGGAATAAAATAGTACAAAACTTTGGAAGAATGCCAGCAATCTAGCAGATAGATAAATAAAAATAGTGAAAAAGCCGAAACTCATAATTTATAGGAAAATGGCGTTCTTTCATTTTCACTTTGCTGAATCTCTTTGGACGGATTACCATTTTTCAAAGTATTACAAAGTTATGAACTCATGCTCTGACCGATATATAAAAGTTGTGCACATTCAATCTTTTACTGACCCAAGAAAACTTCTTTGACGTGGTGATTGGTAACAAGAAGGTGAGATGACAATTTTAAAAAGAAATAAGAAAAATCATGCATATAGGACCAAAATACAACATTTTTACAACTTCTTGTGAAGAGTTGTGCTAATTGTCTCTAAATTGATATTTATTCATATGAGTCTATGGCCTGTCGACACAACTTTGATGGACTTAGGTGGTTAAGTTAGAGATAATAAGGGCTTGTTTGAGAATATTTTTGTAAGAATGAATCACTTCTATTCATAAGTGCTTTTTTAGAAGAATGTCAAAAAAAATTATTAAAAATTCAAAGTGCTTTCTGAAGAAGCATCCATTAGGTCCTTCTCTGAAAAACGTTTTGGTAATCCAAAAGTACTTATAAGCAGAAGCACTCTCAAACATGTCATAATTTATCCTCTTACGGAAAAGCTAAAAGAATTTGAATATGAAATTTTGTGAGTTATTTTGTGTTTAAAGAGTTTTATAATATTTCTCGACTTATGTTAGTTTTTAGTTAGTTTTTTCTTGATTCAAATTTCAACACGACCAGATTTACCTAAAACAGAAAGTACAACGACGTTTAGCTCACAACAATTTCTCATGTATTAGTCACAAGATTTTGTTTTATAGCGATGATAAATACATTTGTTGTACATAAGAACTTTCAAAATCTAAGGTGTGAACACAAAATTGGAGAAAGATATAAGGTGTGAACACAGCAGTTGGCTAGAGAACTGCAAAATCAAGAACATATGATAATGATATAACATAGATTAAGGATATGTTCCAATCGCAAGTAATATTTTAATTTGATCGTTTGATGAAGAGTCGAATATATTTAGTAGATAGAATAAATAAAGTAGTGTTCAAGTAGTGGGCAGTTCATGTCTGTGTGCGCGCGTTTTCGAGCCCACATGGCCCTCCCTTACTCCCTTATCTATCATCATCAACGTAAGCTAAGCTTTTCACATTACGCCACTGCCCTACGTCAGATACCACTACTCTCTCTCTCTCTCTCTATTTATTAAATAAATAAATAAATAAATAAGACTGTCAACCGTTATTATTACAGGTAACAAAATCATATAACAAATGTGAATTAGGTCAGTTAGTCGTTTCCTTGTATCCAATTCGGTATGTTATTGATAATTCTAATGTTATCAATTATATAGATTATTGATTTTCTACATAGTGTTAATTGATAACTCGCTAAAAGAAAGAAATAAAAAAAATCACGTTTTGTTTTTTCATTTTCGTAAGAAAAAAGTTATTGGAAAGTCAGAGATTAATTAAGGCCAGAGGATAAGACCAAGAATCTTCGCTTCCTCCTTCCGCGTAGTCGCTCACTGATCACTACTAGTTTAGAGAGAGACAGAGAGAGAAATGGTTTTTGTGAGTATAGTGAGTTGTTGTTGGGGCTGAATTGGTCAGCAATGGACTTTTCTCTTTACATCTCTCTCTCTCTCTCTCTCTCTTGTCTGCACTAACCAAATGATCATCACCACAAAACTAGACTAATTGTGAGAAGAAAAGAAAAGAAAAGAAAATTAATTAATTGGTTTTATTGAGTCAAATCTGTCTCTTTTCCATCTCTTTTCCCAGCCCCTTATATACATCCCCATCTTCCTCTCGACTCTTCCTCGCACTTTCATTAAGAAATCAAGAAACACATGTCTCTTCTCTGCATAACATAGCTACCTATAGCTTCACCCTCTACTTTCTTCATTAATTTACAACTCTCTCTCTCTCTCTCTCTCTCTCTCTCTTCCTACTTAAGCAATCTCCCTCCCTTACTACTTAGCAAACTACCCATCAATCTTCAATTGGAGCTTTGGTGTTTCTGATCAAAACCACTCTCACATTCAGCCAATTTTACTTCTTTCAGCTAGCTAGTTCTATGTTTGTGGCTTCTGATTGGTTATTTTCCTTGCCCCTAACATTCAAAGTGTGAAACTTTGCCTTGATATGATCTAAATTCTACCTCAATTTTAATCCATCTGCTCAATACTTGCACTTGTTCAAGTATATAGTACTTGAACCATTTTCTGGTTCACATTTCTAAATGGAGAAGAGGAAGAGCATGGAGTGGGAGCAAAAGACTCTAACCAGTGAGCTAACCCAAGGGAAGGAGCTGGCAAAGCAGCTTATGAACTATCTTCACCCTTCTGCATCCCAAGAAAAAAGAGACTTTCTGATTTCAAAAATACTATTTTCCTATGAAAAGGCACTCTCACTGCTCAAAAGGGATGTTGGTTCTGATGGAGAGTCTAACCACATCCCTAACACCATGTTGGAATCACCTACTTCATTTGGCAATGGCAGCCCAATGAGTGAGATCTCTGACCAAGATTGCAAGAACAAAAATGTCTTCAAGAAAAGGTATTTTTTTAACTTGGATTTTAATTTTATTAATTAGGGCAATTTTGGATTAGCCTAATTATGGTTTAAATTGGTCAGATTTTGACTGTTGGGATTTCTGTGTTGCAGGAAAACAATGCCCAGGTGGACTGAAGAAGTGAAGGTTTGCTCTGGAACAGGGCTAGATGGGAGTCTTGATGATGGCTACAGTTGGAGAAAATATGGCCAAAAGGATATCCTTGGAGCTACCTATCCAAGGTGAGAACTTTTAGTCATTAAAGTTTGAACCATTACATGTTCAATTTACATAATTAATACAAATAAAATAACACAAAAACCACCAGTGGTTGGATTGGATGCTCCACCAGTGAAGCCTCTAGTGAAAAATACCTTTTTCTATTTATCACATGAGCCTGATTAATCACTGGTCAGACATCAGCTCTTGTCCTCAAATCTACGCAGCACATCAAAAATTAGAGTTCTTATTATTGCTAGGATGAAGAGGCTATTTTTTCCTCTCTTTTTTTCTTCTTCTTTCACGAGTGGCATAATGAAGACAAAAAGTACTTGAACTTATCTAAAGGTGACTTGTATCTGGCTCCATAAGCTGGCAGTCTTTAAATCAATTCACTCTATCTAGTTGTTTGCGTTTTTTTGTTTGGCCTCCAGGATTGACAATTCTTCAGCCTAGACAGTACCTTTTAGCATTAAAAATAAAAACGCCATGTCCTGGCAACTGGTCCAACTCCCAAAACCGGTCCTATTGGCATCTTGTGTTAAGTTCGGTTTAGCTCAACCGGGACCATGTTGATATTTAGTGAAGAAAATGTCATGTAACATTTCACTGTTGATGAATTTGGTCTAAATTGCATGTAAGATTTGCAGAGATATTCATATGAATGATGTTGATGTCCCATATTTCTCAAAAATCAGGTTTTTGTTTTCTTTGTCTTGCAGAGGCTACTACAGATGCACACATCGCGGCACGCAGGGTTGTTTAGCCACCAAGCAAGTTCAAAAGGCAGATGCAGACCCATCAACCATGGTGGTAACCTACAGAGGAGAACATACTTGTAGCCAAGTCCTTCAGTTAGCCAGGTCATCAGCATTATCCCTAGCTAAACAAGCTTCAACAGGAAATCAAAATGCAACCCGAGAAGCAGAAAAACCGAAAGCATCACAAGAGATGTCTTTCAGTTTTGGGGCAGGGCTTAGAGTTAAAACTGAGGATTTGGACACAAGGGAAGATGATATATTTCCATCATTTTCCTTCCCTTCTACACCAATTGAACCTGAAAATGTCGGAGACCATATTTTCTGTGCAACTTTGATGGAGAATGATTTGATGGATGGCTATTCTCCCACATTTGCATCTCCAGCAGCAACATTTGAACCAGACTACTTGCAGGCCACGAGCAGTTTTGGACTTGGCCTTGATTATGTGCAGACTTCAGAATCTGGTCTCAGTGAGATCATCTCAGCCCCAACTTCAGTGACCAACTCACCAATTGGGGATTTTGGTTTCTCACTTGATGATTTGGATTTTCACCATTTTGAAAACCCAGAAAGTTTTGCTTACGAGTCATAACTTTCCCTTACCCTTTAGAGAGAGAGAGAGAGAGAGAGAGAGAAGGAAATGATGCTTGTGAAGAGAGAGTTTTCCTCTGCCTAGGTAGTTAAATTCTAGATTTAGTGTGCTAGTTACTGTTTCTATGTGTGTCTCTAGTTTATGTTTTCCTCACTTCCGGTCTCATTGATTTGTAAATTCTTTGGTCCAAGAGGATTAGTTCTTCTGATTGTAACAAATAAAATTCCATTCCTGATCGAATTAAACTGTTCTAGATTTTCAATATTCTGAAATCAGTGGTGCTGGTGTTCCTTGAGATAATAAGATTAAAATCTTCATCTTTTTAACTGGCGCAAGAGACTTATCAAAGGCATGCACTTTGTTTGGCATGGTCATTAATTGGATACAATAATTTCTTGGCTGCAACCAAACTCGCCCATCTTCTGTACCCGCTTTAGAGTCTCATCCAATATCACCTTGGCATCAAATTTGTACTCGAATCCGATTTTCTCTAGATTTGTGGAACCCCAAACAATTTCTCTCCCTAAATCTTCCACAAACCTGAAACAAAACATGAACAAAATCCTCTGTTAGGGTTTAACCATAGAGGCCAAAATCTTGTAAACCTTCCCAATAATTGTATGTATAGTAAATAACTTACTCTTCAGCTATTCTGATATCTGGGTGATATTTTTTTCCAGTGAGATGCTATTTCTGCAGATGACAAATATGCACAGGTACATAGAAATCTGCCACTGATGCAGGGCTTCCCTATGCATATAGCATGTGTTAAGATTTCAGAGGGACGGACTCTTGGCCCACCACTAGCAACATCGATATTGTCCCCAACTTAATCACTTATTTAGCAGGTGTGAAGTTTTATACAAAAAGCCTCGATGTTATTAGGAGTGGAACCATTTATTATATGAGACTTTCTATTTATTTATTATATGAAATTTTCAGTTTTGAGTCCAAAATCCTTCTCCAATCCATGTATTTTGGGGGGTGAAATTTTGAGTAATGTCAAATTTGGGGTGGAATTCCAGTCCAAGTTTTGCCTGGATTGGTATTTTATGTGGAGCCCAAACTTTGCTTTTTTTTTCTTTTTTTCTTTTTTTCTTTTTGACTTGGAAGCCCATGTGAAGAAGAAAAGTTGATGGCCCCGCGGGATAGCTTTGCTATCTGGCTAGCAGAGTGGTGCGACACAGCTAGTAGCCTTGTGCAAGTTTATTCCAACGGCTAAAAATTCAGAAGTTGTGCTATTTTTTATTCCAACAGTTATATTTTACATCAACGATCAGTATGGCTCATGTGCAACAACATCATTCAAGAGACTCTCATGCGGAACTGCCTGCGAAAGTCCACTGAGGGATAAAATTGTCTTTCACAGAAGTAATCCTCCATGAGACTCTTATGACGTTTTTCTCTCTTCCGATTTTGTATTCACGGCCTACAACAGAACCACCATATTTGGATTGTTAAGCATATTGCTCCAATAAAAACGTATGGTGTTGAACGACCATTGCAACCCTCTGTTGATGAAGGTCATCATCATCAGAATCATCATCGAAGAAATTTTGTATAGTCTTCCCACATGAATTCATTGTAAGAAGGAGAATGAGAATGAAGGAGATTGTGTGGTCAATTCGGTAGAATAACACTTCTTAAATAGACAAGATAATTTGACTAAAAAAAAATAGACAAGAGAATGAGATGTTTGAAAATAATTAAATGAATATAGGAAAAGATAGGGGAAGATAAGATAATCCAATAAAGTGAGATGAACAAAGATGAGCAATGGTTCAGAACATAATTGAAACAAGACAAGATGGGAAATGGTTTAAAAAATAATTGAATGAATATAGGAAAAGATAGGGAAAGATAAGGAAATCCAATAAAGTGAGATGGACAAAGTTGAGCAATGGTTCAAAACATAATTGAAACAATACAAGAATGGATGAGAAAGGGTTTAGAAAATAATTGAAGAACACAAGTGGAGGTAGGCAAAAGTTCATAACATTATTAAATAAAGATAAATGAATCCAATGAAGTAAAAGTAAAAGTAAAAATAGAAGACAATTATGGCAATGGCTTCAATGAAGGGTTCGAATTATTCCCGGCATACGTATGGTGTTGTACTTGTTTTTATTTTAAAGTGAAATTCTATTATGTTTTGGAATTTTAATTTTTTTAAGTTAAAATATTTAGAAAATTAAATCACGAATGTTGAAACAAAAATAATGTCAAGAAAAATTAATGAGAAAAAAAATTAGGGGTTAATCATTTTTAAACAATTTAATAAAGTTGCAAACTCAAATTATGAGTCTGCAAGGTTGGAAGAAGAAAAAATTGAGTCTTAGAAATACATGAATAGTTTATTTTGGAAGGTGAAAATTTGAGTTTAACCCCAACATAGTTGGAGATGACCTAATGTATTACTTTAGATGTATTTGCATGTTTTCAGTGGCATTTAGGTGAGTTTCACATGTCAATGAAGGAATAATAACTCATTTATAAAGTATTGAAAGACAGGACATCAATTATCATATAATGAATGATTCCACTACTAATATCACCGAGACTTTTTGTGATAAAACCCCACATCTATTAGGCTTTGTAAGTGATTAAGTTGGGGATAATATCAGTATTGTTATGGCCAGTTTGGCATTGTTGTGCTATGAAAATAATTGATGTCAGATTTGCTATGAGAGAAAGCAGTTTGACGTTTGGTAAACTTTTTGTTAAGAAAGTGTTGTTAGTATTGATTCCCGCATAATAAAAAATAATTCCCACATAATCATTAAATCCAGCGCATCTTCGAAACTGATTCCCGCATAATCAGAAAATGAAAGCACTTCATTACATGTTTTCCTTTATAGCTTTCTCTCACATCAATTTTTAAAAATAAGTGATTTTCTCATAGTTTACCAAACAGGCTGGGCTTCCCAATTTTTTTAAAAAATCACTTATCACCCCAAATAAACAATGCCAAACATGCATTTAGTAGTGGGCTGCTGACCTGTGTCTTTGAATGGAGATGAAGACCCGACAAATTCATGTATTTCTTAAGAAAGTTCATGTATTGTCCTTTTGATAAATGATTCATGCATTTATGGGGTAGATAAATGAACCCATTAATGGGTGGTTGTCCTGTTTTGAAAGGTGATGGATAGCTAAAATAATTTGTACCTGCAAATAATGCAAACCTCAGGTTCCAACTAGTTGAAAAACACAGCTGAGCAGAGCAGCAAAAACCAGGATGGTAAGTTACAAAAACCTAAATTGAAATTTGAGATCCAATTCTAATAGTTTACATATAAAAAACTCATAAACTACAAGGCCTTCTTGGACCAGTTGGTCTTAGAGGCCCAGGTCACCCCTTGTCCTTGCACACTTGATGCAATCTTCTAATATCGTCTTGGTATCATATTTGTATACAAAACCCTTCTCAATAAGCTTTGTAGAACCCAAGCCAATTTCTCTTGTTGGTCCATCCAAATACCTGAAACCCAATTCCAGATTCTTGTTGTTTAAGCTTGAAATTTAATCTTAAAAAATTGATATAGCTAAGACAAAATCAAGTAAAAAGATCAGCTACTTACTCTGGCTTCACTTGAAGTTTGGGGTAATGTTGCTGGTAGTAACTAGCAATTTCTGCAGATGAAACAGACGAGCTTGCGCATAAAAATCTACCGTTTATTGAAGGATTCTCGATGCAGAAGATATGAGCATCGCAAACATCATCGATGTGTATGATTGGAATTTTCCCAAGTAATTCCTCTAGAAATCTCAGTGATTGGTACTCAATTGCACTGCTTGTAAGCTGACAAAGAAACACCGCAACACTCAAGGGTGTGAATGACAGAAGTGCATCCCCTCCCACAAGGCCACAGGCCAGGGTCACAACTTCAAGTCCGGCATTTTTGCTGTTCCCATAGCTCAGAATTTCTCTCTCCGCCAATGTCTTTGAATCTACATAGGCCTTCAATTATATACCACAAAGATTCAATTTATAAGAAATTTGAGGGACTACTAGTAGGGAAATAATACTGATAATGATCATACAACTTTACCAATATAAGGAACCATTAAATTATCAGTTGGCATAACTTTTGAATTTAAAGGAGCAAATAGATATGATTAGGGCTAGGAGATTTGTATACCTTGAGATGAACATTAGAACAAGCAAATGAAAGATGGAGAGGGGTCCAGCATGTTTCATCCATGAAGTCCCCCAAACCACTCCCATCCTCTTTTAGTGGCGATGCAGCAACCACAGAAGCTGTGTAGATTAGCCTCTTAACTGTTCCTGATTTCAGACAAGACTCTGCAATGCTCTTTGCCCCAGCTATAGCAGCTTCAGTTGTGTTCTTGTACTGCTTTGTAATTTTGTCAGATATATGTGTGTGTGAAACTAAATAAGAGTATAAGTGATCATGAAGAGTGAAACTAAATAAGAGTATAAGTGATCATGAAGGGGGCCAACCTGGGAGTTTTCAGTGTGTTGTAAAGGAGTTGCTACGTGGAAAACAAACTCACAGCCTTCAATCGCATGCTCAAACTCAGTTGGGTTGTAAATGTCAGCTTCAAACAGCACAAGCCTTGCATCTGCATCAGGAAGGCTCTTCAGAAGGCTCACCTTGGACACATCATCTGTGAACATTTCACAAATATATTCAAAGCAATTTGGTTTTATGAGAAACAGAAAAACAGAGAGAAAATAGAGAGGAAACACATACTGTGTTGTCAAACAGTGAATCAAGACCGCATCGTGCTTGCGCTTAATCAATGGTTCTAATTCACAGTTTGACAACCTAAAATACTCGCGGTAGAATCAGTTTAATCAACAACTGACAAATTTATTTTTATTTTTTTTCTGTGTAGCAATACAGACATACCCAAGTTTCTGAGTGTTGCATGGACAGTGTAGCCTTTCTGTAAAAGCTTCTTGACAAGCCAAGAACCAATGTAGCCTGCACCTCCTGTAACACATACCTTGCAGCCAAAACTACTCATCCCCATGGCAAAACCTGTGAGTTTACCAATTGCTGGTTTCTCTCATTCTCCCGTCAAACACCGCATTATATAATAACATACAAGGCCCCTCGCCGGCCCCGCAAACATATCATATTACGATTTAAACAGTTGAATTAAATTAAATTAATCCCACCCTAGGAGATGAATCAGTTTAATTAAACTAAATTAATCTCATCCTTAGAGTGTGGGGACACCTCGTGGTACTTAAATAAAAATAATTTAAGACAAAGTCACTCTCAACTGCAGCTTCAATTGACCAGTCAATGCCACGAAGAGATACAACCATTTTCAAAGACTGCAATACAAGCCCGCAACTACATATATTCCATCGACCTTTGAAATACAACAATTTTCAAAGACTGCAATACAAGCCCTCAACTTTATATATTCCATCGACCTTCGAAATTTCAAACACTACAATACAACCATTTTCTGAGAGAGCGAGAGAAGAGTCGTGTTTTTTTTTAAGAAACTACAAAACATAGATGATGCTGCAACATGATCCTAAATTAATGCCTGAACTCAAGCCACACTCTGTGCAGCCACTAAGCTTTCCATTGGATTTGCATTTCATTTGAAAATAAATACTTGAATTAATAATACTATGTTGGAAAATTTAATATTAACTAATATTGATTTTCCTATTTGAATGGAAATTAATAAAATTCATTGGGTTAAAGACATGACCTTTGGGTTAAAGACATCTTCACATGGGGAGTAACAACTCTTCAAACTAAGGGATGCATTGTTTGGGGTGACAACTCTTCAGACCAAGGGATGCATTGTTTGCCTTTTCAGATTGAGATACCTTTTTAGAAAGGGTATTTCATCATCTATAAATAGAGCAATCCTCCTGCAGTTTTATTCATTCAGTTTAATTATCTACATACAGACTTTTACATATAGAAAGCATTAGAGTTTTCATAAAGAGAGGTTCTTGCATAATTTGGTTCAAAGTTCCTTGTGAATTGTAGTGCTTCTTTCACAAGGAGGGGAGTCGTTGTATCCTGGGAGGCGAACGCTAGTGAACCATAAGCACCAGTGTGGGGCGTAATTCGTCTTAAGGTCAGAGTGTCCAACACTTGCCTCGACTCAATTAAGGTTCTTCTAATTCAATTCTCCTTTTGTAAAAATCTGTTTTATGTGCAGTATTTATTTTGTTTATTTTATAGCAATTTAGCACTCATTTTTCTTACATACTACAAGATCCATATGAACCTTCTCTCTCTCGCATCCATTAAAATATAAAATATTGTTCCTGAAAATATTTGCCAGCATTATAATAATAGAAGATGCAGACCGGTCCGTTGAACGGCTTTTATAAGTCGAAAACAGGGAAGATCATCCTCCAATCCTTTTCCCTACGATTTCCTAGGGATATGATTTTGAGTTTTCTATTTCTGAAATAAAATAAAATAAAATAAGATTTGGGGAACAGTATTCAACTGCTGCACTCGAACTTTCGTCATATATTCTTGGAAGTTCCAACTTTATACTAGCCATGAGTTAATAACACTACATAGTCTAAACCACTAAACGTCAATAACATGTTTACTGATCATGAATAGGTACGAGCGAAAACATAATTACTTCAATACAAATTTATAAATAAACCCAATCCTAGACATGTATTTATAAAAAAATCCAAGCACTATTTAAACATAGAAACACACCCAAAATCAACCCCAAAGTCAACTTTTTGGGTGTGTTTATAAATGGGTTTTGAGTGTGTGTAATGATGGGTTTTGGGTGTGTTTATATGTTTAAATAGTGCTTGGGTTTTTTTATAATTTCAGCCCCCATTTTGGGTGTTTTAGTGAAACTCCCTTTTTTCAACTCGTGATTTCCCCACATCTATTAAACATTTACTAATATAAGAAGAAATCAAGAAATATATGCGTCCAATTTTAAAATCAGTATTTTAGCATCCTCAAAATCCAAAATTGGATCAACTAGGAGCGATAGTTTTTCGAAAAAAAAAACAAGAAAAAAAAAGAAGGAGAGGTAGTTACTCGATTCTTTTCTTCACTGGTTCCAAGTGGGTGAACATGCCATAAAAACACAAGTTGTTTCGAACTCGTGTCTCGAAAAGCTGTGATCTTAATCTATGTTGGATACATTAATAAACTCATTGATGACATGTGTTTTTCAATTTTTATTTTTGGTCGGTTTATTGGTGCAAATAGTTGTCAGTAGCGTATCGTCTTTTGCTCATGCATACGAGAGCATATATGTGTTTTTGTTTTGTTACATTTGGCAGCTCCAGTACAGCGGCTAGCAGTAGATCAAAATATATATCTTTTTGGGTTTGGTTGACACTTCCCAAGTAGTTTCTGGAAATAGAAGGGAAAATTGGCCCGGCGAGGGGGAACTTTCATCTTTGAACCCAATCTTGGATTCTATGCCTTTTTGGGCCAAAACTGAGTTTGACCTTGGAACCAAATGAAATATGTGAACAACCAAAAACAGAGAAAAAAAAAAAAAGAAAAAAAAAAAAAATCCTTTCCAACATGTAAAATAATAGTTTGCTCCATGTGATTGCCGATTGGAAAAATTCTATGCTGAAATAATGATTTGCTGGTTGCATAATTTTCTTTAGAGATGATCATTGAAAGAGAATTGAAAGAGAGACCTTAAATATAAATTGTTTTGATCGTTAATTTATCTTATAGAATAATTCTAGAACAAATGTGTGTGTTTTTTTTATGAGTACTGTTATTTCCAACCACCTTTCTTATTTATTCACCCACCTTATCTTCAAAAATTTAATGACATTTACCTCATTGTAAAATGACTTCTGAGGACAAATTTACAACTCTCTCTCACATGCACCCACCACACCCTTTTTTTTTCCTTCCCAAAACCCACACCCATCTCCAATCAATTTAGGGGGGTGTACAGCCACCTTTGTCACTAGTTCAGGTGTTGGTTTTGGATGGTCTTCCTGGACCTCCTTAATTGTAATGCTTTGTGGGGAATTCCTCTTAGCTGGGGCATAGCGCCTCCAGATGAAAATTCCTCTTTTGAATGCTCTGTACTTTGGCCCCAGTGGCGTTGGAATGATACATATCTATTCATTTTGGCTTTCGTCTAGCGACGGAGAAGTGAGGGTTGCGATGGGAAAATTAAATTGGTGGTGAGAATGGCTACGGATGGGAGAAGGAGAGGTGGATGTGGGTGTGATGGTCATCGTGTTAACTATTGGGTTTTCACCCGAGGAGGACGTTGAGGGGGAGGGCAAGGGCAACTTGGGGTGGGGGGGTATTTTAGGAATAATAGTGGGTGGAAAGATAAGTTTGGATTTTTTCAAATTGACATGGTTGATGAGAAAATAAGATGAATTAGGAAATAAGAAAAATGGATGAAAATAACAGCACTCTTTTTCCTTTAACCGGAATATCCTTACTATAAAAAGACTCGTAAATACAAAACTAAGTTAGCTAGCAAGGATTTGTTAAAATTGCAACCATCCCCCCTCCACCACCACTATCAAAGAAAATTAATATTGGAGTGGACTTGGAGATGTGGGGAAAAATAAGATAAAGTGGAAAGAAGAAGAAGAAAGGATAATGTGTCACCCAATTGGTAAAGTATACGAAGAGATAATTTAAAGTTAGAAAACAAATTTTTTTATTTTTCTCAATAAATAAATGAAAAAAGGCAAATCCAATTATTGTAAACTTTTGACCCTCCATAAAGCTTCATCATGATGGCATTTTAATTACGGCCCTTTAATTACCTACCAATTTTCAATCTAAGGTGATGTGTAAATATCTTCTAGATGAAATCATGGTAATGGGCCTCAGCTATTGAATCATTATGCTCTCTTTGACGGCTCCTCAATAATGAAGCAACTCATTCCATTTGCTAGACTTTCTACTTTGATGGCCATCTTGAAAGATTGAGAAACCTGCAAGTCAATATCATAACCCTTCAAAGGACTATTAGATTTGCAAATACTACCTGCTTATTTTGACAAATATACAATTATTACAGGTAATTAATACGATAATTGATCATCCACATGCACGGAAGTGAGTAATAAACATTATATAATGATAGAATAGACTAATATCAATTACAAAAATACACGTGAGAAGCAAAAGGAGAAGCAATTGAAGTTGACCTCAATTAAATACAGCCGAGTGCAACTCTAGTTGTAATTGACCGAGCAATACAAACAAAAAGGAGATGCAATTGTACACACACACAATCGTATTTTCTATCACATGTGTCTTTTCTAAGGTGAACCATATATATCATTATCATCACTTATTCGTCAGCCTGCACAATCATAATTACTTTTTCCTATTTTGCATCAACCATAATTACTTGATTGTACAATGGCTTAGCAAAAGTTGGATTCAAATTCTCTGCTCTGATTTTTTCTGTCATGATCTGCTTTACTTTCACTGTAATACTGCCACATCATTAAAAAAAACAATCCAAATGTAGAGAATATAGCACGTGTATTTTAGAAATAAATAACATATATTTTATATATTTTTTACACAAAGTAAAGGCAATAAATAGCATTCTCTCCAATCAAATTGAAGCATGGTTATGGTCACGGTGAGATAGAGAAAGAGAGTGGCTGGGTGGGTGCGCCTGCATCCAGGTCAATTTGAGAGAAATGAGAGTTTTTTTTATCTTTTCATATTTTAGTTTTAAACTTTTAATTTATTAATTGATATTTTGATATTATTCGTATTTTTCAGTTAATTTTTATATATATATATTTACTTTCACTGGGGGGTAAAGCTGATGAGAGATGGAGAAGACCAAGAATAGGTCAAATTCGATCAAAGGTGGAACTGGTTGTTGTCCAAAAGTTTGACAAATCAGATAATTATTAAGTGTATGTTCGTTGTTTAGTTGATGAGGAACAAAAAGAAGAAGAAAAAAGATTTGTCTTTCAACAGGACAATACACGAAGAAGAAGAAGAAGAAGAACAGAGGACAGAAGAGGAAAAAAAAAAGATGACAGAACACGAAGAAAAAACAACTTCAGACGTTAAATATCCCGTCAGTTGGGTGTTAGGTTTTTTTTCCCTTTTTGAATTAAGAGTAAATAGGGTGCAGTTTCTAGGAGGTCATTTTCCTCTTTAAACAATTACAATAATGCCATTGCTCTTGCCTTTCTCTTTCTCCTTGCCTTTAAGCATTGTGTGACATAATGAATAGGAAAGTTATAAGTTAAAAAGCTCATCTTCTAGAATATATCACCTTTGAGTTTAGAAGAGATTTAAATATCGTCATTGACTTTTACTATGTCTCATTTATTTCTCAATATGATCACCTAAAAATCCTTCGTATATATTTCTCGATATAAAATAGCTTTCATTCAATAATCAGATAGCATAATACACTGAAAAGAAGACAAAAGGATGTGCAAGCTTGGGCCTATATAAAAAGACCTTTAGCATAAAAAAGCGCCAAACAAATTGTCCGTATTAAAATTCATGTATTTTTCTGTCCAATCAAAATTTTGAACATTAAAGGCCTCTCATACTCTAACTCATGTTTTCGGTTTTTGCTAAGAATTCTTATATATTTAGTAGTAGCTACTAGCTAGACAACCACATGTGATGTGGGGATTCATACTTTTAATTATGTATTTTACCTCCCAAATATTAATTGCAAAGGACTTGCCCTACCTTCAATGGCAGCCAACCCTCATCGCAACTTGGGTGCCATGACTTTATTGTGATGTAACAAATTTCTGCCAAATTGGGTCATCCCCTTGGGCCATTACTCTGTGTACCAATATTAGGGCTGCATCCATCTCACCAACTCCATAGATTAAACATGAAATGCTTGTTCTATACATGCTCCATGGTATCTCACAGTAAACCAACAAGTATTATACTAACATGAAAGGAAAGAAAAAGAAAAAGAAAAAGAAAAACATAGGGGGTAGGGGGATGCACGAAGAAACTAATTCAAGACTAAATTTTCAATTGGAAAATTGGGTTTTCCACTTCGTCACCACATGAGCGAGTGCCTTTGTGGAAGCCCCATCCTCACTCAGAGCTTTAGCGGCGGCATCTTTCAGGTCCTTCATTCGGTTTCTGAGCCGCTTACCGTCCTCGCCTTCCATGAGAGCCTGAACCACCAGAGCAATTTCCTCCCTACCCACCAGCCCATTTTCACTGGCTTTGGGCCTCAATGCCACTTTTATGTCCTCAGTGAACATCACAGCGTTCATTTTCTGCTCGGCGTACAGCGGCCAGGCCACAAGAGGCACGCCATTTACAACGCTCTCCAAGGCCGAGTTCCAACCACAATGGGTCAAGAACCCTCCTGTGGACATGTGGCCTAGAATCTGGGCCTGTGGGGCCCAATTGGGGACCACCAGGCCCCTCCCCTGGGTCCTACCCAAAAATCCTTTTGGCAAAAACTCCAACGGGTCGTTTTGGCTGTGAACGCTGAAATAGGTGGCATTGGCAGCCTTGTCGCTTGGGCTCCTCACCACCCACAAGAACCTCTGCTCACTCATTTCCAACCCAAGAGCCAACTCATTGATCTGGTCATACGACAGGGTCCCGCCACTCCCGAAGGAGACGTACAGCACAGACCCACGTGGCTGCTCATCCAGCCACTTCAGACACTTGGAAGACTGCTCGTCCAAAGCGTTACTGAACTCCATTTTCACGAGCGGTCCAACCGGGTAAACCGGCGGCTTACCCGGTTCGCTCTCTTGCAACGCTCTCAAAGCGCCGGGCTCCAACTCCGCGAAGCTATTCACCATGATACCGTCGGCCAAACGGTACCGTTTCGAGTGGTGAAGGGCCCATTTGTAGGCCTCGTCCTTACGATCCTGAACCGGGTCGAGCAAATCGCGACCGTGAATCGGAATGCACCCGGGGATTGTGACCGGCTCCGCAAGCTCCCTGTACTCGCACGACGTCGTTTCGTCGAGCTTCGGCAAGTAGAGGAAGAGAGACAGCGCCATGGCCGTGGAAGGGAAGAAAATGTACTTGGAGAGGTTAAATTCTTCGGCGACGTCGAAGGCGTCGGTGCCGAAGAGATCAACCACGAGGCCGACGAGGTTTGCGCGGGAAATCAAGGACTTGATCGCGTCATGGAGGGAGGTCAGGGACCGACTGACGGTGAGGGAAATTAGTGTTTCGATTTTGGAGCCCTGGGGAAGATCGTCGAAGCTGACCGGCGGGAGGAACACGTGGTCAATTGCGATTGGGAGGGCGTCGAGGACGGATTTCTGGGCCTTCGTCGGAGGGCCATCGCAGGGGACGATGAAGGTGACCGTGAAATTGTGGTAGTGGACGACTCGCTTGGCGAACTCGGCGAGTGGGATGAGGTGGCCCATGCCCGGACTCGGAAGAATTGCGATGTGAGGTGGCCGTGGTTGTGCTTGCGCCATGTTTGGCAAAGTGCTTTTTGGTGAAGCGCTTTTGGGAGGGAAGGGGGGTATATGCTATATTTTGTGGGAGTGTGATGAGAAAGAATGATGTGGTGGTGCTGCTTTATATAGGTGGGATGAGGTGTTTTGGAAAAGGCTAATGCAATTTAATTATTTTCTTTTTAGAGAGAGAGAGAGAGAGAGAGACAGAGACAGAGACAGAGAGAGAGAGGGATTAATTGTTAATTGGGATTATTAGGGAGGCTAGTTTCTGGAGTTTAGTGGCGGTTTGTTGTTGTTTGGTTGTGGTTTGTGGCAGTCGTTGTGGAATTCTATTATGGGGGATACTGAGAATATTTGTGCAATGGGTTGAGGTGTGAGAAGGGTACGGCTGTTTCTAGAGAGGTAGAGCTTTCTTGGAATGGTCAACCATGCACTCAAACACATGTGTGAGTGATGTCAATTCATACGTAAGGCTTATGTTATCAACTTTATATCCTTTCTTTTACGGTGGAAGGAAAATATGACATCCGAAACGGAAAATACTTCTCTCATTATTATGTAAGTCGGAGTTCTTGCAGGATTTGGTGGAAGGAGAAATATCTTCTTACAGAAATGAGACAAACAATATTCTCCTCAAAAAGAATATTAAGTTCAGTCGTACGTACCAATTTATAGTATCGGATATATTATCAAATAAAATTTGAGCAATTATCCGATAAATATGACCAAATAGACAATCTACTAAATAGATGATCATGTAATTTGTAACGCTGATTTCCTACTTAATTTGGCATTTAAGATTTGAAATTTTATTTCGAGAAAAGTTTAACGAAGGTGACAAAATAGTTCGAACCACAGTTTATCCCTCGATCAACAATTGAAAACAGTTGATGCACAAAGCATATAATTTTTAATTTTATTTCATGAAATTATCATGTATTAAAAGACCCAACCGAGGTATCTAAAGACCACGTAAAAAATGTGGTCTTTTGGGGGGACTAATAATTGAGTCATCGTTGATATATTATTAAAGGAGTTAAAGACCACATCCGTATTGATCAATGGTCATGTTTGGCCTGCCAAATTAATGTTTTTTTTATTTATAACCAAAATGTTTTCTTTTTGTTGAACAACCCAAATGAATGTGTACCCATCATTTTTATGACATGTGGTTTTAAGAGAAGCCTTAGCATTTTAATGAGCTATTAGTTTAGTTGTATTGTTTTTAACAATATTGAAAGAGATTTCAAATTCGATTCTTTAGTCTAAAAAATAAAAAAGATTATAACAATAACAATACTTCTTTCACAAAAAACAAAAAAATTCCACATCCATGAGAAGGGTTAAATTCTTGTTTAAAATCTTCTCACTCCTCCAAATTATGAAAGCAATATATATAGATTTCTTCAATGCGGACGTGTGGACGTTATTATTGTGCGGACACCATATATTTTATATTACCTCTCCACACTTTTTTTTCTAGCGTTTGCACAGTAATAACAACATGCAAACATCCGAATAAAGGAATAACTATATACATATATTCATCATCCCCTCCATTATCTCCATAAGTTATTAAAACGCTTCATTTTCTCCTCTAATAGATATTTTGTTGACAAAAGAAAAGCACAATAATTGCACCACTAAGGAGAGATTCTTTAGTTAGTTCGAGAAAAGCTCACAAACATATGATGAGGAAGGTTATGTGCCAATCAAACTTGGATAAGCTCAAACATATATGAGAAAAGTTGGGCCAATGAAAATGGAATAATACGTACCTTTTATCAAACACATGATTAATGTGTCAAATTCCAGTGGGGTGAAGGGGTGCGTCTTCACGTTGGCATCAACCTTCAATTTCTTTTTAACACTACTTTTGGATGGTTTGTGAGGTGATATGGTGTGCGCATGATATGATGATATATAGTTTTTTTTATGCTCTTGATTTATAGGATTTTAATGAGTTTGTGGGTTGTGTCTGATTATCTTTAGATTAATTTAATTTGTGGTTGCATTTGATTATGGGAGAAGATTTATCCATAATTAACACCATAGTGATTTTGTACTTATTTATGTTCCTCTTATCAATAAAATACTATTGCTCTTTATAAAATAAAAAAAGACGACTAAGAATGTTTAAGTACATATCATCAAATATATGTACGTCAATAGCATTTTTTTCATTAATTATTGAACATGGGACGAACATGGAGAAACTAGTCTTTAGAAATCTAATTGCGCATAATAGCGAACCAAGAACTTAAACTGACGACAATAATGGAAACAACAACAAAAGGGCAGATTAGCAAAACTCCTTCAAATGCGTGGTAAAATTGATTCAGAGAAACTAAGAAATTTTAGAAGGAGAGTTCTGGAATAATGATTGGATTGACAAATTAGCAAAAAGAGGTGAGGGGAGGAAAGGGAAAGCAAAAAGAAGTACTTCTCCTTCCTCCTCCCCTTCAGTCACCACAAGAGACTTTGTAAACAAGATTGACTTTTCACTAACATATAGCTACATAATACTTTTTTATTATTTTGAATTCAATAGAAATATCTTTTTGTGTGATGAAAAAGGCGAAAAAGAAATATTGAGATACTTCTTCGAAGCTAATCAAGTACAACTAAAAGTGCTACGATGTTTTGGAAGTCACCAAAGAAGACTTTAAATTGAGGAAAATAATTAGACCACACTGAATTAATTAATATTAGAAATGAAATGGGGTTGAAATAATCAAAGCAGTGATGACCTTATGATGATGAAAGTATGACGCTAAAAGAAGTTCCAAATTTGATGTTGGAGTCTTTTGCAGCAGCCCTCGGATCCATCGTTGTGGAGGCTGTGGATAATGATTAAGATATTGCTTACTCACCAACAAAACATTATTAAGATTATCATATTAATTAAGGTTATTAGAAGTGGGGTCATTATCATCATACATCGATTAGGTTCTAATTTACTGTTTAATGCTACTTTAATAAGAAATTTCTCCATCAGTTTATTTTTTTTTGAGTTTGAATGATGGGTACTAACTGCATAGGTGTCGAACAATTGTTGTCAGCTTTTCTTTTTGGAATTTTTTTTTGGATTAATATCATATTTTATCCTTAATTGTGATGGATGAGTAGGGGAGTTTACAAGTAAGAAGAGCACGCATATACGAGATTAAAAAATGCAAATAAATCCATCCTCAACTCATATCTAATCACCTATTAATCTTTAATCTAATGATTTTTGTATTCACTTGTTTGACTCGCATGATGATATATATTTGTGATGAGTTCGATAACTAATTGTGACTAACATATCTTGTAAATATGACACATATCTTGTAAATATGATATTGTTTGTCGGAGAAAAAAAAAGCCTATATCTTATTATCAATATGCTAAACATAATATGGCATGGCAGTGTTTGTTTTATATAATGGGATCTTTCCAACGTTGAGAACGATAGAAATATCACTGGATCAAGAGTTAACTAATACAACATATTGATTGATACACACTAAGGTAATTATATTCGAATAGTACAAACAGGTTGCGAATTACATTAAGCATGAGTACCACATTTCAAGCTCCCCATAATATAAATTATGAAATGGAGAATGGAAATGGAAAATCAACAGCACCCTAATTACTTCTTGTGTTTCTTCCACTTGATCACTAACTCAGATAGTGACTTTGTAGAAGAACCCTCTTCACTCTTTGCCTTCGCAGCAGCTTCCTTCCAATAATTCATTTGATCACGAACCCTAAACCCTTCTTCCCCTTCCATTAGTTCCTTCACAACCCTAGCAATCTCCTCCCTTCCCACAATGCCATTTTCATCAGCTTTGGGCCTCAATGCCACTTTTAAAACCTCACTCAACACAATTGCATTCATTTTCTGCTCTGCATACAAAGGCCAAGCAATCAGAGGCACACCATTCACAATGCTCTCAAGGATTGAATTCCATCCACAGTGACTTAAAAACCCACCAACTGAGCCGTGGCCAAGGACCTCAGTTTGTGGTGCCCATGATGGCACCAAAAGACCTTGCCTTTTGGTCCTCTCCACATACCCATTTGGTAGGCACCCCAAAGGGTCTGTTTGGCTATGGACACTAAAAAATGATGCATTTGAAGCTTTGTTATTTGGGCTTCTCACAACCCATAAAAATTTAGTCCCACTCATTTCAAGACCTAATGCCAATTCAGTGTGCTGTTCAGAAGAGAGAGTACCTCCACTCCCAAATGACACAAACAAAACAGACCCAGTTGGCTGATCATCCAACCATCTTAAACACTCTAACCCACCAGCCGTTTCCGCCCAACCACATGAACCGGTCTGTATAAGCGGTCCAATTGGGTAAACCGGTGGCCTACAAAGCTCAATATCATCTTGCAAAGCCTTTATAGGATCTGGCTCCAATTCCATGAAGCTATTCACTATAATTCCCTCAGCCAAACCAACCCTTCTCCCATGGTGAAGAAACAATTTGTATGCTTCATCTTTTCGGTTCTGAAATGGCTCTGGAAAATCTCTACCACAAATTGGTGTGCACCCAGGTAACTTCACTGGTTCAGCCAAGTCTCTGTATTCAGAAGAGACCAAGCTGTCAAGCTTAGGCATATAAAGTAACAAAATTAACGCCATAGTCATAGAGGGAAAATATAAGTAAGGTGACACATTGAACTCATGTGCAACATCAAAAGCGTCCGTGCCAAAAATATCAACCACCAATGCTACCAAGTTGGCATTTTCAGCTAAGGACTCGAACACGTCACGAATCGAAGAAATCGAGCGTGAGACAGCTAGGGTTATTTTTGTTTCTGCTTTGGTTTCTTGTGGTAGGTAATCAAAGGAAATTGGAGGGAGAAAGAAGTAGGTTGTGGATTGTGGAGGTAGGGTCTGAAGAATGGATATTTGGGGTTTGGGTGGATGAGACCCAATTGTTGGGATTATAAACGTGATGGTGAAGTTGTGGTGGTGGACAAAGAGCTTGGCTAGCTCAACTAGTGGGATAAGGTGACCCATGCCTGGACTTGGTATCATGACTACATGAGGTGGTGTGTATTTGTTTTCTTCCATTGTGGTTGTGAAGAATGATGGGGGAAGGTAGAAAGAATTATTATATAGTCTTTAGTGATGTGCAAAAGTCAATCTTGGAACAGAAGTTTTGAGTCCTGGGAAGTTCTGGAATTACAATGACTCAGGTAGTATGTGCTCGAGGGTTCCAGAGAGATTGACCATTTCGATGTTTTTTTCGTTGATCAATTGACTTTCTAACTTAATTTCTAGTCACTTCGTCGTCTAGAGCCTGCTCGAGGACAATTCCTTTATTTGTATTGGGTAAGTTATTTTAAATGATATACTTTGGATTGCTGAATTTTAATCTTTCAATCCTGTGTATTTTATCGAACTTGACAAATTTGATTATAGTGGATTTAACTAAGTACCACTTGCAAAGACACTGTAATACCATGTTAAACAACAACTAACTTGAAAATTTTAAAATGTCGACAAATGAACCAACGATGTATATAATCAAACTTACGCTTCCTTGAAATAGATACGAGGGCATTGCCTTACTAATTGTAACCGGTCATCTATGGCTGCATGGGCAGAACCAAGGCAAGGGCTACCCTTGGCTACAGTCCAGGGAAGGTTTGGAAAAAAAATAAATTAAATATACATATAGCATAATATTTTAACTATAAATAAATAAATAAATATACAGTTTCAACACCACTAGGCATGGTAAGAGGTCTTCCACATTTGTATTTGGGGTCAAAGTTTGTCCCAACATCAATTTTAAATTTTTTATATTAATTTGTCTCCAAAAGAAAAGCATTTTACTATAGAAAATGTAAGTACAAAAAAAAAAAATTATCATTAGATTTTAAGCTAATAACTTTAGCTAGCCCACCCATTGAAAATTTTTTGGTTCCGCCCTTGTATGGCTGGTTATAATTATTTTATTTTCTTGTTTACTATAATCAATGATAGATTTGGAAATTTTAGAAGAGAAGGTTTTCAATTTTGCCACTCATAGTCACAGTCCCACTCGCTTAAAAACCTAAAAATAAAGTCTTGTGAGGACCTTTTTAATAAGGGCCGTATGATGAAATCCAAATGAAATATTTTACCTTTTCTTTTTTATACTTGCACATAAAAAGCATAGGTTAGGCCTTCCCCAATGGGGGCCTTAAATGGGGCTCTATAAGAGCATGTCCACCCTAAAATGCTAAGGCTAAGGCAAGGGTTGCTACTATTCATGTGAATAGTGGCAGCCTTACCTTTTTTGGTTCCACCCCAAAAGGCTAGGACAAGGGCAAGAAAAAAAAAGAATATGCAACAAATATAAACTTGTTATGTATTTATAGGGAAAGTGAATAAAATTGTTATGTATTCATAGGGAAAACATCCATAATTTTTTTATTTTTTGATTTTTTTTAAATTTTGATTTTTTTTTTACTCACTGACGTTAGCGTGACGTCACCGCTGAAGTCAGCGCCCTCAAGCTGAAGCCCAAGCAAGATTTGCCTTTGGGCTTGCCCTGGCTGGTGGGACCCAGGGCTTGCCCGACCTGCACATGCTGAGCTGGAGGTCCAAAACCGAGAGAATGGGCCTCTTGCCCTGGCTAAAGTCCCTACGGTGGAGATGCTCTAATGTAGAGCTCATGTGCCAAAATGCATCTCCAATGGAAGAGATTTAGGGCCCTATATCATAAAGCCCCATCAGAACTGTCTCTCAATATGTGAACTTTGATAGAGCCCAAATGGGTCCCACATTTTGAAAATTTGAGGCATACATAAGGCTTTGTTTAATGTTTTACTACCCCTTTTGTTTTTTGTTTTCCATTTTCTTCTTTTTTTGGTTTGATATTCCTTCTCTCTTTTTTTTTCTCTTTCTTTTTGCTTTCAATTGTTATAATTTACTTTTAGAATGACCACTTCAATTTTTTTTAATTATAAATGGGGTAGAAATGTTGATTTTTGATTTTTTTTAAATTATAATTTACCTTCTCCAAATTTTGATTTTTTTTTGGGTAGAAATGTTCATTAAAAAAAAAGCTAACATAAGATAAACATACAATAAAACAAACTAAATTAAGAACAACAAAAATTAACACGTAAAACAAATTACATCATATAAAATTCATAGAGAGCCTCGGATATAGAGGCCCTCATTGTAGGAAAGATACTTTTAGAGCCTAGAATATTCTAACAAAGTTCTAAATAGGTCTCTATCCACCATTTTTAGAATTCCATTTAGCGAGTATGATTGGAAATGCCCTTAAAATAGAAGTACGGAAATCATTATAAGAACAAGAAAAAAAGAAAAAGTTGAATGCACCAGTAGATCATGGTGTTGAAACAAAGCCCCAAAAAATTGGGGCCTCTTTAGGCTTTAAGAAGCCCAAGCTGAGCCCAAAAAAGCTGGGGCCTATTTGTATAATGGAACCACATTAAGGAAGCGAAAACGCACCAGACGCCTGAGCCTCAGTGACAGAAGGGAAGAAGAAGAAAAAGAAGATGATATACCGGAAATGGAGCCTGTTAACTGGACCAGTCACGATCTTGGGAGGCATAGTAGGCACCGTAGTCGTCGGCCACTACCTTCTCATTGAGAACGTAATTTTCCCTTTTGTTAATTTAATTTATTTTCAGATTCAGCAATTCGAATATTTCTTCGTTTGAAATCCGCGATTTTCTGCTAAACTATCAATTGATCCGAATTAGGGTATTGGGTTTCGATTGTTGAGTATAGATCTGGCTTCGTCGAGAAAAAAAAAATTCTAGGGTTTCACTGCTTCACTTTCTTAATTCAAGTTTTATGATTTTAGCCCTTTTTGTATTTTCCATCAATTTGAACTGTGTTTAATATGCCTTATTCCTGCAAAATGAGACTAAATCCAGTGTTTTAGCTTACCAAATTGAGGCTTACTGTGGTTTAATATGTTCAATTGCTGTTTGATAAAATTGCAATTGAATGTATAAAACAGCTGCCACTTCCTTAGAACAACAGCTTGAATTTTTTTGAAGCAAGAGCTGGGTTGTGTTGTATATTTGCTGAATTTGATTTGAGACATGAACATTGTATTTAGCATTTTGTTTAATTACGCAGGATTGGATGAAGTCGGAGCCAAGGAAGGCAGAAGCATCCACTTCAAGCAAATAAGAGGAGGAAGGTGAAGAGTTGCATTTTCAGTGCGACCCAAGCTTTTTAGCTTTCTGTCTATATTTCTTGAACATGTTGTTCTGCAAACTTGTGGTGATGTTGCACTTTCAGATGTGACTTGTTAGTTAATAATCCAGAATTGAAATGTGAGTTCTGATTTGAAGGTTGTGGAGCAAATTCCCTGCATTTGTGTTCTCTGTTGTCCTAACATTGCTTTGATTTTGAATCAAGCTAAGAATCGATGAAATTCGATTTGCTTTCGTTATAAGTGCTTTCATTTCAAGAGTTGATGTGATCAGTTTTTACCCTTTGGTTTATTAGTTCATTGTCTTCCGGCAATAGTACTTAGAGATAGAACTAGTGAGGCAGGGAGAGTGGTAAATGGCTTCCTAAAGATGAACTTTTGGATTTCTACATAATGCTAGTAGTTTTGTTGTGTCAGGACGACTGGTAAATAGACTGGTAAATAGCTTCTTGAATATAAATATGCGTCCTTTTGCATTCTTTTCTGTTCAGTAAAGACAGATACTAGGCTTTTACAGAAATGAAGGGATTTTTATCATAGATAAGTTATGTGTTATACAAAGGGTACAAGATTTTGCAGCTTGGCCAAAGAATCTGAAATAGCAAAAAAATAAAAAGTTCACACATCGTTGCAAGCTCACAAGCCTTCTCTACGTTTCATGGCTTCCGGGTCAATGGCTTCCCTGTTCTTCAAGGCACAGAATTGCTCACAGGATAAACAACCCCTGCAAATCTTTATGAAGTATTTCCGAACCTTCAATCCGAAAAACAAAACTTTGATTCCGGCCAAGAATTCTGAGAGGTCGATAAGCCGAGGTAAATAAAATGGTTTGGTTATCGATATTTGTCACCATTGACCAACAATTCCATCACCAAATCATTCCAAGTATCTATTGGCCCAGGCAAGCACCAATGCAAGCAATCATTCTGAACTTTGGCATTTTTATCCTCGGCAAATGGCTGGAATTGCCTGTACGGACCTGGGTGCCCATCAGATCTCAACAATGAGAGATGGGTTGTGTCCAGTAGCTTCAAATTCACCCCCTCTTCGGATCCTTTGGCTGCAGCCTTCTCAAATTCTTCCAACTCAATGGTACGCATTACATTATCTACATCTTTTAAATCAACCTCACCTTCTTTGAATGGCACCGATCTATTACAATGCCCACCACTGAACCACTCTCCATTCTCAAAGTGGTCAGGCGTGGTGGTTCTGAAGAATACAGACGCTTTATGATCCGAACGGGTGATGAAATTGAAAACCACACGGAGAGCACTGCGGTAGCTGTACTCAAATCCTAACTCAGTTAAGTTCTTTCCAGGGCAGGAATGGCAGCCGCTGACTGTGTTGTTCTCATGGAAAATTGCAGTCTTAAGGAACCATTTGCCGACGCCAATCACCACGTAATCGAAGCTGTTGTATTGATCGGTCCATGTCTTGTCGACCTTGTCAAGATAAAGCTGAATTTCGGAAGTAGAAACTCCATTCATGTCTTCGAAAATATCTGCTCCAATGAGGAACGGAGTCCAAATTACCGAAAGGGTGAAGTTGTAAGATGGGAAATGCCATCTTTTAGACCTGTATTCTTTGTCATGGTATACTTCAACAGCTTGCTCCACCTGTGGGGGCATAACCAGAAATGTGATCAACATTTTGGGAACAAATAATCGAAAGCCAACAAAGAATATATGCAATGCTATAAAACAAGGCACAAACAGATAACCAGTTGAGGCAGCAAGTTTAATCTACAACATGTCAGATCATGGTAGGTCCTGTATCTATACAGGAATTATATGGTTATTATTATTATTTTTATACAAGCGATATTGTGAGAGGGGGGTTTTCTCACACATTATCAAGGTGTTGTGGGGGTTCAAACTTGAGACCACTGATCTACAAGTTAAGGCCATTTTCAACTGAGCTTAGACCCTGCTGGCATGGTCAAAAAAATTATAGATAGGGCTTAAATGAAAATAGGCGGTCCTTAGCTCAAAAATCAGGACCTCAATTATCCCATTTTTTGTGGCTAAAAGTTACTCAATTCATAACCACATCTCTTCTCTACAACTACAAGGCAGGTCCTTGGCTCAACTATCATATCCTCCAATTTCCTAAGTGATCACGCCCAAAAGTTCTCCCATTTTTTAATTTTTTTTTAACACAACTCTCAATAACTAAAAGCCATTTCACTATTGGCTTGTCTAAGACTCCCTTACCAACAAAGCTGGAAAAGCTGGGAAATTTTGACACTCTAGTGGGTAATAAGTAACAATTGTAGACTCTTTCAAACTCGGGGCCTTTTCCAACATTGGAAAAAGAAGTACCACTAAACCAAGAGCTAGTCGGTTAACAATTCTATATTCTTTCATGCTGATAATTACCTATGAAAACCTATTGGAGCTATGCATACACCAGCAATCATTAAAGTTCCAGAAACGACGTTGAATCTGAACCAATTATGATCCCACAGACATGGTAGGTAAACTTGCTATGAAAAAGACTCTATAACCAATTAGAAAGCAGTGGTCACCATGAAAGTGCAGCTGTAGTCCACAACTAAAATCAAAATTAAAGGTTGGAATTAGGATCACTAGTTATAGATCAAGAGTTAAAACAGACGTGCCAGAGAAGCGAAGTAAAAGTTTGAATGATTTTTGGAAGCAAAGCCAGTAAGAAGACCTAAGCCCCCTGATTAATACACATAAACCACATGACCCCACACAACATAGTTTGATCTAACTAGGTTTCCATTCAATCTCCAAAGAGGAAAAGTGGCTAAGGTTTCAACAATTTGAAAGCAAAATGCCACTTTTCAACAAAATCAACAAGTTTTAGTTTGATCTAAGCAAAATCTTGAAATGCTTTCAAATGTACCTGAGAGAGGATGCAAATCAATGACTGCACATGGTTACGCGAGATCGAATCGCCGACGAAAGCCCACGATTTGTTCCTCATTAGAGCAAGAAACCTCTGTGGATTGAACTTGGATAGCTCACAGTCTCTTGGCTTCCACCTCCAGTAAATGTAGCCTGAATCAGGGCGGCCATTCTTCATACAATTTTGATGAGATTCCATAACATCGCAGCTTTCATTAGTGTATCTTGGTCCTGATGAGTCTGGTACCCAATCTCCAGTAAAAATGTCACATTTTACTGCCACTACATGTGTAAAAAGTAAATAAATCTGAGGCCAGCAAAGGTTCAAAGAAGCATTATGAGAAAGGCTTTTTTAACTTTACAGTGCAGCGACCTTATGTTGTCTTAGTTTTTCATCAACAGTTACAGAAAACAGAATTCACTAACAAAATTGCAAAAATCAAGTAGAGAGAGAAATCAGATGAGAAATTTTGGTGAGTTTTCAAATGAAGAAATTGCTAATTTATCATTCATGCATGGAGGATGCAATAGGGAAGGAGATGGGGAAAAATAATAGTGACAAAAAGGAAACTTTCTCAAGCCTAGTACATTTACACAGACTCATCCACTCTGTCCCCAGAAAAAAACGAATGAACAAAAACACAGAGACAGAGACAGAGAAAGAACAGAAAATTACTTACCATTTTGAGATGCTTGGCTGCTGTTTCCAGGAAAATCGACAGGACCAGGAGGAGGAGTTTGAGGAGGAAAAGATGGAACAGAGGAGGGCTCTGTTTCGTGGTCTGCAAGAGGAGGTGGCTCAACTGATAATCCAATAGAATCAGAATAGAAGAGTCGAAAAGCGAGACCCAACAAAAGAAAAGAGGCAGCAAACTTCACAAGTAGACGGTTATGTTTGTGAAATGAAGATACTGGCTTTGATTCAAACCTCATCTGCTTCAACATTTGGTGTCGGAGGAAGAGACCAGAAAACTCTCTGGACCAGAATTTATTTTTTTTTTTTAAAAAAAAAAAAAAAAAAAAAAAAAAGAAAAAGATCAAGAGGATGAGGCTGGTTTTGGCAACAAACCACCAAACGCGGTTTTAGCATGAAAAAATATATTTTAGGTGGCTAGTAATGTCTGAAAAACACTGCAGAGTCTAAAGAGATGTATTGTCTGCTGCACACTGCCACCGGCGTGCGTGAGTTTGTGTTCTGTGTTTTGGTTTTGGGATATGCAACTTGCAAGGCTCTGTTTGGTTTCATGAAATGGACAATTAAACTTTTTTTCTTTTTTTGAGTTGACAAAACAAAGGAGCTATAGCTAATAGGGTCAATAAAATTAATTGTCTATTTATTGTCTAATTATGAAGTCAAAATAGTATTTAAATTTGTTATTAGTTGTTTTGGGTGTTAAGCCTTTGGTATGTTTCTGTATTTAATTGGTACAGTTACTTTGGCAATAAGTTTTGTTGTTTAAATTATGCTGACGTTGGGTAGTAATTGAATTGACGTTTATTGTAGTGCCAAAAATTCTATTTAATTGAACAAATATAAAACACATTCTATTTAAACCTTTCGAACTAAGTAAGAAGTAGCATAACATTTTGAGCAATTTTCTCACTTCTCTCTCCCCCCACATTGTGCTTTCAATTTTTAGTTTATCTCGCTGGGGAAAACTCAAGTTGTTTATCTAACTCAAGTATTGTGAGTGAAAATCTATGAAAATTGGGTTCTATATTCCAAAAGATAAGTATTTTATTGTAATTTAATTGATTTCTTTTTAAACTTACTAATATTTATATTGTGTGATGTTTTGCATCATCCACCAGCCAAATTTTCCAACATAATGTTGATTAATAAATAAAACTTGGGTGGATTTGTCTCTCTTTTTTTGGGTTGATAAATTTATACATGGGCATGTAACATGCCCATTAGGGTAAACAAAACAATGTATGTCCTAATCTGCTTTAAATATAATATTTTTGTATCTGAATACTTAGATCTACCCACCTCACACCTTTGATTTGAATTTTAATAGTGGATAGATTATTGGATTATCTCAAAACAGCTGGCTTGAGCTTCTAGTGGAGCTTTAAAGTCTAATTTACATCACTGGACCAGCTTTCTAATTTATGTTTTTATTTTTATTTTCTTCGGAAGAAGAGAGAACTTTATTAGGTGGATCACCTTAAACCCAAACCCAGATTTTGTACAGTAATCACTTGATTTTTTCCTTTTATGTATTTGGGATGTTACATGTTTTTTTTGTGTGGTAAAATTAGGAATGAGGATGGGAGTTTTCTCACATACACTGTCAATGTGCTATTATAGTTTGAATTTGAGACCACTGATATACAAGTTAAGACATTTCCCACAAGTCGTTGCATGCTTCCCAACCTTGATGAGTTTTATTTTCTTTGCTGGATGATTAGTTCAATTTTTTTTTGGGGGGTGGGGGTGAAAATCACATGTTTTCAAATTAATAGGTACAATTTATGAATTTGAAATGATTAGGTCCAATGAATTCATTATGGTTCATGCACTTCTTTTATATCTTTTTATAGAAATAAAAAAAATTTGTGTTTTATTAACAGGATTTCGAGCCTCTGCATTTAGGCTTCCCAGAATCCATGGTTAAGGAAGGAAAGAGAGAAAGAAATGAGATGAGATGGAGAAATAAGTAAAAACACATACAATGGTTTAACCTAAAACTAAAATAGCTTAAAGTGGCACAGCGTTTATAGTAAGTTTATTATATTTTATAAAGCAAAATCCAATTTGAGATGAAAACCCAATTTATGTCTGCATTTTTGTGGCAGTTAGAAAAAACTTTCAAGGGTTTAATGTGAGGAGGGGGACCAATTGGGGCTTGGCCCCTAGGGAAAGCGAAAGCTATAAAGAGCTTTCATTTCAATCACATTTGTCAATTTCCATGTACTGCCTTTACTTTATTATCATCTGCACTCTGCAGACTGCATTGTCTTCAGCTCTCTTCTCTTACTTCCACAATTCTCCCTTCTCAAGAATAAAAAACGTATGAAGACTGAACCAATACAGAAAATAGTACTTAACAAATCCAAAAGAAAAGACAAATTTGACAAATATTTTTTTTTCTTTGCAACAATGGAAATAAGTCTATTATACAAGAATTCCAATTAGCCATTCTTAATCTTTCTTTCTTGCCAACAGAGTCTAGTCTAGTTAAAAAAACTTTGATTAACAGTAGTCTCAAGTTCGAATTTCCATAACACTTTTTTATGTATTTTCAAGTTTGAATCCCTATAACACCTTTTTGTGTAGGAGAAAATTCACCCCCTTACTTTGGTAAAAAAATAATAATAACTATCCTTTTTTCTTTGGCATGGCCCAGGTCCTGGGCTCTGAGCACTAGGCTGAGATTGGGGTGAGCCCTCTATTTGAGGCCTACTGAACGCCCCAACACTATGCAGGGCAAGACTGCAAGTGGGGTTGCCATTGTGTCCTGAGGCCGCCATACAAATTGAATATCTTTGCGCATGTTTTGCACCAGACAAACCAATCATTGGCTCGGTCTGAATTTCACAACTACGTTCAGTTTTTTTTGGTCCCAAGATTGCCTCAGCCCCTTCACAGGTATTAGTTTATCACACACACAAAAGAGGGAAATATTGACTAGTAGTAGCTGCTCAGGTCTGTTGCAGATTCTTTGAATGGTTAAGCACCAATGGAACAAAAATCATAATAGCAATAGAACAAAAAACCATATACATAATATTTGAAGTCAGCTCAAAGAAGCTTGCATGATCTACATACACAATAAAATATCAAACCAGAAACAGCTATACTAGATTTCAGATAAAACTAGCCTACATACCATCCAACAGTTTATCATTCATTTTCAGTGTTCTGCAATGTTGTACAGAACAGTTCAAAGAATTTTCTCGGAGCAGTTTTCTTTCCCCTTATAATTTTACTTCCAAATTCAGGATGGAAGACTTGAGGTTCTCCACATGTCAGATGCGCCTAGTGATTTATACAAGTTGATTATGCAGCAGCTCTTGGAAGCTTCATGCCAAATCCCCTTTTTACCTTCTCAACCCTGTTCAAAGGGTCAAAGTACGAAACATTAGAAAATGTCCAAAGACGCTGGTGGGACGTTTAGATTTTAGACAAGCAATAATATTCATGGTAAACCAAACAGGAAACAAGAAGATTGCTAAAACATACAATAGCATCAGTAAAATTGGAAAAAGATGCTGACAACCAAGTGGCTAAAACAAGCAACATGTGAGGTGAAGTAAAATATATGAACAAATGTTCACAGCATATTCTGTTAAAGGATCTTCCTAGATTATCTGTGTCCAAAATATTCAACATGTCTTTCATTCTAAGTTCCAACCATAACAGAAACCAACATTTCCACAATAAACGACAATATAAAGATTCAAATATGCCTATCTACTCATCATGATAATAGCAACACTTTACTATCTAGAATAATTGACAAGTAGAACGAACTAAAAGAGACAGCCATCAAAGAATTGGTGCTTACGTTGGGGCAAGCTTGCCAAGACAATCAAGCTCTTCACCGGTGTCCTCATCTAGGACTCTCCCCGAGATCTCTATGATGTAAGATCTATCTCTGGTTGTGGGAAGTCCTCTACTGGACAGCAAATCTAAATCTTTTTGGTGAAGCTCTCTTCCATTCACAAAGATACCAGTATCTCCACCAGCACAGTTCTGAGGCATGGGATAATTGAATTCTTCAATAAATGGCTGCAAAAGAAAAGAATTCTCCTCAACATTAAGCAGAAAACCAATATAACTAATAGCTTGTGCATTGATAACAGTGTAAAAATTTCTCTTACAGGAATCATGCCAAGACCAGGCCCACCCATGACACCCCAGAATCCAGCTCGGAAATCATACCTGTTTTAAGAAATTGAAGGCAAAGACATAAGTACAATGGAGGAGGTGAGAGAGATTACAGATGCAACAGTAAGCTATCCTTGAAGTATACTGTTAGCCCTCACATGTGGGCTCTCCCAACTCTAGTGAGCCCAACATATGGAATTCAACATACATTACAGAGATTTTAACCGGGGATCTATTCCGCTGCTACCATGATTAGTAGTATTGGTTTATCACCTTTTTTTTGGTCGAAAGTATTGGTTTATCACTTTTCCAAAAAGCTTAAGCTATTAGAATATAGGCCAACAAATGTTTTATCTTCCAACAAAGCACATATCTTCACTCATTATGAGTTCTAAAAGATTATAAAGCATAGTTCCAGAAAGCAAACATGCTAAGAAATGCACTATGTGTTAGTGAGTGGACACTTACCAATATTGTCCAGGATGGACTGTTCCCGCCATCTTTTCAGCCTTCTTAAGCAGACGATCCGGTATTAATTGCCCATTAACTGAAACATTGCTTCTCCCATGCTCATTTGTTTGATTTGATTTGGAAAAATCCCTAAAGCTTTTCTTAATAAAGTTGGTAATAAATGATTCGCTCCCTTTGTTGGTTCTTGGCTGATCTTCTTCTTTGTTTGCGTCCCAAGAATCTTGGGAAACCCCGGTGTTAGAGTACTCATTAAATGATACCTCCATCTCAGTTGCTAGTGATGTCTCTTTTAACGAATTTTGTCGCGACGTAACCTTATTTGGTTTTACCTTCTCTTGATCTGAGCGACTACTTTGGTTTCCCTTCCCAAGTCGGTTTATCACATGACTGTTAGATGAGAATTCAAAATGCTCCTGTAGAGGTGAACCAGGAGGTGGAGGAGAAAAAGTGGCTTTGGTTGGCTGCTGAATAGAATTTGTGAATTCTTTTGGAGCAAATGGAGCTTCTGGATTGCAGTCATCCTCGGAGGTACTTGGAGATGAAGAATGAAAGCTTTGCATCTCATGAGTCTTGCCTGTTGTTGAACTTGGGGCTGTGGACGGTAAAACAGGTTCTCTATCTATTGAATGAAAATCATAACCAGAATTATCATAATCATCGGAAGAGAAATGAGCATAGACCCGGGTGAGACGTCCATGGGAATGTGAAGTACTATCTTTGACCACCTCATTCGAGCTAATATTAACCTCTGATGGATTTTGCTGTGCTTCTGCATGATGGGAAAGGACAAGTTTTTTATTGGAAACAGAAAAATCGATTACTGTAGAACAAGCCCCGCAGCGCATTTTCTGTTGATTCTTTTCCCCAATAAGTACTCTCTTGGGCAGCTGCAGAAGTTCAAAGCAATTATTGCATGTTACAAACGGAGCACCACCAGAAAATGGAAGACATCGGCGGCCACCACTGGCTAGCACCACCCTCTCTGGACGGGAATGAGCAAAACTGTCCATGTGAGAGTTAAGGTCACTTGGCCATCTTGTATGGGGTTGGTCACTTGGGCGTCTTGTATGGGCTTGTGACACATGAAAGGGTGGAGGAATTGCAGTCCTAGGTTTGTTGTGATCATATGGACCAATCATCCCAGGATTTTCAGGCTGGGCCAACATGGGATTGTTAGGGAAATCAGGGAATCTTTTATTGTGAAAAGCAGTGGATGGAACTGGCACTGAAGCTCTTCTGTGTTTGTCATAGCAATAGAAACAAGGGCAAGTAGGATGGTGAAATGTTGCACTATGTGGGTAAAGCTCATAAGGATCAGGATTGTTTTCAGCATACTGTCCAGAAAAGTATGGATGAGATGGTTGCTGGTATTGCCTGGGAAAGGGATGAGGAGGTCCACTGAGCATTTGGGATCCAAAAGGATCCCCATATCCAGGAAAATGGTTTGAATTATGCATGGAAGGAGAAAAGCTAGGCATAGGCATTTCACGCCCATTGGTGTAGGGATATGGCTCAGGAAAGTGATTGAAATGAGAGTGTCCTGTGACATGTTTACCAGGTCCAAAGTACTGCATTGAAGCCCTATTTGTCCCTGAAGAAGCTCCTGGGTATGAAGCGTCAGAACTACCATAAGGATCTGGAGGAACCATCCCCGCTTCAAGGGGAGCTTTCTCTTTCGGCTTATCAACCAAATCACAAGACCGGCTAAGTTGATCCCTGAGCTCATCCAGCTTCTTTAGAAGCTCAGCTCGGTCTTGTTCGAGGTACAGAACTCTGTTTGCCCCATTTGGGTCATTAGTATTCCTCAATGGTTCCCCACCCCTATGAGAAGAACCCAAATGGTAATTCGATGGACCCTCATCTGGATAATTTGAAGTTGAAGACCTCATACCTTCAACATCAATTCTTGGATGTCTTCGATACCGCTCCCTTTCACCATTCTCCCAAGTTTGCCAATCTGCCATCCAGCCTGATCTTCGGCTTTCACTCATGGAACTCAATTCCGCATTCAAATCTCCATGCTCTCTTCCCAATGCATTGCTCAATTCATCTCTTTCCACGCTCATACCTACACCATCCTCGACAGCTCCGTTATCAGTCGTCTCTTTGGCTTGCTTCCTACAGATTTCAGCAATTTTAACATCTTCCTTCTCTAAATCCCCGAGATCAAACCTCAAAGAGCCATCACTTGACTTAACATCAGTATCAGAGGCATCAGTCAAAACAACTATTCCTTTATCATCTGAATCATCTGATTTAGCAGAAACTCCTCCAACCCTTTCTTCGTCCGACTTCATGGACAAAGTATCCCCCTCTTGCCTTTTCTTGTTAGCTGTAAACGAGAGATGTGAATATTTGATCCTCAATTTTCGAGAGAAAAAATAAACTCAAACAAAAGAAATTTGCTTTATGTAATGACGTTCATATTAGTATCCTTGAGTAGGAAATGCGTTGATGGTAATGCTACTATTAAGTTCGATATCTGGTTTTCCAGGTTTAAAAACCTTAACCTCTCAAATCCAAATGATTGTGTGTTTGTGTGGAATTTGGTTTTGCATTGGGACTATATCACACAAAATTTCAAGGCTGGAAATCGTGAATTCATTCCATTTTCTAAGGTTTCTCATACATGAATCAAGCAGAAACTTCAACAGAATTATAAAAAAACAAACAAACAAAAACAAAAATCACGACTATAACCATAAAGATTTGAAACAAACAGTAAGGTAGCCGTTGGTTACCAAGAAATCACAGAAATTGACATTTTGATCAGAAACTTGGAGGTAAAGAGTTTCCAGCCAACATGAATCATATGATTCAAAACGTAAAGTTTCTCTCTTTTTTCTCAAATTTATCACCAACCATACCAAATAATCCTCACATTGTGCAAAAACATGAAGCAAAGAATGAAACTAAAAAAAAAGGCAAAGAAAGAAGAAGAAGAAGCATACCTCTTAGAACAGCACCACAACCACCACACTGATAAACAGAGTAATCAGCAAGCTCGGGGAGAAGATTCTCACATTTTGGGCACCGAACCAACCTCACTTTAGCTGAGTCCCCCATTTGCTCATAACCCAAGTCACCAAACAACCCCGAAGACAAAACGACCAAAAAACAAGCGACAAATTAACAACTGTTTCCAGTCAAAGTTTGCCTGCGGAAAAACCAAAAGGAAAACGAGGTAAAGAAAATGAGGTGAAAGGAGAAAGCTTTGGGTTGTTGCTAGAATGGGCTTAGCTGGGTTCCTGTTTTAAGGAGCTGAAACTGAGTGAGTGGGGAAGAAAGACAGGAAGTCTCTTTTTCTTTTGGGTTTTCTTTTTCAGTTTTCTGAGGAACCAAACAGAGAAGGGATGGCGTTTGATGATGATGATGTGGAACTAGAGAAGTAGACGTGAGAGAGAAGAGAGCTTTTGTGGGGACAAATAATCTCTCGGAAAACTATGAGCTGGAAAAAAGAAAAAAAAACACAAGTGCTTTGAGAAATTCTATTTCCAGTAGATGTATGTGTTTTTGTGTTTCTGAGAAAATCTCTGCATTTATGCTCTGCTTTGTGTTTTTTTGTGTGTTTTTCGTGTGTGTTTTTGTTTTTTTTCCTGCTAAATTTATATTATCAGTCACAGACCAAATGTGTGAGTCTTGGACCGTTTTCCAACGTTAAAGCAAATTGATATTTCCAAGGAACATGCCCCAAAACGACGACGTTTGGTCTTGAGACGGTGTCGTTTCTTGTGCACAAGCAGAGTGACTTTCGTTGGAATCGCCGTTTGTCTGGTGTCGTTTAACACTGACGCTTTCCTGTTTTTTACTATCCGCTCCCCACCTTTACCGTTACGAAGGAGTGGAGGAAGCAAAATTGACATGGGCAGTAGCAAACCCACTTTTCTTCTCTTTATATTTTTTGCTTTTGCTTTATTCGATTTTTCTTTGATTTTGGTTTGTTTTTATCTTTTTTCTAATGAGGGCTTTTTCTTGGTTGCGACTGGAGAGAGAAAAGCACTGTTTTGGCCGATGTGAAAGGTGAAAAGAAGAAAAAAGAGATAGAGAAAAAACTAAGAAGTTGCGTTTTCATGACACGTCTGACGACTAGTCTCTATACGAATCTCAATCAACCCCACTGGCCCCACCCCACACCTGACTATTAGTGGGCCCTACGGACCCTAACCATTTGTCCATTGTGGCATTGTCGTCCTATCAACTACTACTTATTACCATTCACATCTCTTTCACTGCCAGATTTTGACTTTTAAGCAGATTTTGATGAGAAGACGATGTGATGAAAAGACCCCAAGCCACCAAACAAAAAAAAAAAAAAAAAAAAAAAAAAAAAAAAAAGAAGAGAAATGAAAAAGAAAGAAAGAAAGAAAAAAAAAGATTGGGTTTGTTTTAATGAATTTGAATGATTTTTGGCTCAACTGAAAATCATGTTTGCAAGCTGGAATTTTAATGGCACAACCAAAGTTAGGGGTCCCAATATATAAAGTTGCTGCTTGGACATGTTATGTGCATTATAGAGAGCATGTTGTTGCCCATGGGGTATTGGACCATTTATGAGATGGTCTATCTAGTTATAAGACTGCAACACATTGGTTTTGGGACTGGGAGTTTCATCTTTTGTACTTCTCTCTTTTGCAAGCCTTGGGATTCTATATTTGATTTGAAGACGTTGGATGAAACTATATATGGGAGTTACATATTTTTCTACAGTGTATTCATCACATAATTGGAAATTTGAAGATGTTGGATGAAACCATATATGGGAGTTACATCTTTCTTTACGGTGTACCTTGAATCGGAAATTTTCTTTGTCGTTTGAAAATAGTAGGGATATTGACACTCTTCCTACACTTTCTAATTATGAGTAGAAAAAACTATAAAAATACTCAGTTTGAAGGTATTGTTTCTACCCTTTGAAAATGCACATATGCATGCAAAAACATTATATGGGTTGTGATGGGTAGTTGATTTTATGTATGAAAGTAACAAATTGGCAATAAAATTGTATCCATGATTGCGCATGGTAAAGACATGAAGGAACCAACATTTACTCATGAGAGTAAATATTGATGGTGCACACTGCCTAGTGTCCAGCAGGGAAGCAAAAACAGGGTTGGTGTTGGTAAGCAGAAATAAACAAGATCATTAATTTTGAATGGAAGCTGAGGTGGTTGAACTGTTGGCCACAATTGTTGATTTACAACTGGCTTTGGAGGTTTGCCTTTCATTAGTGACAATTGCCATGAAAATGTGAAGTCATTGCTAAGAAATTTGCTGGCTCTGAAAGTCTGCCACTAGACCCAAGAGAGAGGCAAATATTATGGCACACTCATTGGCTAAACATGCTTCAGACACAAGCAAAAAGCTTTAGAGGAAAAACCCCCTTCTTGATTGGGTCCTCCTTTTTGCTTGCTGATACAAAACAAACCGTATTGATTGCATTTGAATGCATAACAACTACTCTCTACTTACAAGCAAACAAAGTTTCAAGCATTCAACACTAATAATTTCCAATCACCTCTCAAATATATAGTTTATTTCAAATTGGTTTTTTTTTTAATTAAAAAAGAGAAGATGTTATCTGGTCCAGTTACTTACTTGGTAAGAAGGCAAAGAATGGAACAACTTGAGTTGGAGTAAAACCAAAATTGTATTATAATTTGCACTATGTATAAATAAAGCAGCAAGATTCTAGGATACGACTTTTCTATGATAGTCAATATTTTCTCGTGCTCTTTTTTTTATATTGTTACATTGGAAGAAAGAAATTCTAATGGAGTTAGATTCTGGGTGCTATAAGGAAAGGGGGAATCCAACACCACTGTGGACGTTCAACGGTCCTCAGTCAGCAAGTTGTGTAATAACTGCAAAACTCTCAAGTGTACGGAATCTTGTTTTCTTTTTGGAACAAAGATAACAAGTACACATAACCCATATCCATGGGAGACTGAAACACAAACCCATATAGTTCAATAGGTGAACTTTGGGCGGGCTATATGATTTGCTTGCTTTGAGTCACCCAAGTTGAAGAGGAGGAGTTTGGGTATATAGAAGAGTTTGGGCAGATAGAGTCCCTAGGCTGTATCATCTCCTCCAATTTATCCTTATAGCATTATATCCAAAATTCAATGTGCTAGTCTTATTCAAAATAACATTAACTTTTCCAAAACCATAGCTTGGTTTTCAATTTAGTTTTCTCTAATATCTCAAATGATTTGCATGTTTAAAATAATCAAATTAAACCCATATGTGGACTTTCTCTCTTGGAACTTTATCAAATTCTTATGGTTTTCTCTTGACATGTCAAGAAAAATACTTTTCCCAATTGTAAAACAATACACTAATTTGTTACTGAAAGGATAATTTTCATGTCAATAATCATACTAACATTCACAGGAAGAAAATGATAAATAAATTCACTTAATTTACGTGCACGCATGATTCAAGAGTTTGAGTTTGCTAACTTTCCTTTCCTCCTTTCCCCTTTTGATTATGCTACATGTTTTTTAAATAATAAAAAAATTAACCATGGTTAATCTTATTATTTTAATGTTTTGTAATCATGCATATATAGAGGTTTTTTTTTGGGCATCTCATCGGCCTCCAAACATAAAACATCAATGAAATAAATAAAAGTATACAAAGGAAAATAAACTAAACAATCAAATTCATACTACTTCCTCGAAAGCAGTATATAAAATTCATATTATCATTGTTGTTCCTAGATTTGGAGCTTCGACAAGGTCAAGAAAACTTAGAGAAAAGTTTTGGCTGTGTTTTGGGCCGGCCTAAAACAAATATAGTGCCTCACACAAGCTGCCTAGCAAGTAGCAGAGTCCTTCTATAGTGAGGGTTTTATATATGGCTCTTAGGTGAGGTTCTATCTCTTAATCGTTGAATTAGATTAACTAATTTGATCCAACGGTTAAGAGATAGGACATCACCTAAGAGTCATATATAAGGCTCTCACTATAGAATTCTTGGATATTGAATCCTAAGTCTTACACATCAGGCTTAATTCAAAGCCCATTCCAATTTTTTTTCATTTTCTTTTTCATTTTCTTGGGCCAATGATAAATAAGGCCAAACCTTAGAGACAAAATAGACCACCATGGTAAAGAATGCACAAAAACACCATAGAGAGGGGCAAAACCTAAATCAAGGAGAGAGAAACATAGAGAAAGGAAGAGGGCGGGGAGGAGGGGCAGACCACTCCCCCAAGATGAGGCGCTGAAGGGGCTTGAGAGGCCCAAAAAAATAAAAAAAACATTTCTCTAGTAGGGTTTTCGCTTTCTCTTCTTCCTTATAACAAGTTTATCCTTTTTTTGGGTTGCAAACAATGCATTTACATCCCAATCGCAAATGTGTCGATGATGATCGTGAATGTAAGTGGAAGGACGAGTGCATCGTTTATCATCATTATACAAGCTACCTAAAACACTAGTGTGCTATATACTGATGTCTTAAAAGAAATGTTCTTCTTGAAGATTTGATTTCCTTTTATGAACTTATCTAGTGTGAACTAGGAGTGGCAACTTTTATTATCCGTCTTCAACACGCTGGTCAAAAAAATATATGGCCCTAAAAAAAAGGAGGAGAAAATTTCAACACTGGTGTTATTTAGAGGTGGTGCAAACCCACGAAGTCCTTGCCTTGTAGGGTATAGTAGTGAGTGCCATCCATTTTGGAAATTCACAAACAATTGCAGCAAAACAGTTCAAGTTGTGAGAGCTCGACATGATGGTGATGAAACATGCATTTTTGCTGTGTAATCGAATTTCGTTGACTCTCTTGTATTTTAGTAGCCTAAGAAGACAGCCCACTTCAGACTCAAGTGGGGAGAAGAAAAAAGCCAAACACCAATTACAGCAGTGTAATTTGCTCAATAAGTTTTTTTTTCTTCTCTTTTTTGGGTGCTCGACTAGATAATTTGATTATTTATTAATTCCATTGTTAGAATAGAACTGTAATCTTACATCAACTTCTGGATAATCAAGTTTTGTGGTTGTTTGTATGACCAATTGAACCCAAGATTTCAATTCCATCATATTTCACGCCACTTCAATTCCATCATACTTCATGCAACTTGAATTTCTTCCCATTTTCTGCAATATGCGTGACACATCGCAGTCATAGGAGTTTGACGTATTGCGCGGGACAAATAAAAAAGAATGGACAGATTGCCTTACTTTATTCATATAGAGCTCACGAACAGATTTATGATTTAGAAATAAGATTAAATTGAATCACAAAAGAAGCAAAATAAACCAGAAATATACATTTTGTTTTTGTTTTGGTATCTTCATTCATCGATGCAAATGAAGAAAGCAAGAATGAGGAAAATAAAATATACACGTATGTATATATAAACTTGTGCTTTTCAAACACTGGAACTTCACCTGTGATCCTTTTGCCTCCATAGATCAATCAAATTGCAAAAGCCAGACAACCCTGATTTCATTTTCTTGGCCTTGTCTTTTCTTCCTCCAAACACAACCCTCCTCTTCCAAATCTTCCTAATCCCCTTAAATTCACTCAAGCCACCCACCGTGGAAGAAGAAGATGACCCTTTGCCCTCCCTTGATGATATGATAGTGGCACTCAAGGAGGCCATCTCTGATGATGGATGATGAGAGAGATTGGTGATGAACCGCCCTGATCCTCCTAGAGATGGCAATGCCATTAGATGCCGTTCGATCAGATGACTGACTGTGACCAATTCATGGGAGTCATATAAGGGGCTGCCACAATCCCATATGCCCAATTCTGCCTCTTCTTTCTGATGATCTTCTTCTCTGCGTTTCAATGTTTCTTGCATATTTTTTGGTCTGAAATTTTTCTTGGCACCAAGATTGTTTCAATAGACTGATTAAAAGTATATGAGAGTTGGGCTGACAAGTGACAAGCATGCAATATTCTGTGTGTCCCAATTACATACAGATTCTCTTGTATCTATTTTATAATGGGCACGCCATGTTTTGGTGGATGCACCCCTGATTGAATACCTTTGGAATGACTGTAGTGCCCTTTATAGGGAGATTTTTTTCCTTCTTGTTCATCAATATCATGTGAAAATTTGATGAGGATAACATTGTCTTTTACCAGAAGCATGACAGATCCTGCTCATTATTCATATTGGGATAAGACAATAAGCAAAGCAAATCATGCATGTGGTGCTCCAACTTTTAATCACAGGTGCTCTTCACCAATCTACATTTAGAAGTTTGTATGGTTTTGAACACACTACTGAAAAAGAAAGAAATTAACAAGGGTATCAAATGTGGTGCTATCTACCACAGAAGTCAACAAAATCCATATTAACTTTCATCAAAGAGGTATAAAATCCATATTATCTGGCTTGTAAAAAAAATTTCAATGAATTGATAGAGGAGCTTCTCTATATAGTCCAAGGAAGGACCATTGAATTATTGGTCTTAATTAGCTATGCATTAAATCATCTACTGCTTAAGCACGATTTGCAGTCTGATGTACGCAATAGTAGATCAACTAGCTCTTAATTTTGCGATATTTCTCTTCAAAATATTGAAACACGTTTTAAGTTCAAATGAGGAAGTATGCTTTAATTAACATTACCTAACAAGAAGACCGAAATAAAAGAATATTAAACGTACAATCTTCTTCTTATTTGGGCTAGCCGGACTTAATATGTGACAGTCTTTTGCCATGTGTAACCTATACAACAACGCAGTGCATGTTTCTGGTTTTTGCCTTTTTTTTCTTCTTCTTTTTTGGACGAAATCTTGTTTCATTAAATAGAAGGTCAAACGCCATATTACATCAAAATGAACTCAAATAATTGAGTTCACACAAAATGCAATGCATACAGACATAGCCCACTACAAATAAAACTAACAAAATGCATAAAGCATACATAAAGGCATTAAGCCCACATAGAGGCGAAGGGCCCACATAAAGGCAGAAAACCCACAAAATGCAAAAGCCCACAAAGCTCAACACAACATTAGGAAACCCTAACACCATTAATAGACATCTACCGCACAATCCTACAGTCACAAGCTGCGCCACCATAGCAAGCCGACAACCACCAAGGAGAAACCAGTGACCAACAGAAAATGGTGGTGGGCAAGCCACCAAAGCTACACCAAGTAGGAGTAGCACTACCATAATCCAAGCAATAAGTGCGATTTGCACTTTAAGGGCATCCCAAACTCCAACAGTTCCACTGAGGATAGACAACATAAGAAATATATGTGGAGTCAAGGAGCCGATGATAGTGGTTAAGACCAACCGATGTGACGCAGCCTCCAACAATGAGGAGAGAAAATGCATTGCAGAAACCTGTAAAGAACACCAGAAACTAAAACCGAAGCCTTCACGGCCTAAAACACGAAACAAATTAAACTTTCAAAAAAAGGAAAAAAGAAACAAAAAAAGAAGAACGAAAAGGAACTGGCTCTGCAAAAATAGAGCAGCAACCCGTGGAGGAAAATTTTTTTGGGGGGGAGGGGGAATGGAAGAGGGAGGAGAAGGTAGGGGAAAAAAAAAGGTCTCTTTTTTTAAAGATCTCTTCGAAACCATTTTAATTGTATAATTCTTATCGTGATTAACTTTATTCAATCATTTAAAAGGATATTTAAAAAATATAATTTTATTTGTAAGCTATTGAACTGCACCATTGCAAATAAAACTGCAATTCAGTTCAATAGCTGCCAAAATAGTTCAATAAATTGAAATATTAAACTGAACTTAAATGAATAGTTGAGCAATCATTACAAATGCTCTTAATCACTTGAGGTATTTTTTTGTTACCGTAAAATAGAATCAAATCCTCAATCAAACCTAATTCTAACCCATTTTTCGACCCACTCTCACTTATTCTAAACGCCAACGAGATCAATTGAAATTTAATAGAGCTAATAATTGAAATTTTATTCGATGTTGACCGTAATTATTGTTGTAAGAAATGTTTCATAAATCCATTTGGTCGTGGTGGAGTTTGATTAATTGGTGTGAAAATAAGAATACCACAACAGAAGTCGTTTTTAGGTGACATATGTACTCCATTAAAAATACTTTCTATGGGGAAAAATATATGTTAACTTGTAAAGCTCAAGTAGCAATCTAATAACAAGCCAGAAGTCGTTTTTAGGTGACATATTTACTCCAGAAGTCGTTTGTAGCAATCGAATATTAGATTGCTTTGGGCCTTTTCATGAAAGAAAACAATCTCCACCTAGTATTTGTTTATGCACGTCAAATTAGACAAGTAAGAATGCTATTATTTTATCAAGGAATGCATTGTCAGACACCTACTTAAATTAGTTTCAAATTTTGTCTGTGGTGGACGAGACTCATGTGGCCCTGCTTCACCGTATTAAATAAACAAAAGAACGGAGATGGCGCTTGGCTCAAGTCTGTGTGTTAGTGCCAAAAGATACCTAATACCACGACATTACACGTGAATGGGGGTTTCCATTGTCAACATCTTCCATGAAAGTTATATTTTGACCTGTAAAGTTGTTTTTCTTCATCATCGACGCTACATTTATTGCACATGAATAGATGAAAGGTGGGGAAATTATTCGGATTTAATATCAATAAGTAATTATCGCTTATGAAACGGATTAGGATAAGTTAAGAGTTCGATCTAACTGTCACAAAGTATTAGAGACTTGAATATGTATGGAAGTCCTCAACTAATTTCATGAGAGATGCTTTTGTTTTCAAGACATTCGAACATTTGACCTACCATCTTCCCGCACCATTTGAGCTAAGGCGAGCGATATTTTACTTTGAAAGGTGAGATAAACAAAATAATGCCTTGACAAAGCTAAAACAGAATGTGTTCATATATCAACACTCAATTTGAACAGTGTGTATACACTTAATTATTATAGGCGGTACTAAAGAAACTCCTAACCACATTGCCACAAAGGATTTGCAAAACCATGTTGTTGTGAGGTCCTACACATCTTGGGGCTTTGAACTGACTAACAGCAGCTCCCTGTGCTAGGTAATGGTTTAGAATCTTCTGGAAGGTTCCCTTCCGAAGAATTCGAAGCTCGAGCGGACCTATGGTATTGACCTTGCGCGAGCTAAGGTACCCTGCATCAACAAAAGATTTATCCAAACAGTTGCAGCATTCACTAAGAACCTCTTGGCTTGGTTCACCGTTCAATTCCCAGAAGATGACATAGTGACCAGGATCCGTGGACAAGTCCACATGGCTTGAGAAGTCAACAACTTCCAATTTTTCTGCAGCTAACAGCTTGGCAGCTTCTTCAACAGCTAGCTGCAGATCATTCTCAGTGTTCTTGTCAATGTTGATGCTAAGGAGAAGATTGCTCCGGCACATGAATTTAATCTCTGGGGTTGAGTTATGGAAGCCCACAACTTTCACTACATCTCCTAGCATATAACGGTAGAGACCTGCACATTGAATTTGATCAGATTTTAAAGCACAAGTTTGGATAAATTTGCACATGAGATGGCAGCTCATATTTCATATAAAAGAACAAGACTTGTATGACGACTTGTGGATTCGAGATTCCATGGCCAAGAACTAAAATACAAAATCTACCTCTTTTTAAGCATATTTAAATCATGTTAATCTGATTAAGATGTACTTTTAACTTTAGATTACTATTAATTTGACTAACTGTGCTGCTGCATTATTCATGCATCATATACTATGAAGATAGTAATGGAAAAACTTGAACAGGCCTACCCAGATCAAATGAGAGTCGGATAACTTTGAGAACAAAAACACGGATACTATAAAATACTTGCAAGTTGACAGAGAATACAAGGCTATATGATTAATTATATAAAGTGCCACGCATGCTGAACAAGAAAACAAATATGTTTCCTCTCAGAAGATTGTGTCTGTATCTGCTTAGAGCAAGCCCCACAGACCTAGCATAGGACCTCAACGTTCAGACCAATGAGATTAACAACGCAGTATTCAAATCGAGCATTTCTGATGTTGATACAGTATGGGGGACATCAAATATGCCAACTACAACTATAGAAGGATCATATGCTAGAGGATTGTATAATGCTTTTTCACTGTGTTTAAAGATTATTCTGTGATTGAATCAAAACAATAATGGATGCATATGTCTAAGACAGCTGGCTTAGTCACGTCAACTAGTGAGACTTCAGAATCTCATTAGGGACAATACAGAGAAACAAAATAATAATTGTAAAGAACAATGTACAGCATGGAGAGGAGGGATATGGCACAAGGATAGAAGCAGTTGCCCTCTGGCTCTAGGGTCACATGGTCAGCATTTAAGGTCAAATCTGGGTTTCTAGAAGCCCATTTAATGGGACTGGCAAGAAAAAGGCAAGTTTGATATACTTTAAAAGGATGAATTCATGGATTAATAATAGATTTTTCAGAAGCACAGTTCTTGAGAAAACAAGGCTTGACATAGTAAGCATATTGAGTTTGAAATCACTCTGCATATTGTAGACTCATAGGAAGCAAACCTTATTGCTAATTATAATTTAAATAGAGGAGCAGGCATGGGGTTGGCCAAGTTGGCTCCGCACCCGAGTTGGAATCCCCCTCCCCGTAGTTTAGATTAGATTAAAGCAGATTATCGCTTGTATAAATAAATAAATAGAGGAATTACCTGCAACATTAGTGATAACAACCTCATACTCTTCACCAACCTTGACTTCAGTCAGACCTACTGGCTTGGGCTCCACACAGAGCTCCTGGTCACCAATGTTGTTCCTCAGAGGGATAAATTCAAAATATCCAATATTAGGGAGCACAGCATAAGAGGTGAACTCAGTGGGTATTTTGGGGTTGATATTTGCTCCAATCCACCCTTCAGAAGCGCCATAATCAGCACTCAACAAAGGCAAGCCCGCAGCATAGTGCCTCAACTTCTTCTGATAAGGCTCCATTGACCCTGTCATAATACCATAAATGTACTTGACATTTGGAAAAAGTGCTGGTATCAATCCATACCAGTTACTCAATCCTGAACATTTTTCATAAATGAGTTCAGCCAATTCAGGGTCTGGCTTGAGCAATTTTGACAAAGCTGCTCGGATTGACGGGGCTGTGATTCGGCTGCTGAGGACCCCGTCTCGAATGTCAGCACAGAGTTCTTCCCACAGTAATTCAAAGGTTCTGAATGCAAGGACTATGCTATGAGCAAATGCTGAAGATATCGACTGAACCTCATCCCTGAATATTAGCCCACATAAGAGATGGCAATATAAGGACTGGTGGAAATCAGGACCAAATATTACTTCATCAGGGCTGCAGCATTGGGACTGCATTGCTTTCATCGTGTTCTTGAACTGTGAACGACTATACACATTGGTGGTGGCAGTTCCAGCTGCCAAACCACCTTTTGTTTTGAACTGCTTGCTGGAATAGATGAACTGCAAGGCCTTTCCATTCACAATAGGAAACTCCCTGAACAACAGGCCTCATTTTAGATCATCAGAAAAAGTAAAGGAGGAAAATTGAAAGATAGGTGAGTGCTAAACTCAAATGCATCAGTACCTGTTTCTAAAGGCAAAAGACGTTTGAAATATCTGCATGGTAGTTTCCATCAGCTCATCAGTGAAAGGTACGAACTTTGGCCTTCCCTGAGAAGTACCAGAACTGCATATCGTGCAACATATCAGAAAACAAAACTTCTCCAACAGAAATTCTAAGTGATGAAGTAGTAAAATAGAAGATTTCATAAGTACCTTAATGAGATGGTTGTGATTGGTTTCCCAGTGAGAATGGGAGAGGAATCACCATCTGCAATTCTCTGAATATAAGGGTCCAAATCCTTGTGAGTAACAAGGGGAACAATAGCCTTGAAACTCTCTGGGTCAGTTCTTCCATCTAGTCCTAGATTCTGCAAGTACTCCGCTGATGCATTTTCTTCCAAGATCTTCTTAAGGGTCTGTCTCTGAACCCTCTCGGCGTCCTTTGTCATTGCTTCAAAGTCCTCTATGACTTTCTCCATGTTGAACTCTTCCATCTTCTCCAACATCCTCACAAATTCAGACTTTACCAGAAACAAAAATCAGCACCAAATACAACTCTAAGGATTCAAAAATACAAGAAGTTTTATATTGAACCTTTTAAAGGACTAACAAATGAAACTATGATCATTTAATTGAAACAATCAATTCACTTGAGATTCTAATACACCCCATTCTCACTCAGCAAAAAAGAAAAAGGGCAAAAACGCTGGCAGGGTGGAAGAAAGCGACAAATAGCTATGAGCCATTCAAAATAAAAAAATCATTCAGATGCCTTGTAACAAACTGTCAGACTTTCAAGCAACTATGAACACCTCCAACTGGTTGCAGATTAGAGCTTATCACAACCAGCAGGCAGAGGGGCAGTTGGATACATGATAATTTTATTTAAAAAGTCGGTGAAAGTAAAGTTTCTGAAAACTCAGAGCTCCTTTCTTTTCCTCAGCTTTCTGAGCAACCAAACAGACTTCAACGAGCATTCAAGAAAAAGGTTGCAATTATTTTTTAAGGATAAAACAGGAAAAAAGACTTGATTGATGAAAAATGAAAGAAAATAGCTAATCTTCTCATAAATAAAAACAAAACTAGCTAATCTATGCAATAGAAAGTAAAGTCAAATCTCCAAAAGCAGGTTGAAGTTGAACACACGGTTGAGCAAAAAGGATGACTAATAATCTCCTATCAGAAGAGTCCTCCAACTTGAGAACCAGAACGTGAAGCTTCTAAGCTTTCGTCTTTAACTGAGTGCAGTCAACGCAGTCAACTCTGAACACCTTTCCAGGAAACTTATCTAATTCTAAGACAAAAGGCTTAAAAGATCGAAAATTCAATAAGATAAAGAAAGAAATTAAGCAAATTTAAAGCCCCAAGGGGTTGAAATTCATCCAATTAGTGCTTCAAATACCCAACTATAGTTTGTACTCAATAGGAATTCGAAATCCAAATGAGTAAAATTGATCATTAACAAAAGCAGTAACATATTAAAATCGAAACCATGTGAAAAACGAGCTTCAAAAGTTGGCCTTGTCCACAAGGGGAAAATTAAAAAAACAGAGAATTTCCAAAATAGAAAACAGAAAAACCTTTTCTGGAAAAAGAAACGACTTTTCAAATTCAAAGAAAAAGAAATGGAAAATCAACAACCAGAGAGAGTGAGAGACAAAATCAGACTTGTACAGCTTGTAACAGTAAACTCAATTGCCGAAAAGTCTACTCTGCTTGGTTCGCTGGAAAACCCAAAGAGAAAACAAAAGAAAGAGACCTGAGCTCGTTCGTTATGTCAAAACCTCAAAACCCACCTGAATTCCAAGACTAACAGTGAACAGCCAGGAAGAACAATACCTGTAAATCGAATTCTGAGAGAGACAGAGGAAAACAGAGTGCTCTGTTTTTGACGTTGACAGAAGGAACCAGGATTTAGAAGCCAACTGATAGAGGATGATGGCAGGCACAGGAACCAAAGCACTGTGGAAGAAGAAAAGGTTACAAAGTCACCGAATTTGATGCAATTTTTCTTCTGCGGAAGCAAACAGAAGATAGTTTCTAGAGAGAGAAAGTAAGAAATGTGGCTTTGGGGGTTGAGACCAAAGGCCGAAGTGTCGAGCTTGGCTTGGGTAATTCAGACTGGGAGTGAGTGAAGATTCTTTGTAGAGGTGGAATATTTATATAGGCAATATTACCCAGTTGGCTTTTTCTTTTTTAGATGACGGTTTGCGTGTGCTTTGGGATGTGTAATTTCCTTTTATTTTCTTTTTCTTTTTTTAAATTTCACGTCATTAATGATTTTAGTTAATTATTCTGAAAATGGTTTTTAAGACCTAAAAAGGATGGAAAATACTAAAAGAATCACAATATTGAGCTCAAATTACACTGAACGTGGTAATCTGTTTTAATATATCACCAATCTTTTATTTTCTTTTTGGTAAATAAAAGAGATTCAAATATGATATAGCTGAAGCGATAGAAGAGAAGTTGGAGCATCGTGCGTGAAAAGGCAAAACTAACAAGTTACAAGTGTGGACCCTGAGCTCCGATTTGGGCTTATGACTCACCGTTTTGAAGGGAACGATGCAATGAATAAAAACTCATTTGTCATGATGTATGGATTCTTTTGGGCGTTCGAGATCGTTTAGCAACCCAAACCGGCCTTTTAATACTTTGCTAGTTTTTGAAAACTTTTGTTTATTTTTCTTTGGATTCCTATAATTTTTAGGAATATTTAAAACAACTTTACCCCATGACTAGGGCATTACATGATCATTCTTAAGTTAATAAAACTGAGTTAATACGTTGTCATAATGGGTCAAAATAAGAAAACACCACACAAGCCAATTACATTGGTCACAATGACCACTAACACCCCAATGTCATCACCACCACCATCACAAATATATAGACTAGTTGGTAATATTAGCATTCATTGATATGTTTTTTTTAATCCAAAACGTTCATTAATCTTCAAGGCCAAAGCAATAATTATTTTTTGTTTTCTTTTTACATATTTACTCTTAATATGTTAACATTTTAGTGAAACAACTTATACAAGTATATTGGTTTTTTTTTTCTATTTTATTTTGTTTAAACATTTATCCAAGGGTTCATATTGAATAAGTCTCTTTTTTCTTTTCTTTTTAATAATCAAAACAGTAGGGGATTCCATTCATAAATTACACCATAAGGGCAATACAAATACAATAACCACGAGGACTACTACAACTACCAGGACCGGCCCTTGGGATGGGCGTGAAGGGCCATAGCCATGGGCCACCACTTAAGGGGGCCCCAAAATTTTTATATATTATATACCAACGTCCATCTTTAAAAAAAAACACATGATAAAATTAAATAAGGACTCCTCTTCCCAAAAGAAACCCCAACAAGCTTCATCATTTTCCACGCATCACCTACTCCTAGTTTCTCCATGGAAGAACATACTCTCTATTTAATCCACCGAGCTCTTAATCCACCACCTTATTATTCTATGTTTTCCCAATCTCTCTTCAAACCATCCATTATTTCCAGTTTCTTTCATCCCTCTTTTTTCATATTGTAACCCTAAGAATCAATCTATCACTGAAAAGCTCACAATTTTCCTTTTTGATCGTTGTCTTTGAGATTGATGGTGACTCAAGAGGAGAGGAGCATGATAATTTGAAAAAGTAATCAGATTTATGAATTTTTCTTTATATTTGTTCCTATCTAGCAAACTATTTTTTCAATTTCAAATAGGAACAAAACACTGAGAGACTCATTATAGAAGCAAACAACAAACTCTTTCCTTGGGCTAGAACGTCGGTTTGTAAATTTGTAATTTCCTTCATGATATTAAATATCTAATCTCTTTTTTTATTTTTTTTATGGAGATATGTCCTACTATAATGCATATTACCTTTTTTTATTTGCGTGTAGCGCGCAAAATAAAATCATTTTATTTGTTGTTTTCTTCGCAATTATATATTAAGGAATGAGCCTCATTTAGTTTATTGTCTAGAGCCGGTCCTGACAACTATCCACAAAGGGGTTAAAACCACTACCCACAAATGGATTACAACTTACAACAAATACGGAGAGATGAATAGGCACATTTTCTATTGTATTTTTTGTTGTTGATACATCATTTTCTTTGTTTGGCAATAAGTTATTTTTTAAGAAGCTTCCATTATAATAAGCCTGTGTGACATGCGGGATGTCTGAATTACCTTTCTATAACAAAATGAATATTTGACCGTACGTAGTCCAGGCAACCACTCTCACGCCCCATCCCATTCACATACTCACATGATCCTAATATATACATGTTAAGAATATCATCCAATTTTTTTTTCGATAATTTTTGAAAATATAAACTTTTATTTTCTGTAAACGAAAATATGTCAACTTATTAAGTGGCACATGGGGTTATATAAAGCTGTACTGTATACTTTCTTTCTTTTTTCCTTTCTTTTTTTCGTGCAAAATGTGTCAATGTCTTCCTCAAAAAAAATTGATCAACTGATCATGTGTGAGTTTGGGTTTAAACATTTTTTATCAACGAAAGATGAGAGATACGAACATCTTCCAAGTAAAAAGCTAGTAGAGATTCAAGAACAAGCGCAATTTGTGAGTGATGTGATGATTGTCTATGACTATAAGCAGTACTTGTGTTGAGTTCATTGCATTGGCGCCTGCCATATGAATGAAAATCCATTGCATCTTTTGGTGGTTTCCTATTTAAATTTGATTGTCCCCTTACAAACAAAAGTACTAAAAGTATTACCCCTTATTTGAATTTGTAAGACTATTATCGACTCAAATATAGCAAGAATTTTTTCGGTGTGATCCATCATCACGTGGTGTTCTACATTCATTTATTTTTATAACATGCGTATTTATATATTAATATTATATTTTGAGTCCATGGAATATGAACTATGTTGCCCACCACTCATATCATATTGTTTGAATCAATAACACTATGTGGCGATGTGATATTCACTTTACACTAAAAAAACTTATGATAAAAGTCATGAACTTCCTCTCACCTATAAGGAATGCAATTTAGTTATTATCTATTTATTCATTTTCTAGGGCATATATGCCCACATCGTTTGCCACTAATGGCCTCGTATGACTTAAATTAATTTAATCACAATAATGCTATTTGTGTCATATTTATTGATTATATTGATGACCACCTCATATTAGTGTATGTGGAGTCCACCTGTGTTAGAGAATTGATCAGCAATGTAATCCAAATAGTTGCGGTTGCAATTAATGGAAAAACAAATATGTTATTCATGTACATACACATTTTTCTTATAGAAACCGTGATTAGTGTATATTAGCTATATATTATTGTATATTACTCAAATGCCGCAAATGTGGCATCTGGGAGCGGGCATCGGGCCATGAATGACATATATATTTTGTTGGACTTGTCCTAAAAGTTCGCAAGTGATAATACTTTGTCCTAGTTGACAAAGAACGTTGTCCTCTTAATTGAATCGTATATAACCAAATTTCCTGTCGT